TCTTGGAAGGGAAGTTCTGATGACCCAAGATGTAATTCTTGTAGTCATGGCCGCAAATCGCCCGTACGTCCACCATGGTGAACAGTGCGATGAGCGCCTGGGAGTACATGCCGCGCAGGCCGGGGTGATCGTCAATCGACCCGCGCATGACCAGCTCGACGAGGTTCTCGCTCGCGATGTAATCGAACCTGAGACCCATAGTGATCACGATCGTAGCTGCGCGGCTGGCAACCTTCCAATGGGATACCCGTGCCAAATCGACTAGCTCTTCAGCAAGGCCGGCCTTCTTCTTCTCGATCAGGACGCGCTTGCCGTTGATGCTTTGGCGCTTCTGAGTGATCTGGTCTTGAACATCTTGCTTGGGCGCAATGGCTTCAATGATGGCCTGGTCAAGGATAGACATTCTCTCCATGGAGCGACCATAGTCCATTATCTGAAAGACGGCACTCGAGCAAATCCTCTGGACCGACGGCCTGTCCACCGCACTAGCATCGATGAAAGTCCGGACCATGGTCGGCGTGTATTTCCAGTGGCGGCCCAAAGTCTTCGCAACGCTGCTCAGGAGGAGCGTAAACAGACCGCCTTTTATCCGCGCATAATCATTTTCCTTGATACCTTTCTGCAGAGCTTTCAGCAGGGGCGGAATCACGAGGACTCGCGACCCCCAGACAGCCTTGAAAGCGGATTCACCGGCGCTCTGGGCATTACGGCGAGTCTCGGTATAAACAGAGACGCAAGATTCTGCAATGTCCAGGAGGAGAATCTCATCCAAGCGGGACCGACGGCGGGGGGCCGCATTATGTCTCAGACGCTGAAGGTGGTACACGTTGGCCCGTCTGACGAGCAACGGACGCGGGTAGTCTTTGCGGATCCCGCTCATCTTATAGGGGTGGATATCTGCCGCGAGAAGGCGCGTAACTCGATCCAAGACATGGGCGGACCTCTCAATGCCCACATCGACAAACCACGATCGGTATGCCGAGTACAAAGCAGCGAAGCACGGCACGTCATCTTCTTGCTTGTCGGACAAGAACCGGTGTACGTCGTGAAGGACCCAGCCTGCTCTCTCCCGAATATCATGGATGGTGGTGTACATGGGGTCGTCCTTTTGTAGGGGGTAGCCGGTAGGGTATTCGAACGTCTCTCGGACAGTTGAATCATCAGAGCTATCTAGCGCCTCGTCGGAATCATCCTCTTCCTCGGCACGTACCGCGCCTGAAGTCGCCTCAGAGCCGACCATATCAACGTCGGTTCCATCTGATGCGCCTTGCTTCGTTGTCGATGCGGCTTGGGAATCAAAGAGGATCGATATGCCGGACAAGATAAGGCGAAGCAGGATCAAGTTCCGCGTCACTTCATCGGACCAGTCCTTGCCGCTTCCGTCTCGCTTGACGCTAGACGTCTCGTTGGTCAGTGCAGTCAGCTGCTTCAAGGCAGTCTCGGCTTGGTTTTGGAATAGCTCGACGGCAAAACTGATCTCCTCGCGCGTTGGAATATGCCACTTGATAGTCAGATCTTGTGAATCGGGTTTGTAGCCCCAAAGTTCAGGTCGCATTCCCTTGGCCAGGGCGCTAGGCTCGTAAAGGGAGAAATCCGCAGTGTATGTCCCTGTCAGGTTCAAAAGAAGATGGTGGATGAAGTTCGAGATGTGAACGGTCGGGATGCCGCGGCACTTCTGTTGCATATACACAGCGATGTCGAAGAGCTCTTGCTTGTGGGCCAACACGGCATCTCCAACGTGAACCACACACATGCTGAGCATGCTGACGTTCCAGACTAGTCCACGATCCCGCGGCAAAACATCAGTCCCCGTTGTCCGGGTGGACCCAGCGCCGTTGTCGTCGATCTCGGTGCGAATGGCCTGTATCAACACGGGGATGAACCGCTTCAGGGCCTTCTCCGGGTCAACCTTGCATATGGAGTTACAGATGAAGGCCATGGCGTCCCGGGCTTGATGGATTACGTGGTTGGAGATGAAGTCAACGACCTTCGACAAGGCTATGTCGTAGTATTCCGGGGCAAGCGATGACAAAAGAGGCATGAACGTGGCGGGAAGCGTGTTCACAATGTTCTCTTCGGGAGACCCGTTCCGCACGCGGCTCACATCGGGCAGATTCTCCAACAGAGTAAAGACTCTACCCAAGAAGGACACGATGAAATCACCAAACCCACACGTCGACGAGCGAAGGATCATCTCCTCGGTCTGGTCGTCCAAGTCCGTCTCATAGTTCAGCTGGATCTGGACGCCTTCTTCCTCCATCCGTTCCATCTCGCCGGACACCCATTGGATGGCCAGCATGCTAGAATTGACGTCTTCCCGGCCCTTGGTTAGATCGACCAGAGGTATGCTGTAACACGCCGACTGGATAAAAGACAGGGCGTGCAATGACTTTTCCAGGTCATTGGCGTCCACACCTGGTAAAGCGAGCCCCAGCAAGGTAGTCATATGGCAACGATAACCCTTCGACCGCGCAATAATACGCGATAGAACCTGGAGCGCGCGCAATGAGGACATCGTGCGGTGAACCTCGACCAGCCCTTGCAGGGAGGGGTAGATTCTCTGCAGGGCGCCCGGGAGGATCAGATGGGGCTCCAAGAAGGCAAGGCTCTGCAGGGTGGAGAGCGAAAAGCTCATGGCGGTGCCACTCTTGGCGTAGATGCCCATAAAGACCACGTCACGCAGGCAGAGCACAAAGCGGCGCTTCAACGGCTCCGTCAGTTTCCGCTCGGGTGGGATCTCCATCTCGCCGCTTTGCTCCCGGTTCCAACGCATGACGAAGAAATCCGAAAGATAGTACACCAGCTGGGACAGGGTCTTTGTCCAGCTGCCCGTATTGGACGGGTGGAAGAAGGTCTCCACGGCTTGGATGAGGCCCTCGAGTTGGGTCAAAATGGATTCCTCTGCGTCGAGACACGCCGGCGAAAGCGACATCACCACCCACCGGGCAATGTGGTGGGCAACCGGGTGCTTGCGGGTATCGCGGTCCAGCATGATGCCGAGCCCGGACGAGATGTCCACCAGGGCACTATACGGAGAGGTCGACTGCCCCACGGGAATCTCCAGCAACCGAAGGATGGCGGTGAAGATGAGCGACGACTGTTCTTTGTTGAAGATACCGTACTCCCCGAAGGGGATTTGTTTGGCGGGTAGAGAGTCGCGAGCCAGCCGGGACAGATAATCGAGGAACGTCATGTCAAACGTCTTTGACCTGTTCACCAGCGACCAGAGATGGAAGTAGGTGGGGAGGTAGTGTCGCGGCAGCAGATCTTCTCTGGATTCCGGCGGAGGCGACGTGGGGAGCAAGAGATTGATCAACCCGGCGACGACGAACGCGCCCTCCGAGAACGACGTGGTGTAGTGCGGCAGGAATTCTTCCAGCATTGCGGGGAGCTCACACGGGTCGATGTACAGCTGAACAAACGCGCAGAGCTTGGTCAATGTCTTGATGTTTCGCTTGAGGTTGGTCGAATGGACCAGGCCCGACTCCGTCGGCAACACAAAGGTCTTCACCTCCCTATACAACGGCTTCCAATCCAAGACGAGGTCCTGGACCGGTCGCAGGTAGTGTTTGCGCTTTGTCAGGAGCATGAACATGCTGGTGAAACGCTCCGCCACGCTCGGGTCAATGCCCGGGGCCAGCGAGAGCTCATAGTAGAGTTTCACGAGATTGATCCGGTCCCTACGGTTCGGGTCGAACTTGAGGGACAGCCATCCCCGGAGCTCCCGAGTCCAGTGCACGGCCCCGGGATTGAAGTCACCGGCTTCCACCGCGATGTAGAGTTGATTCAAGATCTCCCGTAGGTTGCGGTCCCTCCGCGGCTCGTCCTCCAGCTGGTATGGCAGATATTTGAAGTATGGGTAGGCCCGGGGACGGACGCGCGCCTTTTGCTCGTCGTCTCCGTTCACCCCTACAGGGTCCCCGCCGGGCGAGGTGGCTCGTGAGATTTCATGCGCATGGTGGAAATTTTCCGATGTCAGGATCGCTTTGGGTCCGGAATGATGATCCATCGTTGCGGCGACCGTTCGGCGTTTAGAGCGATACGGGGATTGGGATTGGGAGTGTTGTGGGAGAGGCCTGGTAGAACGGCCCGTCGGTCAGTCGGGATTCCTCACACTTTGCTGAATCATTGCGGTGACAATTGAAGCGACCTACTTTCACCATGAAGCTGGTGGCTAGATAGAGGGTACCGGTGGGATCTCAAAAAATTCGACCCCTCAGCATTGCTCGCGTGGGCGAGCGACGTCAGTTTAGTTACGTCGACCAGCCGAGCGACCAGAAGTGGCAGGAGATCTGGCAACGTCGAGTCCGTCTAGCAGGGAGATCTCTTTAATTAAGAAAAGATTGAGCAAAAGAATTCCGTTTGGAACATGAGCTGCATCAGTCGGGACAATGCGCAGCTCTAGTGTCGTGGGGTAGAATAAAGAATCAAATGGCAAGCAGATTGAAGTTGGAGCGGCAGCATCATCATTTGGGGTTAGGTTAGGTTAGGTTTAGGTCAGGTAGTTTAGCTCGGGGGAGATAGCTGATGACATAATGCTTTTCTGACGTACGTAACCACCCAGCCTAACTGAACCCTCGAACTACATACGTAGTAGCCTTAGAGAGCTCGATTGAGTGTAGTAGAAAAAGAGGATTCGTATGCATTTGTTGCCTGAGAGTAGTAATGAATAATTATCCTTCTAGTGTGTGGGAATTCTAGTGTGTGGGAATAGGTTTTCTCTATCCTACCTGGTTTTTTGGGCACGGAACAGGTAAATAAATATTTGGCTAGAGTTCTAAAAAAATAAAATAAAATAGAAAAATGAAAAATGAAAAAGGCAATCAATTCATGTTAAGCAATCCGATAAGAAAGGACAGATGTAGAATTGACCCAGTCATAATTGAATTGTGCTTTACCTACGGAGAAGTTGACGTCACGTGCTGCCAACAGTGTACTTAAACTATATATCGATAATGATAACGTTAATAAATAGATAAAATGACATTATTGAATAGTACCTATGCAGGCGGAAGGAAAGAACCAAAAAGAGTGGCCTGAACCAGCCCATACATCACCATGCTGGTCACCGCAACGGGAAGAGCCCGACTGTGTTTGCTTTCAAAGCCAGAGAGGATCTGATAGGCAATGTACCAGTACCACAGGGGATACCCAGAGGAAATTCGGTTGACAATCTGGACATGGTAACTGGTAAATGCCAGAACGGCGAGAATGCCCTGCGGAAGAGCAAGCCGGATGAGCAGGGACGCCATTGTGGATGAATGGGCGGCGGTGGATGCGGGAGAACCGAGGGAGATGTCTCCCTTGCATGCCCAGATGGAAGACCAGCATAGTAGGACGAGCATCGGGAGGGCCAGCAGGAACAGGGGAAGGTTCGATAGGGTCCAGTAGCGAAGGAAACCGACATTCCTATATCACGATCAGTAACATGATACACAAACATAGATAAGTAAAAAAAAAAAAAAAAAAAAAAAAAAAAAAGAGAGAGAGAGAGAGACTAACCAGTACTGTTCCTGGACCCAACCATAGATACTAGGGATGAGCCTCTGGCACCAAGGACGCAACGTCTCTCCGGCGGTGCAATACGACAAGTAGGCAATCACTTGGGGAAGAACGAAGCCCAACCCGACAATACAGCCACCGACAATCGTGACAGCCAGGCGAAGACAAGCTTCTTTAGACGGGCCACGCGAAACAATCGCCCAAGCATACACCAGCGCATCGTACGCAAATAAGATCCCGCTGAGGACACCATTGCTGCGCACCGTCGAGGCGACCGCGAAGAGTCCCGCCGCCAGGAGCAACTTCGCATGGCTCGAAGCTCCCTTCCGTGCCCGGGCATCAAGAAACGCGGACGAATAAAGGTAGAAACCCCCGATGTTTAGCATCGCGAAGAGGGATTCTCCATATGGTGCGGAGAGGAATGCCCCCGCGGGCGAGATGATATGCAGGATGGGTGTGAGGAAGCATAGAAGCTCCCGCGCGCGGGAGTGCTGGCCGAAGACATTGACTGACAGCCGGTAGAGAGCTAGGACTGATAGGTAGTGGGATATGTGGGAGACTGCGATGCCCACTGCAGTGATCACGGCAGCCTCGCCCACTCCGTTCGATGGATGGAAAACTATACAATAATAAGTACCAATTTCTAGATACCCCTTTGGGGTCCAACGGACAGGGAAACACACAGGACGCGAGAAAGGCGAGGATTCTAGTATATCCATAGCCAAAGGCCCACTCTTGCTCAAAGACATAGCCCCTCTCGGCAATATGCACAAAGTAGATAGAATCCCACCGGGTGAATTTCAACAAGGCCACAATAGGGGCATGTTTAGTGTCCCTCGAGATGACATCACCGGTCCCGGAGCTGAGATAGGGCAGGAGACCGGTGGAGGTATCGTAGCCCGGGCCCGGGCACCCAAGGACGACCAGAAAGATAAGGGCTTTCCACAAGCCGAAAGCTATCGTCAAGCTTCGGATCGGGTGGGAGAGGTGTAGCAGCCGGGGAGATCCCGGTGTTGTTGCCTCGTTGGCCATGGCCTAGCCTTAGGGATGACCAACGTAGCGATTTGGAATAGTCGAACGGGTTGGTCTACTAAAGTTCGGCGAAACCCACGCAAATCATCAGCCTAGCGGGTTCGTTCGTTGACAAGACGGCGATTCCGATATGGGATTTGTCAAGACGGCGTCGGTCTCGGTCTCTCGCTCGACCGAGGCTGGACTGCAGTGGGCCAACTAGTGATGCCAAGACTTGTGCACCAGTGTCTTATTCATCTGCATAACTCCTTTTGTATCAGAGAAGCATCTACCCGTGAGCTACTCAGAGACTCAGTCAGTCTCAGGATATACGACATGATATGATGATCATACTGATCATTTCGTTCTGCAGTCGAGATAGAAACGGTGTTTTAAAAATACATCCCATCATCTCATCGCCACACTGTGGATATGCTCTCCACCGATGATTCTACCATCCTTGCTGGGATCAGCCCACTCAGCAGTTGTCGGTTCAGCCCTATGGGCCGAGTCCATCCTATAACAGCTACCTTGGGTACTACCCAGACCGAACTGGAGTATCTGATATTTAAAAAGATGTCACCATGATATTATTCTGATTACTATTCTTTACTTGGCTCATCTTGGCGACTTGCCAAGGATCATCCATGATTATGATTATACGTGCGTCTTGGTATGACCTAAGGAGAACAGCATCTGACATGTCTTACAGTCGGCCAACTGTCTGACAGTGGCGATGGGAAGGGCCGATCGACTGACTCATGATGACAGCCAGTTTTTCCCTGCTTTCTGTTCTTCCCTGTTTGATTAGTTTTCGTGTATTGCATTTACATGCCTTCTATCCGTATGGTGTATACTGTCTACAGACAGTGGTACGTTATCATATCGGACGCGGAGATTAGCTCTCGTGCCGGACGGATCATGTTATTCTTATACTGATCATGAATTTTAATCAACTAGGCCGAGGTCAGTGAAGAATCGCTCTGATAACTTGATAAGGATCGGGCAACCACGCGATGTGCAGAAAATTTCCATCCTTCCGCTTCTCAGATCCATCTGGACAGTGGATCCCCACAGACCGGTCACTTTTTCCCCTCTTGGCTGACCCGTGGATGCCAAGAACTGCAACTCGCCTGGTCTGGGCCAAAGGGGCAAATTATCCTTCATTATCGAATCTTATGGACATGTCTGACTGATTTGACTTAACTCCAGAAGATTCCTGTTGTCGACTTTTGTGTGGATGGACGGCGAAGGACTGTATGATAATAACAAGAATATACTCCGAATGAGATCACCGAGTCATCACTATAATTATCACGAGGAAAAGAGGGGAAAGAAAGTATCAAATTGTTGGCGCCTATTCTGGAGACCTGGCCGAACCAACGAGTCGGCGTCCATGGCACCATCCGGGCCCTACCGGCGAGTCGGAGTCCGTAGTCGCCGTGCTGAAGTAAGAATCACGAACTGTGTCAGGATCATGAGCCATGTCAGAACTCTAGATATTAGAATTAGAGCTGGAGATCCATGTCAGAAGACCCCTTTTTTTTTCATCCCGTTCTTTCATCCAGAAGAAGCAATAAGACAGTCGGAACTCGGAGCGATTGAATCAATGAATGCTGTGGACGCTAGAATTATGAATGGAAGGTTATGCCCTGCTGAGCTAATCGGAAGGAGGATAAGCCGGATCCGTATCCGGGCAATGGGATCCGAAAGATCGGCAACCAAGAGGGGTCAATTTATGTTGATTTTTTGACAAATGAATAGTCAATGGTTAGTGAGTGAGAGAGACCAGAGATCGACCAGAATTAGTGCGAGTGGAAAGAGAAACCCGATCAGTGGAGGAGATTTGGTTTCCATGGTCTGCCCGCTGTACTCCTGCATAACTGAGCCTTATCCATCGGGCTCCTTCATCTTATTCGTCTGGTTCTCTATTACTATTTTTTTTATATATATTTTTAAGATTCCTGATTTTGTAATACTTATTGATTGATTTTGATTTTTTCTTTTGAAGTCTGAATAATCCTATGGATGTATACGATCAGGCAAAACCCAAATAAAGTGGATTCTTCCTCTCTCTCGCTTCTTTCTTTGACCGCCATCTTCTCATACTTCCCTACTATCCAACCTCAGGCACCCGGATATCTCCTACCTCCGGTATTGACTTCCATACAATCCTTTGCCGATATCCGACTCTTTTCTTCACGGCTCTCCATCATTCCGGTTGACAACTTGACATTGAGGTTTAGAGATATTTTAAGGCGGCTGCAGCCTTGCTCTCCCTTACACTGATCTCTCTCTCCGACCCGCTTTTTGTATACCAGTTGCCAGCCCTTCCCACTGACGTTGCACACCTTCGCCTTACCTATTCTCTCCCTCTCTTCCCTCCTTCCTCTCCCACTTCCATCTTCTTACTGCCTCTCTCTCTCTCTCTCTCTCTATCCTTCCCCTCTCTTTCTATTCCTTTACCTTTCCTTTCTATCCAGTCCTTTCTTTCCTTCCTAATTGCACTCAATTCAACCCTTTCCTTTCCCTCGATTGCGTCTCGTTATCCAACAAACCCCGGTTTTCGTGCTGGCCACAGGATCTCCTCGATTCAATACGCTCTCTTCACTCCCTCGAGCTCCATCAACCCGTTCAATCGGACTTGCAATTCTCTAACCCAGTCCACCGTTCGGTGGTGTGTCGAACGGGGTCATTCCGGATCCGTCAGGTGTGACACCCGTCGCAGGCGATCGTCCCGCAATCCCACCCCGATCCTGTCAATGGTCGACGGGACGGTCGATCGCAGCTGGTCTCTTCGCATGGGAAATAAAGAATGCTTCTCAATTTAGGCCTCCCAGCGAATACCGCCGCAGCCCACGAGTCCGACCTCGTTGTCTCCAACCCCGTCTCCCAACGATCTAGTCCCGTTCACGGCTCGTCGCGTCCCGTCTGCTTTGCGACGCTGCCATTATTGGGGCTGGACGATCTATACAATCGCTACCGCGGTGTGCCGCCAGGAAAGCTGCCCCCGACAGATCAACCTGCCATGTCGGGGAGCTCGGTCGACTCGCTACCCATGAGCGACGCAAATCACTCGACCGTTGGACCCGGTCTCGCCCGTCCGCGGATCGGCCGTGCGCAAACCCATTCAGTTAGGAAACAATCGTCGCGCGCGAAGACGTCATACCAATTAGCCCACCCCGCGGGCCACGCCCGTCACCGGCGACTTAAACTCCGTCCCAAGCTCCTGCTGCAAGTGCAGCGCGTCTCCCCGACCTCGCGCCCGCTACCCGTCCTCGATGTCCTTCCCTCCTCCGTCTTCCTCCCGCGACTGGCGCGCAAGTTCCCCGCAATTTTCCGGGGCAAGAAAGGGCTGGGCCCGAATGACTTGATCGTCGTCGCCAGCGATCTCTACGAGCCCGCAGGCGGCAGGGATATCGCCGAGCGGCAGTCGACGTCGGATGACGAAAGCGGCGAGCATCGGGAGGTCATCGCGACGATCTGCCAGCTGTTGAAGGAGAACGCGCTGTCCCAGGGGAAGACGGAGATCTGCCTCCGTGACGGACCCGTCTGGGAAGCGACCCCCCTCTCCAACGGGTCGTATGAATTTGTGGCCCACACCGAACAGGGCATCCAGACCGTACGATGGGTGGTGCGGAATGGGCGGAATCGTCGCGTGTCGGCGCCCCCGGGGTCTACTCTAGCGGAGGATGGCCGGCGGTTCACCTTCAGCGTCATCGACCCCACCACTCGACGGCACCCAGTCCTGGCGAGCATGGCACGTAACCACTTGGAGGTGTTTCACGAGTATTCCATGCCCAGCAGTGCGGGCTCGACCGCCGCCTCCCCCACCTCCGGCATGTCTGTCGTGAGCGACCTCTCCGAGGCCGACATCGCGCTGGATCGACAGCCCATCCCAGTGGACGACTACCTACGGAAGTTGATCATCGTCACCAGCATCTGGGTGGCCATGCGCGAGGGCTGGTCGCACAGCTTTCGCTACGACGATTCGGCGCTGGCGCTGAACCCCAAGGCCATCTGCGGCTCCCGACACGACCTGCCCATGACGCCACAGAACGAGAACGAGCCATTTCCGAAGGCACAGATCGTTGACCCGGATGGATTGCGCATTGGCTTGAGTTCCCGACGGCCAACGTCTAGTACCTTACCCCCGAGTCTGTCAGTTCCGAATTCGCCTGTGGCATACGGTCGCCTAAATAAGCGCTCGAACTCGACGGGGGCGGCTTTTATCGAACGGTCGAACCGACGCGCATCTGGGATCGACAATGGGCCCAATCGGCATAGCGGACTCTGCAGCCCGCGAGGGGTATCCCAAAACCGGAATTCCGAGAGCAACCCTGCAGTCCGAGCAGTCCCAGCAGTCCCAGCAGCCCCAGCCACCAATGGCCAGACCCGATCGCAGCGGAAGAAAACTGACTCGGATGATCGAACCCCGCAATCTGGAGCACACTCTGGGGAGGCTTCCCGGTCTATCCCCGGGCGTGCACCAGAGCCCGAGCCCACGAAGGGAAAATGCCGGCGCCGCCTCAGTCATGTATTTGACTGTTTAGTGCGAAGGAACAGCCACCGCCACTAGCTAGTCATTGCCTGATTCGCAGTTTGAGCTTGATTATGCTCAGATTGTACGGTTCGATCCTCACAGGACTGGGCGAGTCCCACGTTTCCTATTTACAGACGGCATATCCACGGCCAGGCGCCGAGACACGGACCCAATCTTTTCTCTTCACATATCTCAACCATTCCTCTCTTCACATTCCTCACTCGTTCCTCTCTTTACTTTCTTTTTTACTCTTTTTTGCTCTTAAGCCATATGATTCCCCATGAGATACCGGTATGGCGTTGTTTGTGGTGATTTAGGCGTGATCTGTATGGTAGTGAACGTATCGAATCTATGCTTGCGGATGTCACCGTAGTTAGTATTAACAATGGATTACAAGTAATATGTTCTACATTTCTACACTGTTCTGTTAACATAGATATACGTACGTTATAATTCGAAATGGATACAACTTAGTATTTACCAACACAAGTATCCCTAAGGCACCACTGCCCTCAACCCCTAAACCTAACCACTCATACTATATGTATGTATAATCTACCTCTCCAAAGCAGTCAACCCCTTCGGCACATACATCTCCTCAAGATACGCAATCTCCTCAGGACTCAAAACAACCTTCGTAGCCTCAACAGCCTCATCAATCCTCTCCTTCGACGAGAGCCCTAAAATGGGATTCACACCCCTCCGACCCAACGACCACGCAATCGCCACCTGCGCCATCGAAAGCCCCCTCTTCCTCGCAACCTCCTCCACGCGCTCCACAATCGCCTTGTCAGCTTCGCTCTCCCGCCCGCGCACAAGCATCTTCAGCGCCCCGTCCGTCGCCTCGCGCGTCGACGACCGCGCGCTCCACGGCCGCGCCAGCACGCCCGCGCGAGAGGCGACCACGGGATGAGGCCCACGCCGGAGTCGTTGCAGTAGGGGATCATTTCGCGCTCTTCTTCGCGGGCCAGCAGGTTGTGGTAGTTTTGCATGCTGATGAATTTGTGCCATCCGTTTTGGGTGGCTATGTTTTGGAGGGTTTGGAATTCCCAGGCTGCCATCTATTATATCACCGTTAGTATATACATATATAGCTATCGCTTTGGATAGCCATATACCCAGAAAGTAAGTGAGGGAAGGACATACAGTACTAGCCCCAATATACCTAACCTTCCCACTCTCAACAACATCATTCAACGCCCTCATGATCTCCTCCCTCGGCGTGTCCCGATCCAGGCGATGTATCTGCAACACATCAATATACGTCCCGAGGCGCTGCACACTCTCCTCAACCGCATCAAAAATATGCTTCCGCGACAGCCCCACGCGATTCACAAACTTCCCCTCATTCCTTCCCGACGTCGAGATAGGAGGCTGGCCGCCCGCGTCGTCGACGCCAAAGTAGCACTTGGTGAGAATGACGACGCGGTTGCGCGGGATGTTGTACTGGCGCAGCGCCTTGCCGAGGATTTCCTCGGATACGCCGTGCGAGTAGATGTCGGCTGTGTCCCAGGTGTTGATGCCGCGGTTGTAGGCGTGTTCGATGAGGGGGAGCGCGGTGGATTCGTCGAGCACCCAGTCTTGCCAGGCGGGGGTGCCGTAGGACATGCAGCCGAGGATGATTTTGGAGATTTTGAGGCCGGACTTGCCGAGGCTGGTCACATTCTATTAGATTTCTTGTTCTTGTTCTTTTTCTTTTTCTTCCATTGAGGTTTGGTGGTGGTGTTGGGTGACGTACTTGACGTATTCCATTTTGGCGGTGCGGGGTATATGTTCTGTGTTCTTTGTTAACACTTTCTGATATATAGAAAAGTAGGGAGATAGCTTTGGCTCTATACTACTTACATACCGTTCGATAGTATTGAGTAGTGTATATATGATATACAGAGTAGTAGGAGAGTATTCACAGAACGATCTATTTCATGGGGAATACATACCCCTCAGATCGAATCCCCGATTAATCAGCCTATCTGCCGACATCCAAAGCGACAGCCGATCTCTAACCGATCGACAGTCTCCAGTATTCCCGGACCGTCGACTCGGTTTAGAAAGTCGGGATGTCTTCATCTCCAGTCTTAGTCTTTTTCAGTACGGCACAACCAATGCAACAACTAACTGGTTATGCTGCCGTAAGGGCTTCTTTCTCTATATATATCAAACTGGCTAGTACTGTGTTAGTAACCCCCTCTCGGGACTAAACGTTCTATCTATCCGAACTGGGTATACTGTTGTCTTAACAGTTATCCCTCAGATCAATATTGAGAAATTAGGGCTAAGAGGTCAACTGATTAATGGATAAACATAATACAGTCTATGGATAAAATGTACAAAAAAAGTGACTCCTCAGGCACCGTGTTCGGACCCGACTCGGCCGAATCTAACCGAATCCGGTAAAAACGGCCTGGAAATCCAGGAGATTCAGGCAGTCGAGATTAAGTTAGTCATGACTACTGAGAGAGTCGTATATTTGGGTTGGAGGTTTCCCTTGATCTTTCTTTCACTTCCTCTATTGTGATTTTGTGGTAGTTTTGTCGGTCGTTGGAGTTCAATGATGTGTGATCTGGCCGAGAGCTACCTCCACTTATTGTATGATGTTTCTACAGTTGACACTGGGAATGGATGGAAAGAGTTTGATTGTCAATCATGACGCTTCGCTCTCTAAACTTTGCTGAACACAGGAATCTTGTCTAGCGCAAATCATCCGACACGCGCTAGAAAGAAAAAGGAGATATATGAATGCCTATTGCTCCGTCTTCAATGCTATCACTCCGTCTTATACGCAATCAACCGCGCCTTACCCGCCTCCTCCGGCTCATCAGTATCCATAGGGCGAAGCACCCCACTCCCAACATCATATATCAGACCATGCAACTGCAGCCCGCGCTGCTCAACAGCCTCCAACACCACATTCTTCTGCTTCAGCAGCCTCAGACCCTCCTGCACGTTCAGCTCCGCCAGCCGCAGCATCGCTTCCTCAGGCGACAGCGACTGCAGCGTCGCCAGGTGCTGCTCGCGCAGCTGGCGCAGCGGCATCAGCCACGGGTCGAGGATGCCTAGCTGCTTGTTGCCCATGGCGGCCGCGACGCCCCCGCAGCAAGTGTGGCCGCAGATGACGACATGGCGGACGCGCAGGTGGTGCACGGCGTACTCGATTACCGCCGAGGAGCTGAGGTCTGCGGCATGTAACACGTTGGCGATGTTGCGGTGGACGAAGACGTCGCCGGGCTTGAGGCCCAGCATGGTTGTCTCCGGGCATCGCGAGTCGGAGCAGCCGATCCAGAGGATCTCAGGTTGTTGGCCGGCGGCTAATGTGGGGAAGAGGTCTGGGTGCTGTTGCGCGGTCTGGGCCGCCCATTCTTTGTTTCGGTTGAGGGCGGTTGTCAATCGGTCTGCGCTTTGGTCAGTACGAGCAAGTGGGTTGGGCCGCATGGCGCTGATGATGGTGCAGTAATTGGCAAGTACGTCGGGTGCAGTTGGGGGCTCGCGCATGTGATGCTGGGGGGAAAGGAACTCCTGCTGGTTGACCTAAAGGGAATACAGCAGCCCTGAGGTCACAGACCAGCCTCGTGGGGTTTATGATGGAGGGCAACAGGTAAGTGATGATGCTAATGGGAATTAGACAGGTCTAAATCGAGTCAAACACGTGACTCAGCACATCAACAAAGGGAAGCAGAGGACGAGCAGAGACAGCAGAGACCAGCAAGACAGAATGGCTTCAAAACGACCATTACGCTTGCTAAATAACTACCCGAAAGCCAGGAAAGACCGAGCAAAGAAATCATAAACGCTGCGCGATGAGACTGCTGATGATACGAAAGACAACAAAGCGGAAAAAGAGATGTGACAACCCCCGCCCAACAACCGACGCGGAGGCTAAGAACAGCAAAGAACTGCCATAGTCGCAGGGATTTCAGACATACCTTGCGAAGTCATTATGAATGTGAGTGGCGAGTGTCAAGAATCTATACATTAACGTTTATCTATCCAGGAGTATACAAGAAGAAAGAGAGGGGTGGGTTGTGAGCATCTTGGCGGGCGGACGGCAGAACCCAACTCTTTAAGAAGCCCCTGTCAGCCGACATGGTCTGGTCATATCACGGTGGCTCGCATGGGTGAGTCGGCTACAAACTGGGCTTATTACGGAGTAGCCCCATCTATGTCGAGTATGAAAGGAGTTGGATGGGTCCTTGTGTATGGTGCCGGTACATACCTACAACCACAGGTATGGTAGGGACCGACTGTGATGATGTTGATTGGGCGATTACCACGAACTGGATAGGTTACTCCAACCAGACATTCAATACTGGTTTGGATGATCGGTTAGCCTATATTATTGGCGTCAGGTCAGTACACTGGAAATTGACTGGATTATAGTAGTAGTACGCCGACACTGTTCAGCTGGATCATGAAATCGCCATAACATATATCGTCTGTCTGCTCCGGAGAATGCACCATAGCTCTCAGAATCCCTTCAACACTACAATACTACTATATCCACATCCGCAATAAGAAACACCTCCTGTGGAGCTGTGTTATCTCCCTCCTCTTTGGCCCAAATATCATACGTTTTTTGGAAAGCCTAGCCACAATACTACGATCTCCAACCTCTACCCACTCTCTACTCGTTCTCTATCCGTTCTCTATCCGCGGACATCCGCATGATTGGAGCTAATGGCTAAGATTGAGTCAAGTGGCTAGCCGTTAAGGAGAAGACGACCCAGGTCTTTGAAAGGAATATGCCTAGGAAAATTCACATATACTCCATGGTAGAGGACTCATCCAGCCAATGCGCTGAACAAAACTGACCGTGTTTGTCAATATAAACCGCCGATGTTGAGTATGGGAGCATGCCTCTATGGTGTCCAAATAAAGCTACAACGAAGGTGATCGCTCACAGCACTCTTTCTATTTGTGTCCTGGAACCCAGGTGGACCCCCCGGACCCGCTGGTTCCAAGCTTGTCCATCATGACGTCTTGACAAGAAGGGGGAGAAGGCTGTGATTGTTGGATTTTCAGACCCTGAAAATCTATCCCACTGCGGGCAGAGTCAAGGGCTTCATGAACTAATGGGTCTTGGGCTTGCTGATTGGGTCGACGATTAGCAGATTGTCGGTCCTGACGACATGCTGTCAAGTCGTAAACCAATTGTCAAGTGGTAAGCCAGTTGTAAAGCGGGTGTATGAGCCGGTCATGTCGAGTCTTGGGAATGCTCCACGTCCGCTTCATGCAGTATAGCCCACGAGATCCGTACGTTGTTGTTGATACTTCCAACAGCTGCAGTTGGTTCTGTTTCAGCCTTGCTTGATTCATATTATAAAAAAGAAACAATGGAACAGGCACAACCAAGACGGGGACATATAGTACCAATCCTACCTCAATATCGACATGAGCGATCATTCGCTGCTATAGACCGGGGCATACAAGCCCTGTAGCCACGCCATGAAACACTCCCAGTGTCAGAAGTAGTGAGTGGAGTACCTTAGAAGTCAGGTATCTAATACTCGTCACTGCCTTAGGTGTGAGTACCACGGCGGAAGTGCCTGAATGCCTGAGTGCCTGAGACGGAGGATCACCAGCCTGGGGCAGCCTGAGGCACCCATCCACGTCCTTCAACTTCCTGGTTGTGACGCTGAGTAAACTCATCCAACACGACCGCAATCTTGTTACTTTCTGGCAATGGATTGACTTTCCCTTTTATCTGGGGCTATTTGAACCATCCATTCCTCAGACGAGTGGGTCCTCTCCTCTTCCCCCTTATCGATACCGCAGTCCTTGCACTAAAACAAAACTTGTTTCCATTAAGCGCGGTGGAGGGATCAAGTCGGATCCACTCCTGACTCTCCATCCTTCTTTGTCCTCGTTCTTTGATTTTCTATCTCCTGCACTGACTGAAAAGAACAAAAGAAGATGATCCCTCATCGGAGTACAACCCTCCTGACGGCCATCGTCTTCATCGGTCTGTTACTCGTCATCTTCTCCTCCACCCCATCCACCCCCGATCCGTCCACGGGCGAGGTACCAGTCTCCGGCCCGGCCAAGTATGTCCCCCGACCGAAGCTACCGGCGCTGAGCGACCTGCACCTCCCGTCGTTCTATCCCACCGCGCATAAGCCGCCCGCGACCCAGCCGGACAGCGCGAGCGGAGGTTCGAAATGGCTGAGCGACCTGTCATGGCTGAATCCCTTCTCCTCGTCCACCACCCTCGAGGAGGACCGATCCGTGCTCCCGCCGCTGCGACACCGACCCTACGTCTACACCTACTACAATGCCGATCAGAAGAATGGTGGACCCCAGGATAATGCCGATGCCGGCCTGCTGCTCGCCTGGCGCCGCGCGTGGTTCGCCCAGGGGTTCCGCCCCGTCATCCTCGGCCGCGGCGAGGCCGTCCACAACCCGATCTACGAGATGGTCCAGAATATCAAGTTCGGGACCGCGGACATTGAACACGAGGTGCTCCGCTGGCTGGCCTGGGGGCACATGGGCGATGGGATCCTGGTCCACTGGCGCTGCTTCCCCATGGCGCGGTACGACGATCCACTGCTGTCCTACCTGCGCCGCGGAACGGACCCGGCGGTCATCACGCGTCTCGACAAGATTCAGAATGGCCTATTCGCCGGCACGAAGGAGCGGATCAACGAGGTGATCAAGGAGGCCGTCAGCAAGGGTATCAGCGACCAGGCGACCAACATCTTCGACCTGGTCGCGCCCGAGACGTTCAAGGTGGAGCAGACCAGCGCCGTGGCGTGGTACAACTCGGCCGCCATCGTGTCGCACTACCCGGCCCTGGCGGAGAAGATGGACCGGTCGCGGGGCTCGGGCACGGCGGCCCTGGTCGAGCTGGTCCACTCGCACCTGCACAACACCTTCCAGAACGCATTTCCCGCCGGCATCGCCGTCCTGAAGCCGTTCCCCGAGCACACGACAGCCCTGGTCGAGCCGGCGCTCCGGTTGGCCCGGGCGCTGGGCCGCTGCCCGCCGTCCCCGATGCCCAACTCCTGCCCGCCGAACCTCCCCCGCTGCCGACCCTGCGACCCGGAGAAGCCGATGCACATCAGCCAGCCCCAGAGCTACCGCAACACGACGCACGTATTCAGCATCGGCACGCTACCGCACCCGTACACACTCGTCAGCCTGCGACAGAACTCGGCGGAGGTGACGACGCGGCACATCCGTCGCGAGACGGAGCGGGACGAGTGGCTGCAAGCCGTGACGCAGGAGCAGCTAGGCCTCGAGATCGGCGGGTCCGCCCGGGCCAGCGTGTTGAAGAAGGTGGTGGCAGACGACGACCTGACGGACGCGTCGCTGTGGATGACGGTCGAGTCCATCCCGCCCGACGCGGGCCAGGCCCTGCCCACGGAGCTGCTGAACGAGTTCGAGTGGCAGCTGGGCTTCCCGATCCCGCGGGAGGAGAAGGACAAGGTGGATGCCAAGAACGAAGGTGCCTCCAAGGAGTCCCTGCAGAACGCCAACCCCAGCCGAGAGGGGGTGGGACGCGAGTACGAGGTGCTCCAGGCGGCCCGGGCGGTGCTGAACAGCAGGGAGGGACCTCAGGTGGTCATCAGAGACGTGGTGGAAGCGTGGAATCTGGCCGATACGGAGGTGTGGCGATTTGTCCGAGCATTCCGGTTTGTCTCCTTCAATCCATTTGACCATTGGAGATCCAACTAACTGATCATCTGATAGCGCCCGAAGTGTCTTTGAGCGACAGCGATGGGAGGAAGAGGAGAAGAATTTCCTGGGACCTCTACACCACTGATTCTGTCCTTCTTTTTCTTGTTTGCTTCGTAGTTCTTTGTTATAATGTGCTACCCCTTCCTGTCGTTGTGGGACTTGTATGGAATCGTGTATCACCACTGGGTTAGGAGGAGCATTGGCGGCGTTATCTAATTTTATTCTTTTTTACTATATTTTCTGTTCTATTCTATTCCATTTGTTCATTCTTTATTTTTTCTAATATTATTTCCCTTTCTTCATCGATCTATTTATTTATCCTTATTTTTAGTAGATATTTCAATCCAGTTATAGATCAAAGGAATCCCATCCATGAATAACAACGGATCCTACTAATCAGAAAGACTCGGATGGTGGCGATCCCCGCATGAACGCCGTGTCACTCCCACTCTGTCATGGTGGGGTTAGTTACACTCTTCTGATAAGCTAACCAGCTAATGTAATGGTTCCAGGTTATCGTTCCATCTTGCAGTATTGGGATTTCCCTTCAAGCATTATTTGGGGCCATTGTGACTTCGGGCGGGTCAGCTTCCCCGGCCCGTCCGCTGCAGCTGCTGGTCACGCTGGATAAAAGATGCCCACATCCCTTGGGTTTCTTTCTTCTTCAGCTTTTTACTATTTACTCTTACTGAGTAGAACTGATTGATTTGATTGATTTGATCTATTGAGAACCATCGAATTGTGCTCGATGTGGGTGTCCATGGCTTGATTGTATACTTCTAAGCTTGGTCCTTCGGTTACTACTACGTTCCCTACCTGATTACTACCTGACTATACAACACAACACTTCTCCCCCTTGGCGGGTCTACACGCGACAATGGCCCCCGGAATTGCGACAGCCCCCGAGGCGCCCGTGGTGGCCCCGAAATCACTATCGCTGGCGCAGTTGACGGAAGACTGGGACGATACCATTCGGTTCTACCTGAACGGCACCAAGGTCGCTGTGGATACGGTCAACCCGGAGCTTACGCTGCTCGAGTACTTGAGGGGTGTGGGGCTGACGGGGACGAAGCTGGGCTGTGCGGAGGGGGGATGTGGCGCGTGTACGGTGGTATGTCTTATCGTCATCCTTGTTGTTTTGCTTGTGGCAATAATATACTGACTGATATGATATGTCTTATAGGTACTCTCACATGTCAACCCCACGACGAAAAAGATCTACCACGCTTCAGTCAACGCGTGTCTCGCGCCCTTGATCAGCGTCGATGGGAAACATGTCATTACCGTGGAAGGAATCGGGAATGTGAAGAACCCGCATGCTGTTCAGCAGCGCATGGCTATGGGGAATGGGAGTCAGTGTGGTTTCTGTACGCCTGGCATTGTCATGGTATGACTACACCGTTTTCAGAGCAGAAGGGATGTATGGATGGGTGGCTAATCGATTAGAGCATGTACGCCCTCCTGCGGAATAACCCCCAACCCTCCGAACACGCCATTGAGGAGGCCTTCGACGGCAACTTGTGCCGCTGCACGGGATACCGTCCAATTCTGGACGCCGCGCAGAGCTTCGCCGCCCCGGCGAGCAGCAACAGCAGTCCGTGTGGCAAGGCCGCCGTGAATGGTGGTTCCGGATGCTGTATGGAGAAGAAGAGTGGCGAGGGGGGATGCTGCAAAGCGCCAGCGGTGGATCTCATGGACGGCAAGGCGCCGAAGCTGACGCCGCCCGAGTTCATCAAATACAGCCCCGACACGGAGCTGATCTTCCCGCCCGCGCTGCACAAGCATGACTTTCAACCGTTGGTGTTCGGCAACAAGAAGAAGCGCTGGTACCGGCCCGTAACGGTGGATCAGCTCCTGCAGATCAAGAGCGTGCATCCCGACGCGAAGATCATCGGCGGCAGCACGGAGACACAGATCGAAGTCAAGTTCAAGGCCATGCTGTATCCCGTGTCGGTCTACGTCGGGGACATCCCCGAACTCCGCCAGTACTCCCTCCACGAGGACCACGTTGACCTCGGCGCCAACGTCTCGCTGACCGATCTGGAGTCGATCTGCGACCAGGCTCTAGAGCGCTACGGATCTGTCCGCGGTCAGCCCTTCAGCGCCATCAAGAAGCAGCTTCGGTACTTCGCTGGACGGCAGATCCGGAACGTTGCGTCCCCAGCAGGGAACCTAGCTACCGCATCGCCCATCTCGGACCTCAATCCCGTGTTCGTAGCGACTAACACCGTGCTAGTCGCCAAGTCGCTCGACACCGAGGTGGAGATCCCCATGAGCCAGTTCTTCAAAGGCTACCGCTCGACAGCCCTACCCCCAGACGCCATCATCCTCAGCCTGCGCATCCCCGCTGCATCGGCGCAAGGCGAACACCTCCGCGCTTACAAACAGTCGAAGCGGAAAGACGACGACATCGCCATCGTCAACGCCGCGCTGCGCGTGTCGCTATCCCCCGCCCACGACATCACCAGCGTCAACCTCGTCTTCGGCGGTCTAGCACCCATGACGGTATCCGCCAAGAACGCAGAATCCTTCCTAGCAGGCAAGAAATTCACGGACCCAGCCACGCTAGAAGGCACAATGAGCGCGCTATCACAGGACTTCGACCTGAAATTCAGCGTTCCCGGCGGCATGGCCACATACCGCAAGTCCCTCGCACTCGGCTTCTTCTACCGCTTCTACCACGACATACTGTCCACCCTAGAAGTAACCTCCGCAGATGTCGACGACGAAGCAATCGCCGAGATCGAGCGCGCCATCTCCACCGGCCAAAAAGACCACGAGGCATCAGCCGCCTACCAACAGAGAGTCCTCGGCAAAGCCGGCCCCCACGTATCAGCGCTCAAGCAATCCACCGGCGAAGCACAGTACACGGACGACACGCCCGTGCTGCAGAACGAGCTGTTCGCGTGCATGGTGCTGTCGACCAAGGCGCACGCCAAGATCCTCAGCGTCGATACCGCCGCCGCGCTCGCCATCCCCGGCGTCCACGACTACGTCGACCACCGCGATCTCCCCAGCCCGCAGGCGAACTGGTGGGGCGCGCCGAACTGCGACGAGCAGTTCTTTGCTGTCGATGAGGTTAATACCGCGGGGCAGCCGATCGGGGTGATCTTGGCGACGACGGCTAAGATTGCTGAGCAGGGGGCGAGAGCTGTGCAGGTGCAGTATGAGGAGTTGCCGGCTATTCTGTCGATTGAGGAGGCTATTTCTGCGGAGTCGTTCTTTGCGCATTCGCCGTTTATCAAGTGCGGGGATCCCGAGAGTGCGTTTGAAACTGCGGATTATGTCTTTACGGGGGAGTCGAGGATGGGTGGTCAGGAGCACTTTTATCTCGAGACGCAGGCTTGCGTTGTCATTCCGAAGTTGGAGGACGGGGAAATGGAGGTGTGGAGCAGCACGCAGAATCCGACTGAAACGTGAGTCTCACCCACTGGTGTCATTTCAACCAAGCTAACGTGCTATAGCCAATCCTACGTCGCCCAAGTAACCGGCGTCGCCAACAACAAGATCGTCTCCCGCGTGAAGCGCCTCGGCGGCGGCTTCGGAGGCAAAGAAACCCGCTCAGTCCAGCTAGCATGCATCTGCGCGGCAGCAGCATCCAAGACCCGGCGTCCCGTGCGGTGCATGCTCAACCGCGACGAAGACATGCTCACCTCCGGCCAGCGGCACCCCTTCTACTGCCGCTGGAAAGTCGGCGTCAGCAAGACCGGCAAACTCCTCGCGCTAGACGCAGACGTCTACGCCAACGGCGGCCACACGCAGGATCTCTCCGGCGCGGTCGTCGAGCGCAGTCTATCGCACATCGACAACGTGTACAAGATCCCGAACGTACACGTGCGCGGCCACATCTGCAAGACGAACACCGTCTCCAACACAGCCTTCCGCGGCTTCGGAGGCCCGCAGGGCCTCTTCTTCGCTGAGAGCTTCATCTCCGAAGTCGCAGACCACCTCGATATCCCCGTTGAGACGCTACGGCGGGACAACATGTATCGCGCGGGCGACAAGACGCACTTCAACCAGGTGATCAAGGACTGGCACGTGCCGCTGATGTACGAGCAGGTGCTTGCCGAAAGCTCGTACGACGCCCGACGACAGGCCGTAGAGGCATACAACAAGACACACAAGTGGTCGAAGCGCGGGCTAGCGATAGTGCCGACCAAGTTCGGGATCTCGTTCACAGCGCTGTTCCTGAACCAGGCGGGCGCGCTGGTGCACATCTACCACGACGGGAGCGTGCTGGTTGCGCACGGCGGCGTGGAGATGGGGCAGGGCCTGCACACGAAGATGACGATGATTGCGGCAGAGGCGCTCAACGTGCCCGTCGAAGACGTGTTCATTTCCGAGACGGCGACGAACACGGTAGCGAACACGTCGTCGACGGCCGCGTCGGCGAGCTCCGACCTCAATGGATACGCGATCTTCAACGCGTGCGAGCAGATCAACGAGCGGCTGCGGCCTTACCGGACGAAGATGCCGAACGCGCCGATGAAGGATCTCGCGCACGCGGCTTACTTCGACCGCGTGAATCTCTCTGCGCAGGGGTACTACCGGACGCCGGAGATCGGGTACGTGTGGCGCGAGAACAAGGGACAGATGTTCTTCTACTTCACGCAGGGCGTGACGGCCGCTGAGGTGGAGATCGACACGCTGACAGGCGATTGGACGCCGCTGCGGGCGGACATCAAGATGGACGTCGGACGCACGATTAACCCATCTATCGACTACGGGCAGATCGAGGGCGCGTTCGTGCAGGGTCAGGGCCTGTTCACGACGGAGGAGAGCCTCTGGCACCGCGGGACGGGGCAGCTGGCGACGCGGGGTCCTGGCAACTATAAGATTCCCGGGTTCAGGGATATCCCGCAGGTTTTCAATGTCAGTTTGCTGAAGGATGTGGAGTGGGAGGAGTTGCGGACGATTCAGCGCAGTCGGGGCGTGGGCGAGCCGCCGCTGTTTATGGGGAGTGCTGTGTTCTTTGCGATTCGGGATGCGCTCAAGGCGGCGAGGAGGCAGTGGGGGGTGAACGGAGTGTTGAGTTTGAGGAGTCCGGCGACGCCGGAGAGGATAAGGATTAGTTGTGCGGATCCGATTGTGGAGAGGGTGAGGGTGGAGGGGAAGGATGAGGAGTGCTTTTTTGCTTCGATTTAGTTCTTGTATCTTGGTTGATTGAGCGTTGGAATCTTGCATGGTATAGTATAGTATAGCCAAGTATGAATGCACATTGTGATATCTATCTACCATAGCAGTACACGCCTCGACTCCTCTAAACCAGGACAACACAGGCTAACTACATGAAAGGAGTCAATGATAGTAAGAAAAAGAAGAAAAGAACAGTCAAATAAAAACAAATAAAGAAGAAAGAAATCACCGCTTCTCCCCCGCATACTCAACATAACTACTCCCCCTCAAATCCGGCCCCCCATCAACCATCAACGGCCTCTGACCCGCAAACCCCAACTTCTCATCCTGATACTGCGTCTCCGACACAGCCGGCATATTGACTCTGGTATTGCCCGCAGTAGCAACCTCATACCGCGGCGCCGGCTGCGTCCGGCTGATATCATCATCATCGCCACCACTATTCATATCGTGGTGTCGGCCCCCGTAAGAAGCAGGATTAGGCATCGCCGTCAACGGCACATCAGTGAAACCACTGGAATTAGGAGAAGAATGGTGGGAATGAGGGGGAGGGGGGACGTGGACACGCAAGGCATGGGCGGGACCGCCCTCGCCGCGCGTTTTGTCGCGGGTCCAGAAGAGAGAGAGTGCGCGGATGATGCCGATCAACGCGTTAAGAGCCCAGAGGAGGACGAGGATAGAGAAGATGATAGCTTCGAAGCGAATGGCAGAGTCGATTTTGGCAACGACGCGCGCGACGACTTCTGTGATCTTGTTGGCTGTTTGGTCGCCTGCGTCGGAGAGGAAGCTCTCGTCTCCTTCGCCGTTGATGGAGTCCGCGGCGCCGCGGGTGAAGATATCGGAGGGGAGATCGGGGAGGTTGATGTGGGCGTTGTCGTGGACCCATGTGAGACCTTTTTGGACGGCGTCGATTTTGAGACCTATTAGACAGTCGAAGAGGTCATCAAGGAGGTCGCGGAGGAGGGTATCGCCGAAGGTGTCGTTGAGGAGGGACTCGGTCTTGTCGACGAAGGCGTTGAGGGTATCGTTTAGGGCGGTGGTGGCTGGGTCGACCCAGTCGAGGAGGTCGTCGTTGAGAGAGGCGTCTGTGTCGGCGATGGCGGCGTTGGCGTCGTGGGCCCATGCCTTGGAGGTGTCGTCGAGGTGGGTGACGACTTGGTCGGCAAAGGCGCCGACTTGGGTTGCCAGGTCGGGCACCGCGCGCTGGACGGCGTGGAGGAGGATGTACTGGCCGAGGCAGGCGAGGAGGCCTGCGAGGCCGAGGGTCAGCACGAAGAGTGCTGCGGGGGTTGTCGCGTAGGCGACGGCCCAGCGGGTGAGGTTCTGGCGCCGGCTGGTGCTGCAGCGGCTGGCGGCTTTGATGCCGAGGGCGGCGGTGGCGGGGCGGGAGATGATGTAGACTGCGTCCATGGGGTCTGTGGTGGAGGAGGAGGAGGAGGAGGGGTCTTTGTGGAGGAGATGGTGGGAGCGGTCTTTCATGGTGCGCCAGCGGCGGATTTCCTGCCAGGCCTTCAGGAGACAGACGAGGACGACTAGAATGACGAGCACGGCGATGAAGACGCGGCGGGCGAGGGCGGCGAGGTCGCTGATGTCGTCGAAGAAGGCGTTGATGCCGCCGTTGTGGTCGGCGCAGAAGGAGAGGTGGGCTTTTGTGGGGACGGAGAGGGCGGCGCGGTCGAAGGTGTAGTTGGTGAGGGATTCGTTGACGCGCTTTTTGACGAGCTCGAAGGGGGTGCGCAGGACGTTGGAGACGAAGGCGTCGACCTCGGAAAAGGTGGGGATGGAGTCATTGAGCTTGTCGAGGCCGGTGTCGATGCTGGAAGGCAGAGAGAGGTGGTCGAGTTTGTCGAGCGAGCCGCCGACGTTGAGCTTGGGCACGTCGTCGCCAAAGGCGCTGGCGACGGAGTTGATCCTGTTGAGGAACTTGTTGAGGCCGTTGTCGAAGGTGTCGACTGTCTTGCTGATGTCGTGGCCGATCTCCTTGACGGTGGAGTTGAGGAAGTCGGTGGCGTCCTTGATGACCCCGACGGCGACCTGGACGCTGCCTCGGACGGCGAGGGTGAGGAGACAGAGGTAGGTCTGGTACATGACCTTAATGAAGAAGAGGACCAACTCTTCGACGGCGGTCAGGGACAGCATCAGCACGGACTGAAGGGCGTGGACGGCGTGCTCGACGCTGGAGGCCGTGACCTCGTTGACGCCCTGGGCCATGTAGTGTGGCATCGAGGCCATGGCGCTGCCCATTGACTCGACGGTGGTGCAGGCCCGGAGGGCGTCGGCGTGGGCCCCGTCCATGTCGGTCTCCATGCCAGTGACGGCGATGAGAACGCGGACGAGGACGAGCAGCAGCAGGATGGTCCACGGGTTTATCCAGACCTGGGACAGGCGGGCACGCAGCCCGAGATACGGGGTCAACTCATCTGGGTGGCGAGATTGACTACCGTGGGGGTCACGCGTGTAGGGAGGGAGAAGAGGAAAGATGGAACGAGAGAACATGATTATAGTCTATATGATTGAAGAGAATGATGGAGATGGACCTGCCACCAACTTGCACGCTTGTCGTATGATAGGAAATATAAGTCTATTGAATGGTCATGACATCGAGTCAAAAAGAGAAAGAAAGAGAAAAATGAACAGAAGAAGCCGAAGAAGAAAGAATTACAGAACAGAAGGGAGAGACCGGGGTGTCATTAATAAAGGATTAGAAAAAAAGACAATAGACAATCAACAAAGAGGGACCATGAATGAACTGGTGTTTCATCTTGCGTGAAATGACAGTCACCGGTCTCCTCCAGCGCCAACCAAATATAGATTTTTGTATAGACAGCGCGTAAAACATCCTTTGCATGAAAGTCTCTTAGCGCTTGGTTGGATTCTTCAACCCGATCAGATGCGTTTGATGCCGGCGCTTAGGGTTGTTGCCGCCAGAGTGGAGATGCATCAGCCACCTGGATCCACATGGGATTGATTGGAAGGGAGATAAAGTAGTGTGCAGAATGATGAGAAGACAAAGAAGTTCTGCAAAACATTAAATAATAGGATGATGCTATTAAGAGTGGAAGTGAGATGTTGTTATCCACGTGACTATCCCCGCCCTAATCCTGACTTCAGCCCATCAACTGGATAGAACATAGAATGAATACAGACAGAATACCGATGAAGAACAGAGATAAATTATATGTAGATGCTGCATTATCTATAAGCAAGATAGTCTATCTTATATTCTCTTTGCTCCAGATTAGATCAAGTATAGTCCTGATCAATCCAACCACAGCAGTCATCCGCTCACGTCTAACAAGATGTATAGAATAATGTATAGAATACCCTCATCACACCCCGTTCACAGATAGACTAGAGGCATGTAGTAAATCGCATCATTGTCAAGATGAGTCGTCAAGATGAGTCGTCGCCGAGAACCCACGATAATAAAACCGCGAAATTCTTGTTTTCTTTCCTCTTTCCCCTTTCTCTCTTCTCACGATCCTCTCACGTGCCCTCACAAGCCCTCACTTTGGACCGTCAACATCCTCTGACAGTATGGACCATCATCTATCTCTGTTGAGATGAAAACTAATATGTCTTAGATAGAACAACTAGTCTGTTTGATACCAAGATACCACCATAGCCAGTCAACTGGTGTATGACCATGGACTCAACCAGACCAGACTCCCCTGACCCATCCTCCCCATCCTCTCCCCTCCGATCCAGCCTCCACTCTCCAGGAGAAGGTCGCACTTCTAAATCAGTCAGCTTTGGTCCAGTGGATGTCAGTGTCCAGGCTCCCAGTGATGATGAAGATGAAGTTGACCCGGTGGGTTCTCATCTCCTGGACCCTGGTGATGGAGACGATGAAGCAGACCCAGTGAAGGCAGAGAAAGGTGAGTGTCCTGTCTGTCACCGTATCTTCACCTGGTCATCGTTACTCTTAAGCTGGCATTCACCAGATCAGAGGAACCATGGCTGGTTTTTCCTGACTATATATTCCCATCTTCCACTCTTCTCTTCTCCTCCCCATCCTCTTCATCCTCTTCATCATCATCTCTTCTCCTTGATACCATCCTCTCCAGTTGCGACATCAATCATCTAACAAATTCAGAACCGATCAAAGACTCTGCAATCTCTCAGGCCCTCGACGTGATTCATCCGTGTACTGACACGCGCTCTTCTGACGACAACAGTCTCCCTAGTGAGACAGACTCATCTACCATGCCCATCTACGGCGGCAGCAAGAAGGGTAAAAAGAAGAACAAGGGTAAGAAGGGTGGAAAAAAGAACAACAAGAAGATCACCAATGCTCTGACCCCTCTCAACCAGCCCAGTGGCCAGGGCCAGGTCGACCGTGACGGCGCCGAGTCGGAGCATTCGTCCAGCACCGGCACCTTTTACACCGCCAAAGAGTACCAGGACGATGACCTCGCAGAAAGAATGGCTCTTCTGAATCAGCCAGTGGAGCAGGAGTTCACCCTTCCTCTGGGAATCCCAGGACCCGCGTCGGAGCATTCTTCCAGCACGGCCACCTTCTACACCGCAAAGGAGTACCAGGACGACGATGACACCACTGAAAGGGTGGATCCTCAGAATCAGACCGTGGAACAGGAGCTCACCCTCCCTGTGAGAGCCAAAGAGCCTGAGACTCCACCAAATGAGCCTGCTCGCGAGGCCACGGCTACCCCGACTCAGGCCCTCACTCCCCAGTCGGCCAAGGCGACGCCCCCATCCGGCACCTGGTCCAATGCCCCCGGCTCCAGAGGCACAGCCTCAACGGTGATCACCCCTGGTCCTGCCCTCAACAGCAGAAAGAAGAAGAAGAAGAAGAAGAAGACTGGAAGCCAGGGCACCACCAGCCAAAGTACCGTGACCGGATCCTCGTCCGACGTCATCGCCGGCCACGCCCACCCCGACCCCGTCCCCACCGCCATCCTCGCCAACGAACTCGCCCCCGAGCACAAACCTAAAAACTTCGTCTGGGACCTCACCAAGCACGTCTTCATCTGTGCAGCCCCCGACTGCAGCGAACGCTGCCACACCTGGGCCCCTACAACCGCCATCTGCCCCAGATGTGGCCCCTACTCCGAGATCCGCTACTGCTCCACGCAGCATCTGCTCCAGGACATCAAGCGTCACTGGGTCTCGCACTGCCTTCACTACACCTTCGAGCATCCCTGCCGGCCTGACTCGCTGCCTCCAGCCCTCGCTGAAGCCGTCCCTCTGATCCCCTGCGCTCACATGTACGACATGCCCGAGCGCCATCGCCAGGCCGTTTACTTCAACGCCAACTCTGCGCGCGGCGACTACTTTATCTTCTCGGACTATGACGACCTCCGCGATGCGGGGACCATCCTGGACGACGATCTCGACACACGCATCCGTCTGCGCTGCTCGTCGCGCGTCATCTTCACCGTTACCATTCAGGACGCAGACCTGAAAGATCGATTCCGTCGGATCCTGGCAGCCTGTCTATTCAGTACTTCCCCACCCTTCCCATCAAACAAATAACATCAAACCAAACCAAAATACTAACAGATTGAAACAGAAACCATCACAGTCGTAGTGGTGACCGACTACCTCTACCGCCTCATCCGCGACAACCTCCGCGCGCACACCCCCAAGCTCACCAAGTCCCAACTCGCCCACCTCGAAGCAGCCGTCACTTACCAATTCGCTCAAGAATTCTCCACCACCCTAAACGAACAGCTCGTCGGCCGCCGCCACGCCTGCGAAACCGACTGGACCGGCCGCAACCGCCGCTTCTGCCGCGACGCCACCTGCCGCGCCGAAGACCGCCGTCTGCTGGGCCGTCACCACGGCGCGGGGCACAAGCATACCGTCGAGGGACTGGAGTCGTCGTATTGGATTTTGAGAGTTGCGAGGAAGACCTTGCCGCCTGCTGCTCAGGGCCATGCTCATGCTTTTGAGGTTGGGGCGAAGGCGCGCATGCGCGGTGAGGGCTTCCCTGATGTGGTTCCTGAGGATAGGAGGGTTTTTCGCCGTGGGGAGGGATGGGATGGGGCTGGCTCGGGGGAGCTTGAGATTGAGGGGGTGAATGATTATGATTTTCCGATTGAGGTTCCGGCGGATGTTTTTGCTATGGGGGAGATGGATTGGGAGTAGTTTGTTTTTGCTTTCTTTCTTTGCCTTTTGAGGGTGTTGTGTCTGGATGGTTTGATGGACTGCTTCGGAGGCTAAGGATAAAGGTGTGGAGGGAGATTGATGTGTTTTTTCTTTTTCTTTCTGTGCTGGATCTGGATGGTTTGCGTCGGAGGATAAGGGATGGACTATCGACGTTGATGGATTTTTCTTCTTTCTTCCTCAAGGTACTGGGTCAGAATTTGGTTTGCTTCGGAGGATAAGGGATGGGCTATGAGGTTGATGGATCTTTCGACTTTCTTCTTTCTTTCTAACAATAATGGTGACACTGATATGGACTTTCGTGGACATAAAGAGATAAATAGAAAAAAAAAATCTACTGCGTTTACCTCTTCTACCGAAGATACTGCTCTACTGAATATACTTCTTCAACCCCCGCAGCCTCTCCTTAGCCGTCTCCAACACATCATCATTCTTGCAAACCGCAAACCGCAAATAATCCTCCGCGATATGCGCATTGGCATCCGTGTAGAACTCCGTCGGCGGGATAGCCGCGACGCCCACCTCGTGGATCAAGAACCAGCAGAGCTGGAAGTCGCGCGGCCGGCTGGCGACATGCGGCGGGAAGGGGTAGTCCTCCGGCAGGCGCACGGACGCGAAGTTCGCCAGCACGAAGTAGCCGCCCTCGGGCTCCGAGTAGGGGATGTTCAGCTCGTCGAAGACCTGGCAGAATCGCTGCACCTTGCCCAGCATCTCGTTGCGGCTCTCGTCCCAGAACCCGTGCGCGTCGGCTTGCTCGAAGGCTACTGCTGCTGCCTCCTGCAGCGGTGACACACTGCTGTAGCAGATGCGTGTGTGCGCTCCTGCTACGTACTTGACCAGGTGCTCGGGCCCGATCAGGTAGCCTACTCGCCAGCCGGTTGCGTAGAAGGCTTTACCGGCGGATCCGACGGTCAGTGTGCGCTCGTACAGCTCCGGCGAGAGCGTGCCGATGCGCGTGAACGGCACGTAGAACAGTCGGTCGTAGACCTCGTCCGAGAGAATGATAAGGTTGTGCTTGATGCACAGGTCGCCGATGCGCTGGAGTTCCTCGCGGGAGAACACCTTGCCCACGGGGTTGTGTCTGGATAGGTTAGTTGGTCCGGGTGATTATAAAGGGAGGGAGGAAGTGCGCCTTACGGAGAATTCAACACCTGTTAGAAGTTAGCGAATAAACATGTCAACTACTATGCGTGAGTTCTTACCATCATCTTGGTCTTGGGGTTGATGGTCCGCTCCAGCTCGTCAAAGTCGATCGTCCACTCCGAGGCCGGCGACGTCCGCGTGGCCCCGTCCTTGGGAGGGTGCAGCGGAACATAGCGGATGGTACCCCCGGGCATCTCGATGTTGCTGATATACCTTTGTCGGGTCAGTCAGTGACCACACGCAAACCAGAGTCAAGGGACGTACTGATCAAAGAAAGGCTCAAAGATAATGACCTCGTCGCCCTGCTCAATAAAACCCATAAAGGCACTGAGCATACCTGTATCACGGTCAGTTTGTGTCCACCCGCATTGCATCCCACCAGTATTGCGCACCTTCGTTGGCGCCCGTCGTGATGGACACTTCAGTATCCGGGTTGATCGTGCGACCAAAGTGCGGGGAGTAGGCATCCGCGATGGCTTTCTTCAGACGAGGGCGACCCTAGATCTCCCATCAGCGACACCCTTCCACGCATGGTTCCCGCGCGCACCTTGGTGGGGGAGTATTGGTTGCAGTCGACGCGGTCGAGGGCGTCTTTGGCGGCGTCCAGGGCGAACTTGGGAGGGTTGTAACCACTGCACAGATAGTCAGTACCCTGTAATCCCCCCCTCCCATATTATTGGATACGCACAAGAAACCCTGCCCCATGTTCACGATCGGCTGGACAGGCGAGGCCGCGGCGGCCTCGTTGACGATGGACCTAGTCAGGGTTAGGAAGGCGTTCGCGCGCGTCGCATTGGATCAACTCGCACCAGACATCCTGTCGCTGGCCGGCGACACGCTTCGCCGGCTTAAAAGGGTCCGCACGGGGTGCGGTCGTCGACATGGCTCGGCGGGGGATAAGGCGGGGTAGATTGGAGATAGCGGAGGGGGGAGACGTCAAGGGACGAATGGAGCGGACGGCCGTGCGAGAGGCAAGGAACATAAGTGAGAATAACACCAAAGATATAGACGAAGACAAAGACAAGAGGTCTACTGGCGCGTCGGAGTTCTCCGGGTGAGGGGAAGTTGAGGTTATCTCCAACTCTCGGCTCCGTATCGGAATGGCGTGCTGGAGAGGCCTCACCGATCAGGCAGCAAGGCACCGCTGAGTCAGCGCTTATCGCCTGCCTTATCGCCTTATCGATCGATTCGACGCGTCCGCGTTGGATTTCTGTATCCATTCGAGTTCTATGTCTATTCAAATTTTGATTGATCCTCTATCCCTCATGTACTCATAAACAATGGTCTCCTGTCCTATCTGCGCCAATTCCGTCCCATCCCTCAAGATCAACGACCATATCGATTCCGGTTGCCAAAGCTTCGTGGAAGAATCCTCGCCTCCCTCGACCGCGCCCTCGACCGACCCGGAACCCTCCCAGAAACCCCAGGTTCCCACCTTTTTCCAACCGACCTCGGCCCGGAAAGCATCGGCGCAGTCGAAGCTCCAGTCTGAATTTCAGGCGGACGCCTCCCCACTCCGTAATGCCAGCCGCAAGCGACCCGTGACCCAGGATGCGGCTTCCACTTCGCCCGCAGGCGTCAATAGCGCCGGAAAGTCAGAGACACCGCAGGATGCACCGACCAAAAAACCGAGGATGAACGCCCTACAACAGGCCGCTCCGCTGGCGGAGCGGATGCGCCCGCGCACACTCGACGAGGTTTGCGGCCAGGACCTCGTCGGCCCGAACGGCATCCTCCGCGGGTTGATCGAGTCGGATCGGGTTCCGAGCATGGTGCTCTGGGGGGGCCCGGGCACGGGCAAGACCACCATTGCGCGTGTTATTGCCACCATGGTGGGCAGCCGGTTTGTCGAGATCAATAGTACGAGCACCGGGGTGGCGGAGTGCAAAAAGATTTTCGGCGAGGCGCGCAGCGAGCTGGGGCTGACGGGGCGCAAGACCATCATCTTCTGTGACGAGATCCATCGCTTCTCCAAGTCCCAGCAGGACGTCTTCCTCGGCCCGGTGGAGAGCGGCCAAGTGACTCTGATCGGGGCCACGACGGAGAATCCCTCGTTCAAGGTGCAAAGTGCGCTGCTGTCCCGGTGTCGCACGTTCACGCTGTCCAAGCTGACGGACGCGGACGTCAAGTCCATCCTGGAGCGGGCCCTGCGGGTGGAGGGGCCGAGCTACACGCCGTCGGCCCTGGTGGACGACGAGCTGATCCAGTATCTGGCTAACTTCTCCGACGGGGACGCTCGGACGTCCTTGAATCTCCTCGAGTTAGCCATGGATCTGTCGCGGCGCCCGGACATCAGCAAAGAGGAGCTGAAGCGCTCCCTGACCAAAACCTTAGTCTACGACCGGGCTGGAGACCAGCACTACGACACTATCTCGGCCTTTCACAAGTCCATTCGCGGGAGCGATCCAGACGCCTCCCTCTACTACCTCGCGCGGATGATCCAGTCCGGGGAAGATCCGCTGTACATCGCGCGGCGACTCATCGTGGTTGCCTCGGAGGACATCGGGCTAGCGGACCACAGCATGCTCACGCTCGCCATATCGACACACTCAGCGGTGGAAAAGATCGGGCTGCCCGAGGCGCGCATTAACCTCGCGCATGCCACGGTCGCCATGGCGCTGTCCAAGAAGAGCACCCGGTCGTACCGCGCTCTCAACAACGCCTTTGCGGCGCTGGCGGAGCCGGGTGTGGCGGGGCTCCCCATTCCCATCCACCTCCGGAATGCGCCGACGCGACTGATGAAGGAATTGGGGTATGGGAAAGAATACAAGTACAACCCTAATTATGTAGACGGGCAGGTGGCGCAGGAGTATCTGCCGGAGGACCTGCAGGGGCGGAGATTCCTCGAAGACCGGGACCTAGGGGATCGGATTGACCCTGGTGTGAGGTATTAATTACAACAAGTCCATCTGTAAACGATCCATTCAATGGCCGTCATTGTACATATTGATTACTCAATTAGTAGTCAACTATCGTGGGTGATACTCCATACTCCATAGATACCGAGATAGTCAACAGCGGCAGAGACTGACCGCTCTCCGCGTCGCGTCAAAACAATCAAATCCTCCATCGCCGGCGTCAATCCGCCAGTGTCAATCTCTCCAACCAGTCACCCTCCCCACTTTCACTGCTCTACACGAGCACCTCATTAATCTCCGATCCTCGATTCTGATCGCCTTATCTTCACTCTATCCACACCACACACCCCTCAACCAACCAACCCAACAAACAGCCCGATCGGTTCAAACACAGCAACAGCAAACAACACACACAATGGCAACCCAACCAGGGTTCCATCAATCCTACGCCGGTCCAATCTCCGGACCAGGCACCGGCCGAGGTCTCTCCAGCAACCGACTCCCCGACCGATCCCTCAACGCCAACGCCGCGACCGCACCCTTCGCCTCGTCGACCTTCGGCCGCGGCCGCATGATGACCTCCACCATCGACTACGCCGACCAAGGCGCAGGACCAAAGTCCTCCCAGCAAGCGCCCTCCGCACCCGCGCTCCACACACAGAGCGCGCCGGCCGCCGCCGCAGAGAACCCGCTCAGTCGGTTGACCGAGGAGCAGCGGGAGGAGATCAGCGAAGCGGTATGTACCTACCTCCCACAATATGAAACCACGCAACAATCCAAAAAGTATATATACTAACACTAAGTTCGGGGGGAATAGTTCACACTCTTCGACCTCGACCGCGACCGCCACCTCGACTACCACGAGCTCCGCGTCTCCTTCCGCGCGCTAGGCTTCACCCTCCCCAAGCAAGAACTCATCGCGCTACTCAAAACCTACGGCGTGCCGCGCCCGCAAGTCCAACAAGCGCAGTCGCAGTCCGGCGCCGCCGCGAAGCCACCCAGCACGGCAGCAGACGCGTCGCACCCGTCGAACCTCCTCATGCCGCTCAGTGAGTTCCAGGCCGTGACGGCGCATAAGATCCTCGAGCGGGATCCGCGCGACGAGATCATGCGGGCGTTTGAGCTGTTCGACGAGGGCGGTAAGGGGTTCATCGATATTGAGGACTTGCGACGGGTGGCGCGGGAGCTGGGCGAGACGGGCCTCGAGGAGGATGAGCTTCGGGCGATGATTGAGGAGTTTGATCTTGAGGGGAGCGGTGGGGTGAGTAGGGAGGCGTTTGTGGGGATTTGTTGGCAGTGATTTCTTTCTTTCTTACTTTCTTTCTTTCTTACATTTTGCTTTCCGCTTTTTTTCCCGCTGTCTTTTTGGTTGGTTGTTGGTTGTTTGTTTGCATTGCTCGATCCATTATCATCTGCGTCCTTGGGAAGGAGTGTGTGCATATCAGGCTGTATATTTTATCTTGTCCCCCACCACTTTCCATGGGGGGTTTTCTTGCCATTGGTGTCTGCATCTGTCGATATCACTACTTACTATACTAGGTACATACCTACCTACATACCTACATGTCTCCCTCGTTAGGGAGGAATGTCCAGCACAGCAATAATGAACTTATGACTGTCTATTACCCGTCAGATGTATATATCGGCATGAGTTATTCAACCTCACTCGTGTGGAAGTACCAATTCATAAACCTTAATATCAAATAATCATTTATCTCCGAGTATAATACAGCGAAGAAGTCTTCGTTAAGCCTATATTCAGTCCTACATATAAGTCTCTACAGATATGCAGGCACATTACACTTATTCGAAAAGAACAACCCACCCAATCTTATTCCTTTACATAAATGATTCAATAACCTCATTAACCCATTACCAACTAACCCCAGCTTAAAAAAAAATCAAATTAATTTTTTATAAAGAGAGAGAAACAAAGAGGGGGGAAAAAAAAAGAAAAAAAGAATTGACCGACGCAGGGATCGAACCTGCAATCTCTTGATTCGTAGTCAAGCGCCTTGCCATTGGGCCAGCCGGCCTGTTCTTGTTTCTTTTCTTTCGGAACAAAGTTCTCATTCGGCAGTTACTTGCATTCTGCCCGCTAACTAACTACTGCCTGTCTGGTGTTAGTGTCTACTCTAGCATGCACAATTTCTCTTGGCTACGCTATTTGGCTGGTTAGGGCTGGGCGGACTGGGTTGGATATTAATTTATATTAAGCTTGTTTAGAGTAGATTAGTGAGTTCACTAGGGTTAATCATGGGTTATATGGTGTATTTGTCTAGTTGTCAGTCCATATGCCGAGTGCCGAGGAGATTGGATATATACATATCTTGAATGTATCTGCCTACGTCGGACTACGGGCTGCAATCCATACGTTCTATCCAAACTGGCTGGGAATGTTATCCGTGGATGGTAGATAAGATAAATTCCATGCTACGCCATGCAACACGTTAAATGCAAGAAAAGAAACCCCTCATGTTAGATCATCCATGAACGCCTAAAAAACGACTATAAAATAAATAAGATAGCGACAAAATAAGATAAATCATGCATATCGCATTGGTGGCCCGTAGCCCGGCCCCGGGTAGGGCGGCGGGGCGGATCTCCCCCTAGGCCGTGGTATCCCCGCGTGGGGGCCGGTGCCCACGCCCCCGGTGGTGGGGGCGGCATGCCGTTGGGCCAGGGACCCCCGTAGGGCCTAGGCGCCGGGGCTGGCTTGATGGGGCGGCGGGAGCGGCGGCAGCGGTTGATGAGGCAGAAGAGTAGCGCGAGCACGATCAGACCGCCGACGCCGCAGCAGATGCCGATGATGACGTTCTTGTGGCTCTTGATCCAGTTCTTGACGCTCGAGCCCTCGCAGCTGCCGTTGCGGCAGAAGCCGCCGTTACCGCAGGTGGTGCCGTCGAGGAAGTTCTGGTTGACGCTGAGGCACTGGCCCAGGGAGGGGGATGAGCAGACCAGCTCGCATGAGTCGCTGAAGGCGCTGCATGCGTTGGTCTCGTTGTTGTGCAGCAGGCTGCCCATGACTGAGCGGCACTGGTAGTCCCGGCTGGTGCACTGGCCGCTGGCGCAGGTCAGCCCCGACGACGACCCGCCGCAGCTGTCGCCGTCCTTCTTGAAGGTGTCGCTGGGGCAGCTGCTCGAGTCGCCGCTGCAGGTCTCCTCCTCGTCGCACTCACCGCGGCTCTCGCGGCAGACGCTGCCAGCCTTTCGGAACTGGCAGCCCTCGCAGCAGCTGTCGTTGGCGTCGTCGCAGACGGCCTCGGTCTTGAACTTGCACGTCTTGGCGTCGCAGCAGCTGTTGTCCCCGCACGACTCCTCGCCGCCGCAGTCGCAGTCCTCGCCCGACTCGACGATGCCGTTGCCGCACTGCCCGCCCGTGTAGGTCTGGACGTCGCGGTTGGCCGACAGGCAGGTGGACTTGACGCTGTTGCGGCCCAGGGCGGAGCAGATATTGCCGATGGTGCACGCCGAAAATTTGGTCACGTCGTTGCCCGCGGTGGTCGGGTTCATAATGTACCGCGCGTCGGCGTCGCACCCGGAGCTCGACAGGGGACAGCACTGCGACGAGCTGTCAAGGCCCTTTTCGCACAAGATGGAGTCGCAGTCGTGGACGGCGCCGAAGGTGTGGCCGGATTCGTGTGCGAAGACCTGCCAGCCTCCCGGCGACTTGACCACGATGTTGGTGCCGCTGATGGAGTTGGGTCCGATGTCGTTGACCTCGGTGTTGCACAGCTGACCGAGCCAGGCCAGCCCCACCTCGGTGCCCGTGGGACAGGAACTCATCAGGGTCCAGTACGCGTTGTCGTCCTTCTGCTGGCCTCGCCATTTGGAGAAGAGATCCAGTCGGGACGTGATGTTGCCCTGCTCGCAGGGCATGTTCCACTGCGTGGTCGCGGGCGCCTTGTCCGGGCAGGCTGCGTCGGTGAGGGTCAGATTGCGCAGGCCGATGGAGATGTTGAACGAGTGTTCATAGACGTTGGAGGCGCTGTTGACAGTGTTGATGACCCACTTCTTGGCATCGTCGTCGCTCTTGAAAGCGCCGCGGAACGAACAATCGGTCGCGACCCCGATCAAGGCCACCTGCTTCGTCTTCGGACAGCCCGACGTATCGCCGATGGTGGACTTCAGGTTCACGCCGCCGGCGTTGCCGGAGGCGCCGCCGATGTCCGACTGGCGCTTGGTAAGCCCGAACATGGAGTCCAGGGACATGCCGCCCCATCGGCTCTGGATCTGGGACTCGTCGCTTCGCAGCACAGGATGCTGCGGGTTGTTGTTGAAGCCCAGCTTGTCGGCCTCGCAGGACGAGGAAGAGACGGGCAGGGACCGCTTCAGCTCGGTGTGTAAGTGTCGGACCATGTCGGAATCGCGGTAGAGGATCATGTAATCCCCTTTGCGGTGGGGGATGTCGGCGTCCTGCTCGCGTTTGTTCTGCAAGTAGGTGGACATCAGTTCGACGTGATGGTTGTCCCCGTGGACGTTGAAGACGCCCTCAAACAGCGGCTGGGGGCCGTCATTCTGGAGATAGACTCTGGCCCACCCGACGGGATCCCACATGCCCTTGCCGCGGGACATCAAGGCCCGTCCCTTGAAGACCTTGTGGTCACTGCGGACGACGGGCTCTTCGCGTCGGACGACCCCGTCGGCGCCCAGGTACTGCACAAAGGCATCCTCGGCGAGGATGTCGTGGTTGGGTTCTAACTCGAGCTTGTACCGTTTGCTCTTGTCTCGGAGAGTGAAGGTGAGATCAAAATTGGTCAGATGGTCGACTTGGCTGGAAGGGGTATTGATGGAAAGGGAGTCGAGGGTGGTAATGTGTTGGATCGCGCTGGGGGCTTGGGACCGGGCTGTAGCATGTTAGGATTTTCTGAACGATAAACAGAGTATATCACAATGAGATACTGACCATCTACGCCTAGAAAGAGCGATAGAACGCCCGCCAGCAAGGGCAGCGAAGGTATTAGCCTCATGACTACAAAGGAAGCGGGTGGAAGGGCGCTTCGGACTCGATCATGCACCGGTCGGCCGGTCGTTACGAATTGCTGACGAGAGGAACAGACAATATTTGTTGTCGATCAGGGAGGAGGAATAATCGACACAAGAGGATTGTCGAAGGGCATCAGGCAACCGTGAAACTGAAAGAAAGAAACCAAGAGATCCTCAAAGGACCCGCAGAAGATCTCGGTATTGAGACTCCGAATTGGATACGGTCGAGAGAGGGGGAAAGAGAGTCAAGTAGGGCGAGCGCTCGAGTCAGCCAGTGGCTGGGCGTGGCGGTTGCTCGTCTGGTGGAGACCAAAGGATCCGCCAGTCCCGAAGCCGAAAAAGACGGGGAAGAAGACGCGCAATAAGAGGAATATCAGGGAATAGTGTAATGCAAGATCAGATGAAGATGAAAGAACGGTCAGCCGGATTGAGGCGCAGTCGGGCTTGGCGGGGATGAAATGACAAGTGGGACCAGAAAGAGAGACACACAGACAGAGGAACGAGGAGAGAGAGAGAGAGATAGAAATGAATTAAAAATGAGGCAAGGGGGAAAGTGAGGAGAACGAGAGAAGATGAAGTTGTGGAGGAGAGAAAGAGAGAGAGAGAAAGAGAGGAAGAAAGAAAGAAGAAAGGATGAAAAGAGATTCAGGGATGCCTGATTCTATCCGCCAATTCCTGAGTTATGCTCATAATGACGAACCCGGCGCCAAGGCTGCACTGGGAATGCATTATTTCCATGCAGAACACGCTTCCCTAGTGATGATCTAGACGTAATATTGACTTTTGTTATAAATTAGAGTTCGTCTCCTCGACTTCTATTATCCTACAGATTCATGTACACGCTCTGACTGGTCGATCTGATCTGATCATGCTCCCCCATCGGTGTCACTCCCTGACTCAGCGGCGTTCATCAGCCCTAACATCCTCCGTCTATGGATGACTCGCTCGGATCAATGACGAGCAATCAGGAATACGTGAAGTCCACGTAGACAGTTGAATCTCGACCCATCAGTGTCCGCTCAGGGCATGGAATAAATCAATGGTTCCGCTCCAGGGCATCTCTCTGTCCGAAACACCGTAATCGTCCGTACCGTGGAACCGTAGGCCCCGCCCGGCCGTCATGATTCGGCCACCGAATGGTACACCTGATGAGCGACCAGGGCAAAATGTGGGATGGATACCCCGCAGGTCGCACAGGGCACGGACGGGATGCGGTCCTCGTCGCTGTCCTCCCATCCATCCTCGTCCGACGTCGGGGAGAGCGGTGTTCCCTCCACCGCTGACCCTCCCGCGCCGGCCGGATCCCGCTCGACGACCACGGGCGGGATTTGGGGGCGGCTCGTCTCTGGCCGCTGGAACATCCGGCCAATGTCTTGTCCGCTACCCGCCGTCTCGGCCAGATTCGTCACGGCCACGTTCATCAGCTGCAAGTTCCACCCGGATGGTTCGGGGTGCAGTCGACGGAACAGGGACAGTGTCCGCTCCTGGACCAGTCGCTCCGCCACCGCGTCGACGCGCTCATCGAGGTGCAGGACAAACGGTGGCAGCGGGACAGAGCGCGAGACCCGATTCCCCCCGGGGCCGCGCGTTCCGTCCGCCTGGACGGGCGGCCGGAGGCGCGTAGACAGCCGCAACGTCCGGGGACGGGCGAGCCACCGGAGTCCATGAGGGACGTCGGTCGCTGGCTCCGTCAGATCGGTCCGCATCCGCCGGACTAGGCTGACAGTCAGCGCAACCAGGGCTCTTCGGACCTGATTGATGGTGTCCAGACGGCCGTACGAGTCCTCGATACTGATCTGCGTAGGGAGGTCCCGGGCCGGCAGGACCTCGGCGGTGTCAACGCCGTGAATCAACCGCCAGACACGCCAGCCGATCTCCTTGGGGGCTCCGGGGCCGCTGAGGATGCGGTCCAGCCGCGCGGGGCCCATGCCCGCACATCGACGCAGGTCCCGGACGGTGACGGGGTCATCGGGGTTCGCGGCCGGCAGATGCGCAGTGATCTTCCGGGCAAGGGCAGAGCCGATGCCGGGGATCTGGCGAATCTGGTGGCCGTCCAGAAAGTCCCGGACGTTGCCTTGGGCATCAGGCGCGGATGGTTCGTACGGGGGGAGGAGGGTGGTTTGGCTGTTGGGCTTGTGGGTGCTGCCAACCAGCTTGGCTAGGAGCTTAGAGGTCGCGATGCCGGCGGTGGCGGTGTAGCCCTTTTGGGTCTCCAACTGGGCGCGAAGGTAGGCAGCCAGATGCGAGGCTAGACGGAGGCGGATGTCCAGACGGGTGTCACTCCTCACCGACTGCGCCCCGTCCGCTGGATAGGTGGGCCCCTGCACGGTGGTGGCACTGAAGACAAATCCCCGGGTGGGATCGTGTCGGTCGAGGTGGAAGAACGAGTGGTCCAGATCATGGGGGTTGAGTTGGTCCACATTGTAGTCTACCATGTGGGAGACGTCCAGAAATAACTAGGCTATAATTAGATCCAGAGCACGATCAGATGGTGGGGAAATATTATTTTAGAAGAAGAATACCTCATCGAATCCGAGTTTCTCGACACGCCCTCCCCACACCACGGGGCGCAGGAAGTGATAGAGGTCTTTAGACGCATCGCGAAACCGGGACAGATCCTCACCTAAGACGACCAGAAGCTCGGGGCAGATCTGCTTCGCCTCACGGATGAGTTGCAGCTTGCGTAACCCACGACGACGGGCCTCATAGTTGCAGGTGACGACGATCTGTTTCTGCTGGACGGCCAACGGACGGGATTTCCAGGTGGGATGCTCCACTTCAAAGACGGAGGCATAGAAACAGTCATAATCCTGCGGGGGAGTCAGAGACTGTACGACTACTAGGTACTATTTTAGGTGGAGAAGTATACGAACCAAGTGGATGATGATGCGTTGGTCGTCGGGAGATAAAGATGGAGAGGCCATGCGTGGAAGGATCTAGTGGAATCACGTCATGACGATATGAATAGATAATAACAATCAAAGGAGGAGGATATGAAGATCGAGTAGTATTAGTATTAGTAGCTGTTGTTGTGTTGTGTTGTTAATGGTGGTGGTGGTGGTGGTGGTGGAAAGTTCATCAATCTGCCGGATGAGTCATCCAGTATAAAGAGGATAGTTATGCAGAAGCACAGGTGGCTGGTGAACTGTGGCTCGGGAAGGCTAACCAGATCAGGCTAGACGATTCTATTGGAGGGGACGATTCTAGACCATTCCAGATCGAGATTAGATTGTTCTTTTTATAGTCTGATTGGTTCTTTTTTTAGCATCGGATCGGACAGTGAGAGGCAGTCGTGATTGGCTGGCAGATTGGGAATCGGGATAGTCAACCACGCTATAAATATCTTCCCCTCCCGTGGGATTCGTATTGGGAAAATGATAATTGATCCAAAGAATATTAATTAAAAATCTTTCAATAGTCCAGAAATCAAGAAAAAAATGGCCACCTGGTTCGGAGGATGGAAGGAGGATGGACCTCTCGTGAAGATGGAGCCGATGGACCGTGTGTGGTGTAAATGAAGGTTAATTAAGGCGACTCCATCGATCCGGTCGATGGGTCTGGACAAGAATAGGAATGAGAGGACGAGATAAAAGACCAGTCTGATGCGGGCGTCAATAGTGTATTACTCTTCTTTCTCTCTTCTTTCTCTTCCTCTTTTTCTTCCTCTTCCTCCTCTTTCTCTTTCCCTCTTGATTTCTGCTTCCTCTCTCCCTCTTCCTTCTCCACCTCTCCACCCATATAGGAAGAGGAAGACGATCAATACGGGTCTAAATTAGGAAAACGTCGATCCATCGACTCTTTCGTCACTCTGCATCGCATGCTTTTTTCTCTTCCATCTCCCCGACCTCGCTATTATCCATCTACATCCTTTCTTATTCCTCTCTTTCACACACACTCTCTCTTTTCTCTTCCCTTTATACTACCACCTATATCAACATATCATCAAGGTAGACTACGCCATGCTGGCGGTCCCCATGACCTTGTCGACGTCGTCCTCCTCCAATATGGCCTGCACACTGGCCTCTGCCTCCAACCCTCCGTCCGCCATCTCATCTCGCCCCAAACTCTCCCTACAAACCGCCTGTCTCCCCCGAACCTTCGGCAGTTCATCCACCGGACTCTCCCTATCTCTGGCGGCCGGACCCACTGCCTCTCCCACCGTCCGGAATACCTTCAACAACGCTTACGACCCCACTTCGGCCACCTCGTCTCCCTCGAAGCCATCCGCGACCGGTCGCCTCGCCATCTCATCCTACAACAATGTCGCCCACAACAATAACAACAACACCAATCCCTACCAACTTCCTCTCGGCGTCAAGAGCATCCTCCGCAACTCCCCGTTAGAACCCACCTGTCGATCACGCTCCATCTCCATTCCCTCCAGCGCGACCGGCGCCCGCCGCGCTTTCTTCCCCCCAAAGAAGCAGGTCAGCTATCGTCAACCACTCGAAGAAGAAATCCGCACAGTACACTACACCGCACGTCATTCCGACCTCGCAGAAGACCCGCAACAACAACAACCTCAACAGCAACAGCAACAGCAACCCCAACGACCCGCCCCCCACACAGCCTCCGACGAGGCAGAATCCGACTCCACCGCAAGCGGGGCCACCTCAGACGCCAGCACCTCATCCTCATCTGACGACGACACAAATTCGTCCCTCGCACGGTCATCCCGCAAGAAGCGGAAACATCTCAGCGCCGAGCGACAAGTGCGCGCCGTCGCACTGATGGACGGCATCGAAGGCGACGGGTCCGCCACGCCACAGACCCCGCGTCAACACCGCGCCAAACGACGCTGCGAATGGCGGTGGACGCTCGGTCCACTTGAAACCACCGAGAAGATCGTCGAGCCATTCCCGGCGCAAGACTCGGACGAGTTGACCCTCACCACTCCTCCTGCTGCTACTACAACCACTACACCGACTTCGACGACCCTACCCATTCTATCCACTTTAAAAACCCAATCCACCCCACACACACGCGACAACGTCAGCCCTCTGTCCTGGGACTCAGACGTCCAGTCCCTGTCAGCAACATCGCAGTTGACATCCACGCCCAGCTCGTCCGTGCCGTCAGAACTGGACCTCGAGTATAAGATGCCGCTGTTGTCGGACGCGGAACCCGTCCTCAAGCCTGCAGACCAATAACCCGTGCGGACGGCCATGATGCCTCTGCATTGACGATATGGATGGGACTTGATTTATGAATTATGCATCTGTCATAGATGAGCGATTTCTTTTCTTTTTACCTAGTGCCTACTCTTTCTATTTTTCTCCACTTGGATATTTTTCCTATTGTGGGGTTTCCTTCCTTTCTTTTTCTTATTTCTTCTTTTTAGAGCGACATCTTCATATACATATCTTAATATTTTTCTACTCTCGCTTTTCTCATTCCTTCCTTTTTCTTACTGTCTTCCCTCTTTTCATATTCTTTTCTTTCTTTTTATTCTATTATCTGACTATACATGGTGTCGGTGTGGCGGCCCTCGTCTATCTTCTTCGTATCGATGATTGATTGATATACATATACCAGGCTACGGTTGCATTTCTTCTCATTTGATTGTCCGGACATATTACTTGCATATATATTCTATGAATATGATATTCACAGACTTTACTACTTATTTGTGTACATGTGGTATCTACCACTTTTATCTGGAGTAGATTGTATTGCATCCCATAAGTGACTCTTGTATAAACACTAAGGTGTATATGAATACTGCGAATATTATACAAACATGAATAACAGTCCATAACAAACATACTCCTACCACATAACGAGATACTATACAGATAGGTAGATACATACAATCCTCCAAACAAAAGCAACCCAAAAACAAACCAAAATAGCCCACAAAGAAACCACAACAAAGAAAAACCAAAACAAAGAAAGAAGGATAGGCCAAGTTACGACCCCGTCTCAGTCTCCACATCCGGCTCCCTCCCCACCAAATCCCCCGAAAACCTCCGTCTGACCTTCCGCAGCGCGAACTTCGCCTCGTCGCGCGCAAACGCCGCGTTCCGCACCGGCTTCCACTGCATCAGGCCGCGCTGCTGACGCTGCTCGCTGCGGCGCACTGCCTTTTTTGACGGCGTGGTGCTCGTGGTGGAGTCGGCTATGCTGGAGTCGGCTATGCTTGAGTCGGCTATGCTGTCTGCTGTTGAGGGGCGTCTGTTTTCTTCGTAGTCATTGTTGTCGAGGGAGGTGCGTTGTTGGTTTTGGTATTGGGTTTGGGTTTGGGGTTGGGTTTGGTATTGGGGGGAGCTGGTTGGGGCGCTTGTTGGGCGATTGTTGATGTTGTTGGTTTGGAGGGCCGTGACGTATTGGTCTTGGTGGTGGATGTTGTTTTCGTCCGCTGGTTGATGGTAATTTTCTCGAGTTGGGTCTTGGGATGAGTAGGACGTGCGTGCGGCGCTGCTGTTGTAGGAGCTACTCGTTGGCTGGCGACTGTGGCCGTGGCCGTGGCCGTGGCCGCTGTCACGACCCTTAGCGACGAGGGTATCGTCAGTGTGATCAGGGTCGAAGAACATAGCCGGGTCATGGCCAAAGCAGCCACTCCAGTCCTGGCCCTGCTTGTCTATCCACCGACGGCGCTCATCAGGACTCGCATGGCGGAGGATATCGCGGCCCTCGACGAGGGATCGCTCATGCAGCTCTTCGATGTCCCGCGGGACGAAAGAGGTGATACGGTGCGGACGGACGCCCTCGGCGACGAGCGCTTCCCAAGTCTCGAAGGTCTCGCGCGAGTGGTTATCAACGATGAACTGCTCGTGCGACTCGTCGATACCCGGCGTGAAATGCGCGTGGAACTGCAGGCGGCCGATCTGCTGCAGGTCTTCCAGGCCCGGCGAGCGCTTCTGCTCCCAGTTGTCTTCCGTGATGTAGTTCTGCGTGAGCCGCTTGCCGTTGTGGGTAGCCCAGATGGGGATGTCGACCGCTGTGCCCTCGTTGTCGACTAGGTGCTGCAGCCAGAGGACGGCGTAGCCGGCGACGCCGCGCTTGCCTGGGTGGTGTAGTTCGAAGACGACTGCTGCGCGGTAGCGGTGGCGGACAGGGAGACGGAGCTGGTTGCGGAAGGTCTCGTTGGAGAGGTCGAAGACGGCGTTGTTGTTCGCGTCGACGGTGCATACGTGCTTGGTGATCTTGCTGCTGCTGCCCGTTGTGCGTAGGTGTATCTTGGCCTTGTGCCCAAATCCCTGCGCGATGACCTTCTCCCCTGCGATTCCGAATGTTCCTACGTCCCAGCCGAGCATCTGTGGGGGAAGGCGTGTCTCCACGTGGCGGAAGAGTAGAGAGATGCGGATTCGTCCGTGTCCGACCCCTCCGTCTAGTGGGTACCACCGGGTGAGCTGCGAGCTCGTGCGTAGGAGGTCGGTTAGGCGGAGGGGCACGACGCCTAGGATCGGGTCGTGCTCTCGGTAGCGCTGGTCTCGCACAGTCACGGTCACGATGGCTGAGCGCCAGTCGCGGACGAAGCGCTCGGTTCCGGCGTTGAAGATGGGCTTGGAGCTGACGGCTTTGGCGCGAGTGCGGTAGATCTATACACATTAGGAGATGTTCATTCAACGAGCTATGAAAGAAGCACGAGGGGGGAACGTACAAGCTGGTCATTGAGGATAATCTTGCAGTAGCTGGTTGGTAACTCGCTGCCCTGCTCCTCCGTAGCCTCTCCGTATGGTTTGGCGGGCTCATAATCCTTGCCCTTCCGGTTGCCATCGCTGCCCTTTATGTTGGACAGCTCGAGATTGACAATCTGATGCACCACGACGCTGAGGATGCCGCTGGGCCAGAGCGGATCGGGAGGCGTGTGCACGACGGCGTCTTCCTGGTCGGTGCTGATGACGCCCTTGGGGTCCTGGAACTGCGGGTTACCCTGCAGGTTCGCGGGCAGGTCCTTCTTCTTGCCGTCCGTCCGGAGCTCTGGCCGCAGCTTCGGCTTGCCAAAGAATCCCACCTCCCAGTGCAGCTCCCCGGGCATCTCGCTGCCCTCGTTCAGGCCCTGCAGCTTCGAGACCTGCGGGTACATGCGGCAGGGGTGTTGGATCATCTCGCGGATGGGCAGTTCGACCTTGCCGACGACGTCGTCCGCCGTGTTGCGGTCCGAGTCCCACAGCTCGACGCTCAGGTTCTCGTCCGCCTTGATCAGCTCCGGCGTGACCAGCAGCGCCGCCGTCTCCTCCCAGACTGGGTTCAGGTCGTCGCAGATCACCCGCGTGCAGTACATGGGCTTGCCGTACTTGGAGAACGACAGGTTGATGTAGGGGTCGCTGCCGCCGCCGTAGCTGCCGCGACGATCCTGCTTGCTCAGTCCGATGGCGCGGTGGATGCGCACCCACATGATGCCCAGGGCCTCGGTCTCCTTGATGATGTCGTCACCCTTGAGGATGGAGCTGAGATCCATGGTCATGGACTTGGGGGCCGCGAACAGCCCGCACGCGGTGCCAATGGCGTAGTTGACGAAATTCGAAATCAGAGGCAAGTTCAGGATGTTGACGCCGCCCTTGACCATCGGCATACACCCGGCTTTGACGTGGGGAAGGCCCACGAGACTGAAGGTCATGTCCTTCATGAACGGCGGCTCGGGCATCAGCTGGAACCGGATGCGCACCGTGCCGACCATCTCGATCAACTCCACGAACACGGGGAAGGGAACCCCGAAGAGGCCCCGGACGCCGAGGTAGAACACGATCTCCATGTGCATGTTGCGTGCCTTGGACGACGCAGACTGGCCGCTGGGCTTGGCGTGATATGCGAACGAGGCTTCGAGGTTGTAGTAGCTGCCCCCTTCTTCCAGGGCAGCAGCCTCGTCGGGGTCCTTGTGCTTGTTTTCCTCGCGCATGTTTTGTATGATGTTGTCGACGTGCTCGTCCGGTAGGGCACGCAGGCTGAGGATGCGCAGGGGATTATTCCCCTGGTCGATCTCCGCGATGCGCACGTTCTCGACCACACTGGGTGCGGACGCTTGCATGATATCTTCGATGGTATCGGCGATGGGGGACAGCATCTCGGGGTTGACCAAGCTCCAGATGACGCCCATGAACGTGTTGATCCATTCTACCGACTCGGGGAGTAGATTTGCCGTGGCCTATGCGAGAACAGATTAGTGTCAGTCGTTATATTAAACCGCGCGGGAGACCCTACCATCTGCCCTCGAATCAACTCGGTGCTCCATTCCATCTCCCGGCCGCTGCGAATGACCTCTTTTACCCACAGCCATACTCCGGTGGCCACGCAGCACGCCAGAGCTAGCAGCCCCCACAAGGAGCCACCAAAATAGCGACCCAGGACGACGACGCTCAAGATGATGCCCACGCATAGTGTTATACCACGTTTCTCAAGCTTATCAAACATCGGCCTATAGCTGACGGTCGGTGTGGGATGGAAGAGGATGTTGGTTTTCTCGCCATGGATGGGCACGTCAGACGTGGTGCCCTCTGCGATGGGATCCGGGGGTGCCGTGATGTCCTGATTCTCCTTGTATTGCGAAAGGCTGTCCTTTGGATCTGTTTTGACGTGCTGTAATGCGTCAGTAAAGCTTCTTTTCACGTATATTCCAAAGCAAAGGAAGAACTGCGAAACTCACCGTGGGCTTTCCGAGGTTGGCATTGGGGACCACCAGCTACGAACAGGATTAGCAATTGCGCGTCGTCCAACATCGGGACAAAATCAAAATACCTTGGGATTTTTGACCACCTCCATCGATTCCTCATCTAAATCCTCCACCTCAATATCTCGCCCCGTCGTCGGATCGGTTACCATGCGAGTCTTGCCCTTGGGCCTCTTGCGCGGTTGATGCGGACCGGCTTCTGCTGCCGTGCGATCCATCTGTCTTTGCTCATGTCGGGCGGACACCTCAGCAGCGTGGGCTTCTCGTTCTTGTTTGTCTGTCTCCAGACGCTCCATGAATTTGCTGATGGTGGGGACAGGGTTGGCACCGCTCCAGTGCTCTCCCACGCGGTGTTGCTTGGGAGAGTGCTCCCCGCCCTTGTGATGGGGATGGGGCGCCATGGTTGCGAGCCAGTGAGGAAATACAACAACAAAAAAAAAAGGTGAAATTCGCTATACAGGAATTGAGTGTGTTGGAAGGTCGTCAGGAACTGTCATGGAAGACAGTAAAAGGAAGTATAGAAGGGGAGGGAACCTAATCAATCGACCCCAAGATACTCAACAAAAGAAAACAAATGAGTATCAAATGGATCAGGTCATCAAGAACAAAATATGTATATTTACAATCAGAAGAAGAAAGAGAAAGGAAAGAATGGAATAGTTGAAGCTGGAGAAAACTGTTCGCAGTCTTACCGCAACGACGTCATGGAGAGGAGACCAACCGGTTAATCCCACGGTCTTTCTCCTCCTCTCACATCCGCTCCCCTATTTCCCCCACTCTCCTGGCAAATCAGAGGAGGGATTCTAATAGCTTCGATCTTGAGCAAGCAGATCGGATCCTTTCCTATCTTCCGGTAGGACATTGAGGCGTCTATCACTTACCCAGGATTCACAATGATCGTCACTCCCGCCATCATGGGAGTCTTGGCGGGCCCGGAGATGATGCCATGAATTACCACCACTATGCATTCATTCAAAGGATGGATGTGATAAGAAACATGTCAGAGCATGAATAGAGTAGCCGGACTCTACGTGTTTCAGTTCAATGGCCAATTGCATCTTTCGAAAAACCTACCTGTCCAACACAGCACAGCTATCCAAGCAAGGTATAAGATGATGATGTCATTCCTGCAACGGCAGAGCGGCGGATCATGGAACATGGAGCATGGAGCCACTGTTGGGTGCTGATCATCATGGTTGGACTGTCGGTCTGGAGTTGGATAGTTGGTCAATGATTTGTGAATGTCTCTGGCATTTCTATATATATCTTGACTTACAATGGGGTTATTGTTCAATATATTTTCGTCTCATCGTTGTTGAACCGGGCAGTCGTAGCAACAAACAATCCGAAGAAAGCCTGGATGACCCAGTCTGTCTAAAACTGACAGTGGTTACTGTAAACTGTAAACCAAGCAAATATACTACGTACATATACGGTTAAACAAAAAGAAATTAAAAGGAATCGTCAAAAACAAGTATAACAAGTTAACAACAGTAGTTAACAAGTCAGCCACAGTTGTGGCGTATGTGGCTTAGCGCCGGATGATTTGCCTTGAACACTGAACACTGAATAGCTCCAATTCCAACAACCTCCATTTTCCTCCCTCATCACTCACCCCTGGCCTTGCCATTTCTCAGCCATCTCAACTTCTTATCCAGTCATCTCATCGCTATCTGACTACGTCCTCACCGAACAAACGCTGCCCATAGCATACTGTACACTAGACCAACAGAACCAACCGTTTCACCGCAATGTCATCACCGCCCGTCGAAGAATCCCCCGCGCAGCGATCTGCGCGCCTCCGCCGCGAGCGTCGTGAAGCGAAAATCAGAGATGGCGGCGCGGCACGTCTAGACAAGATCACCAATTCCAGCGGTCGTACCCCGCAAAGCGGTACGCTGCAACCCTGAACCCCTCCCATAAACAAGCCACAACACTAACACTATCCACAGTCTACACAGAAACCGCCCCAGCGCCATCTCCCTCTCCCTCTCCGCAGCCTCCAGCCGCCATCTCCAGCCCCCCGTCGCCTCCTATGCAATTCCCACCCGCCCCGACCGCAACTGACAGCCATTACAACCGTCCCTCGCCGGAGGACCTCCGAGCCCAGGAGGAGATGCTTCGCGCGCTCCTCCGGCAGCCCGCGCCGTCCCCGGGCCCCCAAGGCAACGATACCAGCAACAACCCCCCGGCCAACCCATTCGGCGCAGGAGGAGAAGACGACCCGACCATGAAACTCCTCAGCTCGCTCATGGGCGGCCTGCCAGGCAACATGCCAGGAAACATGCCAGGCGGCGAACAACCACCCAACGCACCCGCCAACGCAGGGGGTCCTTCACCCGGCGATCTCGCCTCCGCACTGGGCCTCCCACCTTTCGTGTCGAGCATGCTGGGCGCTGCAACCCGACAGCAGACCGACGCGGAGAAGAAGCAGATCTGGGCGTGGAAGGTCGCCCACGTGCTCTTCGCCTTCGCCGTCGGGGCGTATCTGCTGTTTGTGGTGGGAGCGTCGATCGCGACGTTTGGCAGCGGACCGCCGCCGCCGGCGACGGCCCAGAGCCCGTTCCTGTACTTTACGACCGGAGAGATGGTGCTGTCGGGGGCGCGGGTGATGATGAAGGGACGGAATGGCGGGGCTGGGGGGTTGGCATTGGGGGTGCAGCTGTTTCGCGATGTGTTGCGTGATGGCAGTATTGTGGTGTTTTTGTTGGGGATGGGAGCTTGGTGGCATCAGGAGTGGGTGGGTGTTTGAATCATTTTTTCCTCTACGAGATGGTTAATCCGGAGTTTCTTTTATTGGCTACCTTCAATACTGTTTACTTGAATGATCAGCCCAAGCTTAATCTTATGAATTCGTCAATGACAGCGTTCTACTCTAACGATCATCTACTCCACCCATTCTTAACATCAACACACCGACCACACTGATCTATTAAACAGAAGTGTACCTCACCTGTAGAACTCCTACCAATCCCTAGATATTGAAATCGTAGAAGAGCGAGGCGTGCGATCAGCCAACATTGGCTGCGGTGTTTTCCCACAAATAGTCGTTGACTCTTCATGTTTCCTGCTTGCAATCTTGCAACTATCCGTAACATCTCTGTCGCAAAGAATTACCTCGCAGCCCCAAAAAAAATATCTAGACACCTTTGCGCTTCGTGAGTAACCTTTAGTAACATCTTATATTGCGACAATCTCTATAGTCACAAGAATCATCGACTCCACGAATATCTTGTACCGTTTTCATAGGTCCACTCAGATAGGACTACCTCCGAATACTGGGTAGGCATTGAAACAGGCAAAGTCCTACTTATTCAATGAGGCCTTAGCATTTACCTCCATAGTACCAATACTACAACGAGTCACAAGAAGAGCGAGCGGCCCACCAACATATAAGCCCAACTGCGCCGCAGACAGATAAGTGAGAGTCTAGCCAGGAACCACAGTCAAAAACCATATAGCGATCGGCAGGTTGCATTCACACCACACCACCGTACGCACTAGATAAAATATCGAAGTCGGAAACAGGGGGGGTATGTTTAGTCTGATGCACGTACCTTTGACAGGTTAGCCTGGTTGTTCGGGGAGATATATACTGAACCTACTTTGTTAGCAGCTGTAGACTACTCCGTGGTGGTGGTAGTGTGGCAGGACTAGTATTGTAAAAAGACTAACTTAAGCTACTGCTAGACTAACAGTTAAATCATCCTCCGGTTGGCTAGTATAGGCTGGGATAGGAGGTGGTTATCGTGATTGCGAGCTGGGTGCCCCTGCAGGGGGATTATGTGAACAGTTTATACCGAGTGGGATTCCGGTTGGTTCTTTTGTAGTGTACGGAGGATATATACCTAGGTCGTTCTATTATATTATATTATATACCCTAGACTATAGGTTGGGTATTATCAAGGACGATAGTAATATACCTGATTTTATAGTATAGTAGTACGAAGGAGTTCAGTGGTAGTACCATATGATCCAGCCACCGGATAACACACATAGTATTCCGTATGACTACAGGGTAAATAACCTCGGAGCAGCAATCCAGCAAGGATAGTCCATTCACCCGTAAACAACCGTCCTCTACCCCGGTCTCTAACTTTGAAACCCCATGGATTATTCAAGCACATTGAATCATAATCATTGAAGATCCATTGATCCACGAGCCCTGCCTGCCTTGCCATTTGCAAGCCGCACGATAATCGCCAGCAGGCCCACATGCTCTCTCCCTACCTCCCGACCAAGAAATCTCCAAGAGAATGCCGATTTTCTCCCGACCTCGTGGGTTGAGTCTAGCCGATCATGGTGGGGGGAGAGAAGTCTTGGCATTGAGGATTAGTTTGGGGGGGAAGTGGAGTGTGGATTGTTCTATTGGTTTTAGTTTGGAGGGTGTTTTCGTGTCGGAACCGTAGACCACTTTTCTGGCTTACTACCACTGCTTTGAATGGTGGTTGTGAATTGTGATCTGGTGATCATGATCGACTAAGATATCTGTCTGACTATCTGTAAGGTAGTCATGATATCATCGGTTTTCTCTTCTGGGGTTCATAATACGAGGATGGAGTCTCTGGATGTATTGCTGGGGAGATAATAGTGCGAATATATCTTGGATCATTTCAACTATGGTATAAGCTTTATAGTGCATCCCCAGACACAATGAATCATTGTTTCACTTATCCAGTATCCTGTAGTATCCTGTATCATGAGACCATCATGTACCTAGGTAGGTAGACAAACATGACAAACACGTGGCACGGGAGGATTCCTTGCAGCCGCCAGAAATCCAAGGCCGATTGGAAATTCGACTACGACGTCGGTGCACTGGTGGCAAGGATTAGTGGCCATTTAGGCTCAAACCGCATCATCTACCCCTCACCCGATTTTGGAATCAACCGCTAGGACCTGCTAGTATAGTAATGCGTCTGTTCGTGTAGTAGTAGTAGCAGAGATTAGAGAGACTGACTACCTACCGCAAGCGGACGAGGTCTGATTGATTCCTACCTTGCCCTCGTCTTCATACTGTAGTAGTACTGCAGTACTACTAGACCCCACTATGAACTACGAACGAAGGATCATGCCCAGACTCATAAACTTCCGTTGGTCCCTCCCTCCCCGCATTCACATACCGGGCAACAGGGGGAAACCAAAGTTACACTCCACCTGGGTAAGCTTGGCTGACGATGATTCTTTCTCAGTGCTCACTCATGTTTTTCGTAATACTAAACCTTGGATGGATGGTTTTAGCGGGGTAGGACCCGGGGGATAGGCTCCGGAATGATTTCTTGTCTGTTTTGTCTAGAGAGCCCCGAGTTTTCCCAGAGAGAATTCCTTTCCCCAGCCCCGAAGGCGAACGGGGTAGTTTGGTACCGGGGGCGTGTGCTGTCTCCAGTCTTGGCTGATGGTAAGCCGAACCAGAGAGGGGTAGATCATGGTAGGAGTGTGGAGGATGGCGTAGTGAGAGTATTGTAACGGTACTATCGGTACTATGATGCAGGTGCAGTTGGTTTCCCCGGAGCAACGGAAAGTCGAGAGCCTGGCCTAAGGCCTCTCTCAGGCTCCCAGGCTCACTCCCCGCATGGCCGAGGCGTTGAGACACTAGAGAGGATGTGGTTAGTCTATTGTAGTAGTAGTAGTAGTAGTAGTGGTAGTGGTAGTGGTAGTACTATAGAGTGTCCCTGGGATGTACGTTCTTCTATTATGACTCTGTCCTCATTGTATTAATATATATATATATATGTATATGTATATATATTTATATTTAAGTATTTATATTTATGTCTGTATATAAATGTGTATATTATATTTGAGATGGAACTACACATCGATCGACGCTATGGAATGGACAGATGGAGCGTCGGCTAAGGATGATTAGAGTGGCTCACATGATACAGTCTACTCTACACTGGTATTCTGTATCTATAGAGTATTACTACTGGACACTTAGATACAGAATACTATTACTGGACATCGGATGATGTAGACGAACGGGTACGCGGAAGAAGCAGACAGAGTGGAGGAGCGAACTCCTTTCCTTTCTCAGTTAGTCATTCTCCATTTAATTATTATTCTGGAATTAATTCTTTAATTTCAATTCAACAGGGTCGACATCCACCTCAACAGTTACTATTTTATTCTTCTTTTATTTTATTGATTTTCTTTTTTTTAAGATACGATTTTCTAAATAATATATTATTCTCTGTATATCGGTTGAACTGTTCATTAAATAAATATCCTGGTGTCTCCCCCTCCTCCCCTCCTCCCCTCCTCCATTTTCTTCCTTTCCGTTTGCAACTCTTCCCTCTTCTTCCCCTCTTCATCCTACTCGACTCTCTTACTTCTTCGCTCTCCATTCTTTCCCTCATCCCTCTCTACTTTACATCTCTCTATTCTCTCCCCCCTATAGGTATGTCGAATGCAGCTCCTGCATCAATCCCTGCCCTCGGCCGCGGATGGTGTCGCAATAGTACCTGAACATCACCCCTCCACTACCCCACCCTGGCGGCGGCCAACACCGGCTGCGTTCGCTATCCCTGACGCCCAGCTCCTCCCCGCTTTGTAACCTGTGCTTCTTTGTTCTCTGGCTTTCTCATTCGCGCTCTCGGTCTCCTTTCCCATCGGACCCAAAACCTCCCGAGTTGAAATCTAACGTGCTGGTTGTCCCCGCAGAATTTCTCCTCTCTCTTCCGCCCATTCTCTCCCATCCCATCAGTCGACTCACCATTCTCCCATTTCACCTCCATTCTCTCGTCAATTCCAGCGTCCGTGTCTATTAGAAGCTATTCATCATGTCGGACGGCAACGTCATGCCCCCCAAGCCCGCCGTGGTAAGCTCTTCCCCCCCGTCCCCCCACTAAACTCTCGGCCCAGCTGACAAGCTCCAGGTGCCGGAAGCCCACCAAGTCGACACTTTCCATGTCCCCAAAGCATTCCATGACAAGCACCCTACGGGGACGCACGTCAAGAATATCGATGAGTACAAGGCCATGTACGAGGAGTCCATTCGCGACCCCCAGACCTTCTGGGCCCGCATGGCCCGCGAGAACCTGACCTTCTACCGCGACTTCCAAACCACCATGATGGGCTCCCTCGAGAACGGCGATGTCGCCTGGTTCCCCGAGGGCCGCTTGAACGCCTCCTACAACTGTGTCGACCGACACGCCCTGAAGAACCCCAACAAGGTCGCTATCATCTACGAGGCCGATGAGCCCAACGAGGGCCGCACCATCACTTACGGCGAGCTGCTGCGCGAGGTCTCGCGCGTCGCCTGGGTCCTGAAGCAGCGTGGCGTCAAGAAGGGTGACACCGTCGCCATCTACCTCCCCATGATTCCCGAGGCTCTCATCGCCTTCCTGGCCTGCTCCCGTATCGGCGCCGTCCACTCCGTCGTCTTCGCCGGTTTCTCCTCCGACTCCCTGCGCGACCGCGTCCTCGACGCCGACTCCAGGGTCATCATCACCAGCGACGAGGGCAAGCGTGGCGGCAAGGTCATCGGCACCAAGCGCATCGTCGACGAGGCCCTGAAGCAGTGCCCCAACGTCTCCAGCGTCCTCGTCTACCAGCGCACGGGCGCCGAGGTCCCCTGGACCGACAGCCGCGACGTCTGGTGGCACGAGGAGGTCGAGAAGTACCCCAACTACTTCGCCCCCGAGCCCGTCACCTCCGAAGACCCTCTCTTCCTCCTCTACACCTCCGGCTCCACCGGAAAGCCCAAGGGCGTCATGCACACCACCGCCGGCTACCTGCTGGGCGCCGCCATGACCGGCAAGTACGTCTTTGACATCCACGACGACGACCGCTTCTTCTGCGGTGGTGATGTCGGCTGGATCACCGGTCACACCTACGTCGTCTACGCGCCCCTGCTCCTGGGATGCTCCACTGTCGTCTTCGAGAGTACCCCCGCCTACCCCGACTTTTCCCGCTACTGGGACGTGATCGACAAGTACCAGGTCACCCAGTTCTACGTCGCCCCTACCGCCCTGCGTCTGCTGAAGCGCGCCGGCGACGAGCACATCCACCACAAGATGGCCCACCTGCGTATCCTGGGCTCCGTCGGCGAGCCCATCGCCGCCGAGGTGTGGAAGTGGTACTTTGAGAAGGTCGGCAAGGAGGAGGCCCACATTTGTGACGTGAGTTTTCTAATATCTTTTCTTTTGTATTGGAAAAAAAAAAAAAAAAAAAAAAAAAATTTGTACTGACGAACGGCAGACCTACTGGCAAACCGAGACCGGCTCGAACGTCATCACGCCCCTGGGTGGTGTGACTCCCACCAAGCCCGGTAGCGCCTCGCTGCCCTTCTTCGGCATCGAGCCCGCCATCATCGACCCCGTCTCGGGCGAGGAGATCTCGGGTAACGACGTCGAGGGTGTGTTGGCCTTCAAGCAGCCGTGGCCCAGCATGGCCCGCACCGTGTGGGGCGCCCACAAGCGCTACATGGATACCTACCTGAACGTGTACAAGGGTTACTACGTATGTTAATCTCCTCATTTAACATTATGTTATTCTAATATGTGATAGTTCACGGGAGATGGTGCCGGCCGTGACCACGAGGGATACTACTGGATCCGTGGCCGTGTTGACGATGTCGTCAACGTGTCTGGTCACCGTCTGTCGACCGCCGAGATCGAGGCCGCTCTCTTGGAACACCGTATGTTCACTTTCGCTGCCCCGTTTGTCCCTCTTCTTTGCTGTAACGACTAACCTTTTGCAGACATGGTTGCCGAAGCCGCCGTGGTCGGTGTCGCCGACGAGCTGACGGGCCAGGCCGTCAACGCGTTTGTCTCTCTCAAGGAGGGCAATGAGACGAGCGATCAGGTGCGCAAGGATCTGGTCATGCAGGTGCGCAAGTCGATCGGTCCCTTCGCGGCGCCCAAGGCTGTCTTCACGGTCGACGATCTTCCCAAGACCCGCAGCGGCAAGATCATGCGCCGGATTTTGCGCAAGATCCTGAGCGGAGAGGAGGACAGCCTGGGTGATATCACCACGGTAAGCATCTGCCCATCTTCATTCTTTTGGTGGACCTGGCTAACACGGATTTCAGCTGTCCGACCCTTCGGTCGTTGCAAAGATCATCAGCACGGTCCACGAGGCCCGTGGCAAATAAACGGTATGGGACGAAACCTACCTGATCAACGACAACTCCGAAACGAGAAAGAAAAAAACAAAGATCAAAAACGATAAAAAAAAACCAAGAAAACCAAGAAACTACCTGATGAAACGATGCGACTTTCATGCCTTGGCTGGATACCTGCAGGTCTGCTTAATTGTTTTGTGATTCCCGTGTCTTGCGATGTTGAGAAGCGATCTCCTTTTTGACTGCGCTGTATTCAACCATTGAATCTATATATATTTCTTACTGTTCATCTGGACCACTTGGAGTAGAGGGATAGCGTACACGACTGTAGATGACTGTATCCGTAGATGTACTCGTATATAGGTGACAGTCATAGTCAGACTGACTACAAAGATGCAGTGCCACAACTGCATCTATACAATAAGATTCTTTGTGCCACTGTCCTCAATCATGTAGAGTATGTAGAGTCAAGACGTACTTGTACTTCCGAGGCAGAGACATCCAATCCAGTTGGCCTTTTTTATCCGGTCGTCTCCACTCCTTCCGAGCTGTCAATGACTAATCCATGCATGAACTGTTTCTTTCCACTTTATCAGCCTCGACAGGTGTAAAGTGGCTTTGATTCTGCAGTCATGAGGCTCCCTCTGGGATTCAGTAACCTTAAGCTGTGAGTCAACCCAATGCGACCAGGTTGTGCGTGGAGCAGTCCAGTCCGGTTCCCATTTTCAGGCACCAATCCCCTCCACGTGATTAGCCGGAACCAGAGCAGGTAATTTACCAGTAAGAGTGCTGTTTCTCCATGGTGTATTTTACTGTCCAATGGTGCCTCCCCACCGAGAAGATGGTGTATGGATGGTAACAGAATGTAACCTGGCCGTTGCTGGCAGGCCTTACCTAAGCGCCAAGACCGGCACCTCTTGCCAACCTAACACAGCTTCTTTTTCCTCACCGTCGCGCGTCTCTTCTCTTCTTTCTCTCTCTCTTTTGACCCCCTCTCAACCTCCCCTTTCATCGGTCGCCCGTCTTGCTTCCCCTTCTCTTTTTCGCCACATCTTTGTGGGTCCTTGTTGCACACCTTGTGCTTTGACAAGTGGTTTACGATCTGTCGTTGGGTGTGGTCTCTTGTTTTTTCACCAGGAGGCCCAATAGCAGCAGACAACCCCATTGTCTTTTTCTCACTTCCCTTGAACGGTCTGCTTTGCTGGTCCGCGCGTCGAGACTTCTCGCCGACTCTGAGACCTTCTTGCAACCGAGGTCTGGTCCTCGCGGCTGGCGCATGACGATCGATCTTTTCGCATATCAAAATCGGTCTTGTATTTGGTGGTGTTCAATCCCTGTCACTGTTTGACCGCGGCCGTTTTCGACCACCGTCGAACGGATGAGCCCTTGAGTCGAGGCGACACCAAGAAGAAACATCATGTTCGGTGGATTCGGACAGCAGAATACCCAGGGCTCCGGCTTTGGAACGGGCTCTGGCTTCGGAGGTACCAGCTCCGGTGGAGGTAGGTTTTGATCGTCCTTTTTTCTTTTATTGTGACCACCTCTCCTTCCCCCTGGTTGTGAGGGACGGGGTCGGTTACTTTGTTCTTCTTCGTTTCTCTCTCTCTATCTTCCGGTCTGTTCCTGGGAAACACGCCTCTGGTTCAGCAATCGGCACCTGGTGGCCCTCTCGACCTCGATCCGCGATGGTTCACCTCAAACCGACAGTAATCAACGTCAACACTTCCGCGGAGGCCGACACCGTGCCACTCAGTATCGCCAACAAGAGAAGGGATCGCAGCTTGAGAATCGTCTCTGACAGCATCTTTCCCCCGTCATCTAGGCTTTGGATCCACTCCGTCCTTTGGCGCCAGCACCTCTGGAAGCGGCGGCCTGTTTGGAAATAACTCCAGTAGCTTTGGTTCCGGTGGAGGTACGTGCTCAACGACTTGAGTTCAGCCAGCTTTGCGATCCTTTCTCTTTTTTCCTGTCGCTTGCGATCGGATTCCCATGGTCTTTGATTTTACGCCTATCGATATGTGACGATCCCGCGCGCGCTTGGAGATTCGCCCAGTCGGTTTCCAGGGATTCCCGCGCAAGAAGAAAGAACATATCCAATGTTCCTAAACCTGGATCGCTCCGACTATGGACGTGGAGAGAATACAGAAGAAGAACGCCAAAAACGCCGACCCATGGGATCCGTATTCGAGGACGGAATCACTGCTCTTTATTTCGCCTTTTCCCTCTTTCACTTCGGAGCCTTTTCAACATATGGATGTTATCATTTGCTAACCAGATATATCTTTCAACTAGGTTTTGGAGCAGGCACGCAGAACCAATCGAACTCCATGTTTGGAGGCCAAAACCGGACCCCCGGGTTCGGTGCATCAACGAGTAGCAGCCCCTTTGGAAGCGGCACGGCTACTGCTGGCGGCGGTGGATTTGGTGCTGGCAGTGCTGGCAGTGGTGGCTTCGGAGCAGGAAACACGGGTGGGGCTTTTGGCGGCTCCGGAGGTGGAATGTTTGGTGCCAACAAGACTGGCACCGGTTTTGGCGGCGCAACTGGTACCGGCGGATTTGGCGCCGGCGCCAGCACCCCCGCCAGCACCGGTACCGGCTTTGGAGGTGGCGGTGCAGGTTTTGGCGGCGCGACCGGTACGGCTTTCAACCAGGCGGTTCCTCCCTCGGAGGGTACCGGGGGGACCCCATTCAGCCCCTTCACCGAGAAAGATGGCTCCTCGAGCGTGACCAACCACTACCAGAGCATCAGCTTCATGCAACCGTACAGCAAGTATTCCTTCGAGGAACTTCGAGTGGCCGATTACAGCCAGGGTCGCAGATTCGGGAACGGCAGTGGACAGGCCGGGGCCTTTGGAACCTCTGCCTTTGGCAGTAGTGCCGGGACGGGCTTTGGCCAGCAGCAGCCGTCCACCACAGGCTTTGGAAGCACTCCGTCGGCTTTCGGCGCGAGCACCAGCGCCCCATCCGGCTTTGGCCAAACCACCCAGACTGCTGGTGGCTTTGGATCGACTCCGTCCAACCCCTTGTTCGGGGCCAATAAGCCGGCTACTTCCTTGTTCGGAGGCGGAGCTGTCGCAGCTCCTGCCCAACCCAGCGGAGGTCTGTTCGGCGGCGCCGCTGGTGCTACAGGGACGACCGGCGGGTTTGGAAACACGGGAACCACCGGTGGGTTTGGCGCCGGAGCCACAGGGGGCAGCTCGCTCTTTGGCGGGGCCAACGCCAACCAACAACAGAACAAGCCTCTCTTTGGCGGTGGCGCCTCGACCGGCTCGACAGGAACCGGGCTGGGCGGCTTCGGGCAACAGAATACCGGCACTTCATCCTCCCTCTTTGGCGGCGGCGCAGCCTCGTCCTCTCCCTTTGGCGGCGGCCAGCAGCAGCAGCAGCAGCAGCAGCAGCAGACCGGAACGACGGGCTTTGGCGGGTTTGGGCAACAGAATCAGGCCCAGAATCAGGCCCAGCCACAAAACAAAGGCCTGTTCGGTGGCGGTGGTCTTGGCGCCGGCACCCAACAACCGTCGACCACCCCGAGCCTGTTCGGCGGCGGCGCTGGCACGACGGGTTCCTCGCTCTTCGGACAGAATAATCAGCAGCCGCAACAGCAGCAACAACCGGCGGCGGGTAGCTCGCTCTTCGGCGGGGGCGCCAACCAGCAGTCTGGAACCAGCTCTCTCTTCGGCGGCGGAGCCCAACCGCAGCAGCCGGCTCAGAAGAGCCTTTTCGGGGGCGGCGCGGCGACGGGTACCGGCACCGGTTTCGGGGGTGCTTTTGGAAACACGCAACCCCAACAGGCTGGAGCCGGTGCAGGCCTGTTCGGTGGGGCTCAGCCTCAGCAGCAACAGAAGCCGAGTCTTTTCGGTGGCTCCACGGGCACCGGTGGCTCTCTGTTCGGTGGCTCCGGCGCACCGGCTCAAAACACGGGTTCGTCCCTCTTCGGAAACCAGAGCCAACCGGCTCAAGCTGGCGGCGGCCTGGGCACCTCGAGCCTTTTTGGCAACTCCCAGCAGGCGCAGGCGCAGCAAGCGCAGCAACCCCAGCAGCCTGCCCCGGGCAGTCTGCAGGCCTCCCTCCTCGACGCGAACCCGTACGGCAACCAGTCCATCTTCTCCGGGCTGCCCGCCCCCAGCGCACAGAGCCCGGGCCCGTTGGCGACGCCGCTCTCCTCGACCAACAAGCAGAAACAGCGGACCCCCTTGCCCGTGCACAAGATCACCCCGAGCGCGGCCAATCGCCTCATCACCCCGCCCAAACGCCAAGGCTACGGGTTCAGCTACTCCACCTACGGATCCCCCTCCAGCAACGCCAGTACCCCCAATGGCCTCGGCAGTGGTCTGCTGGCCGCCAACAGCATGCGCGGAAGCCTGGGCGGCAGTCTGGGACGCGGCAGTTTCAGCAAGAGCTTCTCAACGAGCAATCTGCGCAAGACCTTCGATCCGGAGACCGATAGCGTTCTGTCGCCCGGAGCGCTTTCCAGCGGTCCTTCCCGTCTGCCGAGCGGGAACTTGAAGCGTCTGACCATTGACCGCAGCCTGCGTAATGACCTCTTCTCGCGCCCCGCCAGCACCTCGGCCGCGCCCATCACCAACGGTGACGAATTCATCGCGCCGGGCGACAAAATGAAGAAGAAGGTCAGCTTCGAGGCTCCGTCTCCATCGGACACGGCGAGCGATTCCGAGATCGTGCCCATTCAAGCGTCCAGCTCCGAGCCCACCCCCGAGGAGCTGGGTTTCTTGCGGTCGATCCGCAAAAGCGGCACCATCAACGGCATCAGCAACATCAACGGCGCCAAGCCGACCCCGGACAGTGTAATTCGTCCCGACATCGAACCCCTCCGCACGGATCTTGCCTCGGTGCCCGAAGATGCCGAACAGGCGGCGTCCGCGGACGGTCCCACCCGACTGGCCTTTATCCCCAGTGGTGACCCCAAGCCCGGCGACTATTGGATGACGCCCTCGCGGGCCGAGATCGCCAAGATGCCCCGGGACCAGCAGAAGCGGATGGTGGGACTGACGGTGGGTCGCGAGCGATGTGGGCAGGTGACCTTCGACGAGCCGGTCGACCTGACGACCATCGATCTGGACCAGATCTTCGGTGGCTTGGTGGAGATTGGCGTGCGCAAGATTACCGTGTATCCCGACGAGTCGATGAAACCTCAGAGGGGCAAAGGCCTGAACGTACCGTCCACCCTCCGCATCGAGAACTCGTGGCCGCGCGGCCGCGACAAAAAGGCGCCCTCCCCGGTGACCAGTGGTCCCCTCTTCGACAAACACATCGACCGACTGCGTAAGGTGCACAACGCCGAATTCGTTGACTACGAGATGGAAAAGGGCACTTGGGTGTTCCGCGTCCCTCACTTCACCACCTATGGTCTGGACTATGACAGCGATGAAGACGAAGAAGGTGAGGGCCTTGACCAAAGCACTTTGAGTGCTGCTCCTGACACACCGACTCCGAAGGCTCAATCCCCGTTCGCCAACACCGTGGGCTCGGAGCAGACCACCTTCTCCACTGACGACTCCTTCGTTGGGTCGATAGCCGGGGTCGAGGATGACACGTTCGACTTCAAGAAGCGGAAGCTGGTCCCCGGCGCGTTCGGCAATCAGGCCATGGAGGTGATGGCCGACGAGCGGTCTTTTTCGGAGGAGGGCACCGAGTCTTTTTTAGGGGACGGCTCCACGGGTTCAACAACTGAGCAGGATGGCGACGACGACGTCACCGAGAGCCAGCAGTCTGGCGATTCAGAAGTTGAATTGGACGATGGCGAGGAAATGGAGATGGCAGGCACCTTTCCCGACCTACGTCCTACCGTGGAGCGCGACGATATCACCAACAGCGCCGACAGTTTCTACGAGCACTCGCAGCCGTCCTTGAAACCCTGGAACACGCCCCCAAGACCCGGCTCGACCTGACCGGGGACTGGGCCGAGCATCTGCAACGCACTATCAGTCCTCGGAAGCAGGACCGCGCCGCCTTGCGCGAGATCCAGGCCAACGCATTCAATGACCGGCCGTTGCAGGACGACACGCCCAAGGGTTCCGATGCCGATGCGCGGCAGCAGAAGGGCTTTGCGACCAGTATTGATCTGATGAACTCTTTGTTTCAGCAGCCCCGGAAACAGACGGCTCCGTCTCCGTTGAAGCCGCCGAGTGCTGGCCCTAAAGGCTTTGAGGTTTGACTCCCTTTTGATTGTTGTTACTTGTTTTTTACCCAGTCACGCGGTTTTTACCCCGTTGCATTGTTCCCCCTTGTTGTACCTAGCTATCCTTTCTAGTCTCTTTCTATCTGTTTTCTTTCTTTCCTCCTTCCTTTGTCTTCATCCATCTTTCTCTTCATCCATCTTTCTCTTCATCCATCTTTCTCTTCATCCATCTTTCTCTTCATCCATCTTTCTCTTACTAGATAGTTGAACTTAATGAACACGAACTAATCATCCTTATTCCCTTCCGTCTAGTGGCCCTACAACAAACGACCCAAAACTTATGCTGGCGAGTCTAATGAACTGAGCGGAGACGACCTGGCTTTTCATCACTCGTTCAAACCCCGCTGGGGCCCGGTGGATTCGATGATTTGTGTTAAAAGCGGATGGGGCGGTGTCCAGTCAGGGGATGACCGATGGAAGTCCAAGTTATCGGTGACAAGTGAGGAGAGAGAGATCGTTCTGCTGGAATTCCATCCGCGAGGAGACGTGAACACGATGATCGACGTGCAACGGCAACAGTCGGCCATCCGCCGCGTGGATGGGGTGCCCTTGGCTCGTCTAGCCAGCCCCAACTTCCAGCAGTTCGCCCAGGCGGCAGCCACCCAACCGGACCAAGAGCGATTGATCTGGCAATTGGCAAACGTTCTGTTCAATGACGATATCGAAGATGACATCTCCGCGGCCGTGCCACCTCAGGTCCGACCAAAGTTTCTCCCCCGCATCAAAAAAGACCGACTCAGTCGTCTGCTCGAGGGGATCATCCGCGAGAAGCACGCACGCGTCCTGGGCAAGGCGGGGTCGGCCGAAGAGCAGGCTGTGTACCTGCTCTGCTCGCACCGGGTGGACGAGGCGTGTAACGTCCTGATGACCAGCCAGAATCTCCACCTGGCGACGTTGGTCGCGCAGATCGGCCGCGACCGGACGACGCGCGCCGACATGGCACAGCAGGTGGAAATGTGGCGGCAGCACAACGTCTCCTCCGAAATGACCGAGCCCATGCGGGCCCTCTACGAACTGCTGGCCGGCAACGCACTCCGCAGCGAGGGCAAGTCCGGCGGAGCCCTGGAGGACCGCTCCTCTTCGTTTTCCATCACGGAGCGGTTCGAGCTGGACTGGTTCGAGGCGTTCGGCCTGCGCCTGTGGTACAGCATTACCGAGGACGAGCCGATCGAGGCCGCGGTGTCCAGCTACATGCAGGACTTGACCAGCGGCGAGGAGACCGCCTTCCCCTACCCGCCCAACCAGACGGGCGCGGGCCGGGAATCTCCCCTGTGGGTTCTCCTCAAGCTCTACGCTGGCACCGTCGGCGCGGCTCCGGGTCTGCCGGTGCAGGAGTTCCCCGCCGCCTTGATGCCCGAATGCGTGGGCGGCGACGCGCTCTCTAGTGGCCTGTCATTCCCGCTGTACCACCTGCTGGCGGCGACAGTGGGCCCGCACGACCGGTTCCTGGTCAATCCCGAGCAGGCGGATCGACTGGTCCGGGATTTCGCCTGGGAGCTCAGCTGCGCGGGCGAGCTGCAGCGGGCAGTGTTTGTTTTGCTGCACTTGTCCCGCCCGATGGACCGGGAGCGCGGCGTGCGCGAGCTCTTGGCCCGCTTTGCCCCTCGGCTTCCCGAACCGGTCACGACCGCCGGGACCTCGGATTCCGCATGGGACGGTTTGACCAAGGAGCTCCATGTCCCCGAGGCGTGGCTCTGGGAGGCCAAGGCGCTGTCGGCGCGGGACCAGGGCGACGCCGCCGGTGAGGTGGACTACCTAGTGCGAGCGAAGAACTGGACCGACGCCCACGCCACCTTTTGCCGGATCGTGGGCCCAACCGCCGTGATCGAGCAAGACTACGCGACTCTGGAACGACTGATCTCAGGCTTCGGCGACGGACCCGAGAGCCAGGTACCCGGTTGGGCCCGCGGCGGCGGCGTCTACGAAGACTTTTTGCGACTAGCCACGGCGCGGGGCGGCGCCCGCGAGCGCTCGCGGTTGCGTCGACTGGTGCAGGCCTTGGGTGCGATGGCCGAACGCATGCAGGGGACGGGTGTGGAAGGATTGGAGGAGCGTGTGGCTTTTAAGGAAATGAGCCGACTAGTGGCGCAGTGGACGGCCCACGACGAGACGGCAGCGGATCTCAGCCCAGCGGTACTGCGGTTGCCCTTGACGGGTGATGCGCGCCTCGTGCAGACGGCCGAGATGAGCCGACGATACTTTGGAGCGATCATGGCTGGGGCTTATTGATGGGGATGGATGATGGATATCATGGATGGATATGGGGCTGGGGCTCATGTGTGTTTTTTTCTTCTTTTCTTCTTGCTCTCCTGTATTCTTGCACTAGACGACGACCCAGAGTGTATGCTATGTACGCTATTGATTTCTCCCCTTAAGGGAGGCTTTTCTCTTGACTGTTACTTTAATCAAGCCGTGAGCATTTACTATCATTTTCTGTATTGACTGTTGTAGAGTGCTGTGGTGTGTGTTGTGCTATGTTATGTCTATAGACTCAACCGGTTCCGGCCCGTTTCCGGGAGTTTGTTATTCTTTCCTCTTCTTCTCTTCTCCTTCTCTTCTATTCTTTTGTTCTCCTCGTCCTCTTCTCCTCATCTCCTCTCCCTCATACTGAATATAGGCCATCATCCTATCTCCATCACCACCACCACCACCACCATGACAGCAGACACCCCATCCACCCTCGAGGCCCAGTCCCAGGCCCAGCCTCCCCCAACAACAGCCTACTCAGCCTTCACCACCTCCCAAAAACGCTTCATAATAACAATGATCAGCCTCGCCTCGCTCTTCTCCCCCCTCAGCGGCCAAATCTACTACCCCGTCATGCCGACCCTCGTCCAAAACTACCACCTCACCCCGGCCCTAATCAACCTAACCATAACAACCTACATGATCCTCCAAGGCCTCGCCCCAAGCTTCATGGGCACCTTCGCCGACACCGGCGGCCGCCGCCCAGCCTACATCGTCGCCTTCACAATCTACACCGCAGCGAACATCGGCCTGGCCCTGCAAAACAGCTACGCCGCGCTCATGATCCTCCGCTGTATCCAGAGTGCCGGCAGCAGCGGGACCATCGCGTTCGGGTATGGTGTGATTGCGGATATCGCGACGCCGGCGGAGAGAGGGCACTATATTGGGCCGATGGCGGCGGGGGTGATGATTGCGCCTGCTATTGGGCCTGTTGTGGGCGGGCTGTTGAGTAGGTATCTTGGGTGGAGGGCGGTGTTTTGGTTTTTGGTCGTTGTTAGTGGTGGGTATCTTGTTGTGTTTGTGCTTGTTGTGCCGGAGACGGGGAGGGTTGTTGTGGGTGATGGGGGGGTGGTGCCGGCGGAGTGGTGGAGGATGTCGGTTTGGCAGTGGGTTACTGCGCGGAGACGACGATCACCACCTTCTTCTGGGGGAAGTATGGTTGAGGGGGGGGCAGGAGGGGGAGGGGGAGGCCCTGAAACGACCCGTGGAGATGACCGCTGTCCGCGTAAACTTGCGTTTCCGAATCCGTTGCCGGCGTTTGCCATTCTGTTGGAGATGGACGCTTTGATTATTATATCGTTTGTTGGGCTGGCGATGCTGGCCAATGTTGCTTTGTTGACGAGTACGCCGACGCTGTTTGGGAAGCTGTATGGACTGAATGTCTTGCAGATTGGGTTGTGTTTTCTGTATGTTTCCTCATCACCCCATCCTCTGAAAAAGACAAGAAAGGAAGAAAAAGAAGTATACTGACTGTATGACAGGCCCCTCGGCGTCGGCGCCTGCATCGGCGCCATCCTCAATGGCAAACTCCTCGACCTCAACTACCGCCGCACCGCGCACCGCCTGGGCATAACCGTGGACCGCAAGAAAGGCGAAGACCTACGACGATTCCCAATCGAGCAAACCAGACTACAGACCTTCTTCCCCATCATGGCACTCGCCACGCTGACCTTCCTCCCCTACGGCTGGGTTCTACAGCGGCGCGCACACCTGGCCGTCCCACTCATCCTACAATTCATAATGGGCTTCTCCTTCATAGCGGCCCTCAACACGCTCAACACCCTTCTCGTCGACCTCTTCCCTGACCGCGCCGCCACAGCCAGTGCAGCCTGCAACCTCGTGCGCTGCTGGCTGGGCGCCGTCGGCGCAGCCGTCATCGACTATATGCTGAACGGCATGGGCTGGGGATGGTGCTTCACCTTTCTAGGACTGGTTCTTGCGGCGGGGTTGGGCCTGATGTGGGTGGAGTATAAGCGGGGAATGGGATGGCGGGAGAAGAGATTTTTAAAGCGGAATCCTAATCCTCCTCCTGATGATATCCATATGGACGATATTGGTGAAGGGAGGGAGGGCTTGGGAGAGGACGATACGCATGGAGAGAGTAAGGAGGACTCGACAGGGGGGAATACACACGGGGAGAGTAAAGAGGGGAATCAGGAGGAGAAGAACGAGTGATCCTTTTTTAATGCATTCGTGGGAAGAGCTACGTTGAGACTACCGCGGTGATTACTGAAGGGGGTGGAGATATGGGATGCTGCATTGATAGGTACATGCATTGCATGCGTTGGGGGAATCAGGGCAATGATACATACATATGTGCTTTTAAAGTAGCCCAAGAGGTTAGTTAATATTAATTGCATTGCATTAGGGGAATTATTCAGGACATTGCTATGTGTAGTTAGAGTAGTATACGAGGTCGGTCAGTAGTTATCAGTTACTATCAATAATATAAAGTATAAAGTAGTGTGTTATACTTTCTACTTGCTTTCTATTTGCTTTCTACTTGTTTTTTTACTTGCTTCCTACTTACTGTGTAGTTACCTACTACCTGCTTCCTATCTACATACTATCTACATATCTACTTACTATCTACTTACTATCTACTTACTATCTACTTACTACATACTTACCACATGCTTACTACATGCCTACTATATACTACTCATCTAGTCACCTACTACCTGTCTACTACCTGCTTACTGTATATCTACCTAAGCCCCCATTTGTATCCAGATAATATCTACCCACCACCCATTCCATGTTTAGGACTCAAGATAGTATCAGCACGTAGTCCGTCAGTTAGTAGTACCTTCAACAGGGTACGTCAAGCTCCTGATACTTCACCTTATAGTATACTATAAATCAAGTCGCCCATAGGATTGATAGATAGAGATGAAGGGATGGATGATGGATACATACATCTATATCTAGGTCCTACAGGCATAAGAGAATCCTATATAGATGCATGGATAGATAGTATCAATGATTGTCTGTATCTGATATATTGCAAGGTGTGTGAAATGGAAGAACATGATCTAGTTGATGTTGGGATTGGACTATATCAAGAAGGTACATCAAATAGAGAAATGCTTAGTTGATAGTTGGGATTAAACTGGACCTGATATGGACCTGAATTGGAATTGAACTGGAATTGAACTCTAACTCTGTACATGGCGGATTCGATAGAAGGTAACAACAACAACAACAGTAAAAATAACAACAGTGCCGAAAAGAAGACGGCGATACTAAACAAGTCCTATCCAAAAAGTACAAAAACAGTATCTCCCACTCTTACACTACCACCTAGACAAGTTCCATTTTTCAATTTTTAAATTTCCTCGAAGGCTGTAAATAAACGAACAAGTTTAAGAATAAAATGATGAATAAATAAAATAAGGAAAAAAATTAATTTACATCCCCGGCGAGATCAGCTTTCCCTCGGCACGAGCCTCCGGCTGCCATCCACCAGCGTAGGGACCACCCTGACCGATCTCGGCCGAGTACTCGCGGATACGGGCCTCGAGCTCGGGACGGAAGTGGCGGATCAGGCCCTGGATGGGCCAGGCGAAGGCCTCGCCCAGAGCGCAGATGGTGTGGCCCTCGACCTGCTTGGTCAGTTCCTGGAGCATGTCGATCTCGCGCTCGCGGGCGCGGCCGGTCTCGAGACGCTGCATCATCTGCATGGTCCACTTGCTGCCCTCGCGGCAGGGGGTGCACTGACCGCAGGACTCGTGCTTGTAGAAGGTGGAGAGGCGGGAGATGGCGCGGACGATGTCGGTGGACTTGTCCATGACGACGACGGCGGCCGTGCCCAGACCGGTTTGGCTGTCCTTGAGGGCGTCGAAGTCCATGAGCTGGTCGTCGCAGACGGACTTGGGGATCACGGGCGTGGAGGAGCCGCCGGGGATGATGGCCTGCAGGTTGTCCCAGCCGCCGCGGACGCCGCCGCAGTGCTTCTCGATCAGCTCGCGCAGCGGGATCGACATCTCCTCTTCGACCGTGCAGGGGTTGTTGACGTGGCCCGAGATGCAGAACAGCTTGGTGCCGGCGTTGCGCTCGCGGCCGAACTGCGAGAACCAGTTGGGTCCGCGGCGCATGATGGTCGGGGTGACGGCGACGGTCTCGACGTTGGTGACGGTGCTGGGGCAGCCGAAGAGACCGACCGCGGCGGGGAAGGGCGGCTTCAGGCGGGGCTTGCCGGCCTTGCCCTCGATCGACTCGATCAGCGAGGTCTCCTCACCACAGATGTAGGCGCCCATGCCGCGGTGCACGTAGACGTCGAAGTCGTAGCCGGTTCCGCAGGCGTTCTTGCCGATGAGTCCGGCGGCGTAGGCCTCGTTGATGGCGCGCTGCAGCACCGTCGCCTCGTGGTAGAACTCGCCACGGATGTAGATGTAGGCCGCGTTGGCGTTCATGGCCCGTCCGACGACGAGACAGCCTTCGATCAGCTTCTGGGGGTCCTTGCGCATGATCTCGCGGTCCTTGCACGTTCCGGGTTCGCCTTCGTCCGCGTTGACGACCAGATACCGGGGTCGGGGGTCCTTGTCCCAATCTTTGAAGTTCATGAAAGACTACATTATTAGATTCTTCTTCTTCTTTTCCCCTCTTTTCTTTCCACGGTTTACCCCAAAAGCATTGAAGGATGAAGGAACTCACATATTTCAAACCCGACGGAAACCCAGCACCACCACGACCACGAAGACCGGAAGCCTTAATTTCGGAAATAAGCTGCAACAGATACCCTCATTAGCACACGACTTCTCTCCCACATCGCTTGTCTCCCCTTCTCCTTCTGTCTCCCAATCCCATTATCCCCCCACACAAAGCAACATCCCCGAGGTAAAAGAGATACCCACCCAATCATGCCCCTTCAACACAATATCCTTCGTCCGATGCCAATCGCCATACTTCATCGCAGACTTGAGATCCGCCCCATGGTGACCATAAAGGTTCGTAAAGATGCGGTCCTGGTCCTGCAGACCGCCATGGTGCCGGACGGGGGGAGCGTTGTCCTGAACGGTCGCGAAGGAGCGGGCGGCCGGCCGGCCCTGGACGCGGAGGGACCGGGAGAGGGTGGAGGGCGAGGGAGCCGCCGCTCGAGATATCATCTTGGGCGAGCTGTGTTGGGGCGGTGTTGGGTCCCAATTGGTGTGAACGGAGGGGGTGAACGGGGTGGTGGTAGAGGAGAAGAGGTGATGTCGTCTCGGGGCAATTCCTGCGCCCTGCTGAATATCCGTCTTTGACAACGTCCTGATTGGTGGGGACGAATCACGTGATGTTTAATCTGAGTCAGCGGGTATAAAGATGTGTGGGTGTTATGCTTGATTATGTCATTTATTTTATGCGGATATAACAGTTACTACTTGATCAATGTGTGATAGATAATCCAGTCAAGTCTAACTACGATGGTCCTCCGGCACGTACAGGTAGTTCACCGTAGACAGCATCACCTGCCCACCTGCCCCCCCACTGAGCAACCCCAGTGGGTTATCCGGCACCTGGACACTCTCCTGCTCCACCGCCATCCACGCCCACCGCAGCCAGTTAGGAGACAGCCACCAGGAGTCGCCTTTCCAGTCGCCGGTGAACGCCCCCAAACCAGAGAACGCGGCCTCGCTCTGCTCCCGCATAGTCTCAAGCGCCTCGTCAAACGCGCTAAGAAGATACTCGTCGTCTTCGTCCTCCACAGCCCACAGCACATCCTCCGGCGGAGGCGGGTAATGCTCGAGGAGAAAGCCGACCCATTTGCCTAGACGAGAGGACAGACGAACAGAGTTACGGTGCGCGGCAGCAACCAGACACAGGAACATCGGGAAGGCAAAGGGCGATGCGTCGGGGCTGTCGCGCAGGGCGGGAACGGCGCGTTCGGCTGTCGTTGAGATCTGTTGGAAGCTGACTCGTGCTGGGTCTTGCATTTCGGACGGGAGGAGGCGGACGAGCTCGTCTGCTGAGAAGAGTTCGCCGTTGTCGTGGAGGAGGGATGGGCGTTCGAGGATCTTCACCTGCACGCGGGACTGCACTTCGTTGGAGAATTTACCGGCTGGGATGCCGCGCATGTGAGCACTGAGAAGCGTCTTGGTTTCATCCCAGCTGCCGCGGTAGTTGTGCTGGCGTGCGCGGTTCAATGTCCAGGATGCGATGACGAGGGCTGTCTCGGAGAGGAGGATCTGACTGTCGCGGTAGATCTTGGCGTGCGTCTGCTTGAGGTTGGTGGGGGTCGGCGAGTCGGGGGCCGATGTCTTCAGCTTCACGATATGGGTGATCAGCTCAATGATGATCTGGCTGAGGGCCGAGAGGATGGTGCGCGAGTTGCCGTATCCGTCGGGGATGCGGATCCCAGCCTCGGAGATCTCCAGGGTCTCCAGCTCGCGGTTGTTGGCCGCCAGGACGGAGACGGCGTTGAAGAGCGCCGGCGAAAAGACCGAATGCTCCATGGCGGTGTCCGGCGCAAGCAGTGGATAGAACACGTTGAACACGTAGTAGTGGTCGTCTGCGTCTGCGGCCAGCTGGGGATACATCTGGTGCTGATGTTGCCGGGCCACGTACAACGGACTCCCTGGAGGTGCGCGCAGGCCAACAGTGCGGTAGTCGCACGGGTTGCCGGAGAGGCAGAAGCCGTAGTTCATCATCACTGGGGTAGATGGTCAGTGTTTGTCTTTTGGGGCTGTAAGGATAGAACACCCACACTGCTCGTTGTTCCTCGGACCGTAGTTATTCGCAATCTCCTCTCCGGCCGCAACATTCTCCCTCGTGAGGAAAGCCACGTCATCTTTGCCAGCGCGCCATTCCACCTTAGCCAGCGGCCGATGGTTCAAGACATCGATGAAGGGCAGAAGAACGGAGACGCTCTCCTCCGGCAGATCCGAGTCAGGGATGACACCCGACAAGACCTTAGACGAGAAAGCCCGCGACACAAAGATGGTCGACGCCCAGAGATACAGGTCCCTATCCCGTCAACACAAGTCGAACAAAAGGAAGAGATAAACACAAAACGAATGAAAGGAGAACACAAACCAAGTAAACCTCTCGACTCCCTCAAATCCAACCCTCCCCAACTCCCTAACCCCAGCCTCATACTTCCCAAGCAATAACACCCTCTTCTGCTCCCTAGCAGCCAACAGACTCGTGCCCCCCAACCACTCCAAATCGCCCCCCTCATAATACAACGGCGTCGTCAGATCCCCCGGCTGCGGCAACGACCTCAAATAAGGCGCCCAAAACCCATCCTCACCACGCAGATACTGCCCAATCAGAAAAAAGATAGACGTCTCCTCAGGGCCAACAGCGTCGACAAACGCTTGCGGCAGATGGAACCCGTGCGCGGGGAACGCCACGGCCGAGTTAGCTGGGCGGTGGTCGATGGCGTTGAAGTACGAGAGTGTCGCTGCCAGCGGCGTGTGGATGACCTCTGTGTTGCTGGGGAGCGGGGGCTGGTCTTGTTTGACTTGCAGGTGCACGCCGCGGTGGTCGTCGCGCGCGATTTGCACGGCCGGGTGGAGGTCGCCGCCGTTGGTGGTCATCCATTGTAGGAGTGCGGTGTAGTTGGTTAGAGTTGCGTCATTGTGACTGTGTGGTGTTAGTTCATTTGATTCTATAGCGGGGTGTATAGATTGTGTCTATTAGGTGTAGTTGCAATGCACTACAGTAGGTATACGAATGGATTAAACAGGATAAAAGACATAACCCACCTTGACGGAAGTCCTGAATCCGTCGCCATGATCAGCTCTCAACGAAATTATATCCAATTTGCCTAAATTCTGCCAAGCTCTGGGTTGATCGAGGTTCAAGATGTCGCAAGAGTTATAAAAGATGGAGGGGCAGGATCCATACGGACCAATGCAAAATGATACATGATGAATGCGGTGTCCCACTTTTTATTTTTTTTGCACACCCCCCGCGGCTCTTCATAATCAACACGATCTTTCAATCTTGAGATTGGAGACGGGATATTTGAAATCTAGATTGTTATAATAAATAATCATCTATCCCGGTCTAAGGAATCTAGTCTAGCAGAGAAATTCAGGTCATACCTGCAGTATCGCACTTCATACTGTCAGAGAAGATTTGCATATCAATAGCATCCACCTGCAAAGCTTAACCTGAATAGTGACATTTCCTGCTATCCACAATGCATAAACAATTACCAGTCGATCAATCAATCGATCATAACATTGCATGAATCCATATAACAATCCAGCTGAAAATAAGCATCGAGAGCATCCACATGCTTCGTACCGATCATGTTCAGTATAACCCCCACCCATTCAATCATATCATACCATATCAAAATCATATCCCATCAAACCATAGATCAAACGGTTGCAACCACCCTAAGCCAACGAGCAATGTATAGTTTAGGAGACGGGGAAGGAGAAGGAGAAGGAAGAAGAGGCTCTCCTCATCCCACCTGTCCTGCGTACTTCTACCTTACCCCCGCTCATCAAGATCATATCATATCAAAGCCAAGCTTGCATTGCACTCCAAAAAAAGGGGGAAAGAACATATACATAAGGTATGCCAATGCAGTCAATATAGTACATCAATCATCGGATCGAAACCAGTCACACACAAAGTACACAGAAAAATAAACAGAACATCAACGAAAAAAAGAAAACAAACGTAAACCACAGTCCCCGCCCAAAACAAACAAACAACAACAAGGAAAAAATCACATAACTGGCACAAATCTAGGGAATCTTGTCATTCATATTTCATCTCCATGGCCCCATTGGCAATCGTAGTTAGTTCAGTTCAGTCAGATAATGAAGGCTTTCGTCCAGGAACAAGGATCTCGACCAGTCCGTCGTCCTCCCCGTCGCTGCTATCATTCTGGTCGTCGTCGTCATCGTCAAAGGGGGACGCCCCGGCCCGGGACCGTCGGAAGGTCTTGTATCGTTCTGCGCCTAGGTCGGGGTACCCCAGGGACTCGTTCATGATGGCTTCGTCTTCCTCGTCTGACGAGTCATTCATGCCTGACCCGCCGGATGGTCCGACCATCTCGCCCATGTCGTCATCGTCGTCGTCGTCGACTTCTAGGGGGGCGCGCTCCTTGCCCCGGGCGTGGCCGGAATCGTCCTCCCCGTCGTCGGAAGAGTTCGAGGATAAGGAGTCCGGAGGGCTGAATCCGGATTCTGCGAAAGGAGGGGAGGAAAAGGGGGCATCCTTGGACAGGTCGGTCGAGGGGAATGCCGCTCCCGCTGGGGCACTTTGCCCGTCAGCGTCGTCGTCCAACCCTGCAATGACAAAAGGATTGGTATGCCATTGGACATCTGTGCCCTGGGGGTTCGAATGCTCGGACTCGCGGTCCTTGTCTTCGCCGTCGTGCTCCCCGTTTTCGGCAACCTGCGCCTTCTGTTTGGCTAGTCGGGCAGCGAGCTGGCGCCGTGCGCGAGACGGCCCGAGACTCAGAGGAGCGGGAGGCGGAGGAAGAATCGGGATCGGCTGGCTGGTGGAGTTTGTCGATGCCTATGGGGGATGCAGTGTCAGCAAAGTCCAGTCATTCGTATACATGCTGACTGTCGACACGCTATGCAACGCAGAAGAAACACATCACAATTGAAAGAAAAACAATATAAGTACCATGCATTGAAATCACATTGACATCGCTCAAGGGCACAATAAAAAACAAAATTTCAGGCATGCCTAAAATGACTAGCAAATACCCAGACACAACCAAGGGAATTGGAAGTTTAAAGCATGGCGTCATATTAGAATGGAAGAATTGGTGGATTCAATGCTCTAGATGCATAGTCTCAACGACCTCCACATTCATGTTCCATCATGCGCATCTTTCCTGCTAAACGACCCAATAGAAGGTCACGCACGCAGAAAGACAAGTATGAGGACATGGAGCAAACAGACAGGGTATCAAAGGGTAGAAGGGTCAAACGGTAAAACGGAAGAATCGTCATAGTATAAGATCTCATGGGTCACTCATGTCAACATCGGTAAAAAAATCGTCACCCACATTTTCAGGACCGCCTTCTGCGGATGCATCACCCCCAGCTCTATCGTCTTGGTCCTCCATGTCATCGTCCTCGTCATCACTCGAGCTGGCAAACCCGCTTAGCGAAGAGCCGCCATTGCCCCCAAACCCGAATGCCCCTCCAGAGACACTCCCCTGGTTCGCGTCGAAGCCCTGGAAGCCAGAGTTTCCTCCCATCTGACCGTTCAACCCCGCATCGGCAAGGGCTGACGAAGTACTCGTACCTTGTCCGGTATTCGCCGTGCCCTGACGATGCCCGATCGCCATGTCCGGTCGTACTCCGCCGAGGATCGCATTGTCGCGCTCGCGAGTTTCGGAGAGCGTTTGCTCCACGTACTCGATCCACTCCGGGTTCAACACGCTGTCCATCACTGCTGGCGAAAGGAGCTCGGGTGGGTGACGTTCACCGAACTTGACGACTTCTTCCGCGATCAGGGTCAGATGACCCATGTACCCGAGCCGGATCTGCTTGGCCCGTTGCGTCTCGTCGCTTCGCTTTTGCCCTTCGACGATGGCGTGCGTGATACGGCCAGTCTCGAAGACATCGATGGCCAATGCGCGGTTGTAGCCGCGCTCCATGGGCCCGTTGAAGACCTGCTGGATCACATCATAGACCACATTGTGGAGGAAATTGTTCCAGGGGAACCGGAAGAAGAAGCCCTGTAAGAATGATTAATTCTGATGCCAGAGACCTTCCATGGAAGGGCGATACTTACCAAGATGGTGGGGACGACCCGATTCTCAACAAACATGATCTTGAGATAGTCACCTACCACAGGTTGACCGTTTGTATCTACCTGGACATCCGGATGCATCTGCTGCACCTGTGCAGCGTTGTTTTCGGAATCCGCAGCGTCGGGCTGAGGCGTCTCCTGCTGACCCTGCTGGCTTGCGGAAAAGAGAGGCGCAGGGACCGCCTCGGGATTGGAGGACATGGGCGCAGAGGACTGCGAGGGATCGCTCTGCAACGATTCTGCCAGCTCACCCGAGCTCACCGCAGAAGAAGCCTTGGGTTCCTCCAGGCCTGTCTGATTGTTGAGAGAAACCTCTCCAATCCGGTCTGTGAGACCTAGCGTGCTAGGAGAAAGCGGATCGGATGGGGGCGTTTGGGATGGTTCAGGCGTTGAAATGGCCGGGACAGCTGGCTTCGGCTGGCCATCGTGCTCCTTGATCGAGGGGTCTGCCCCTGATGCGGGAGAAGCTTCCGCTGTCGCCGGGGTCCGCTCCGACTGGGATTCGCCGCTAGGGGCACCTGGAACGCCAGCGTCTTTCTCTTTGTCGATAAGAACCCCGGAAGAGCTCACTTCGTCGAAACCGTCCTCGCCCGCCGTGATCTTGGAGCCTTCGGGAGAGCCATACCCGATGACGGACCCATTCACAAAGTCCGTGGTCGAGTCGTTTCCGTCAAAAACCGAGGTTTCTTCCTGGTGCAGATTGAAGGCGCCCTCCCGTGCCAGCCGCTCGCGGTCCGCATCCCGCTGCTCGACGTAGTCATCGCTGCCGGGCTCGTTCAGCAGGCCCATATTACTGCAGTGGAGCAGCTCGGCCATCAACTCGCAGGTCTTGAACCGGTCGAACCCTAGGGGCTCAATCTTGGCACCCCATGCGGAGCTCAGCTGGCCTCGTTCGACACTCTTCACGTCTCTGCCGTCCTTCACGGTGTGCCTCGAGCTCTGGATCAGCGCCATGAAGTCGGGGATATGTTTCGCAAACAGGCGCAGCAGGTTGCCGAGGTAGATCGGGTCGTAGGTGGAGGGCATGGTCTCGGGGCTGTTGATGTTCTCCGGGTCATAGTCCGAATTGTTCTTTCGGATGACTTCGATCACGATCCCGACCCCGACGGTGAGGGTGTTCCCACCCAGAAGCATCGCCTGGATCAGGCTCTCAATGCATGGCGTGGAGACCATTTGGCGAGTCAGGCTGTTGGGACCAATACAGGATTGGTCATTCTGGGTCGCGTTGGCGGAGATGGTAATGATGGCTTTGAGGAAATCGCCGGCGGACGTTTGGACCGAGTCAGGGTGGTCGCGGGAGAGATAGGACAGGAGCGTCGGTATTAAGTCTTGCGTTTTCAACCACTGTCAAAAGTCCATTAGTAGGGGTAACAGACGGGGGAGGAAACACCGCTCTTGATGATCGAACTCACCTCGACAATCCCCTGGCCCCCTTCGGCCTTTTCCAGACTGATAATCTTCAGCAACAGGTCCATGACCATTGGATTGTCGATGTGCTGGAGGAAGGCGGGGATAATCCCGTCGAGCGACTTGAAGAAATCGAGCATGTCACCGGTCTTCTTGTCGAACAAGGTTTCATTGACCTTGGTGAAGTAGCTCGCCTGGACGGAATCCAGGGCCGGCGATCTCCTCAGGAAGCCCCAGAAGTCTCGCAGCGCGCGCGGGTTGAGCATGACCGACTCCATGATGGACCACACTTCGGAGGACAGAATCTCGCAGGCAATATAAGCGCGCTTGAGGCGATCCTTCTCGGCCTTATCCAGGTCCTCCGGGCTCAAGATGTCCTTCAACGGATCCCCGCGCTTCTCCTCCGAGGGATCTTCCTGTCCCTCGGCCGCCGCATCACTGTCATGGGTATCATTCTCGGTCTTGTTCTCTTTCTCTTTCTTGTCCTTATCCTCATCTTCATCCTCGTCATCGTCGTTCACCAGGCTGGGCGCGATCACATAGTCCATAAGCCGTTTCAAGACATTATCATCGCGTAAATATTCTATGAGTTTCGTATTATGCTGCTTGAGCTCCTGGACCAGCTCGGACTCGTCCAGCAGCTCCTCGAGCGAGACATCAGGCTTGTCGAGCAGGGTATCAATGGAGGAGATACTTGCATATCCCCCGAAACGCCAAAACATGATGAATTATATAGCTGGGCGAAAAACAGCTCATGGAAAAAGAAAACAAAGGTACCACAAAGCGCTCGCGCGAGGCCGTTTCTTCGATACTATCTCTCTCTCTCTCCCCTTGATTTCTTTGTTGGATTTTTATATGGAGACCGGTGTCAACGGACAAAGGGAAAGGGTACCGGGACTCGTGCGATGCGCGATCATGCGTGTGGTTGAAAGAGTTGTGGGTGTAAAATCAGCGGTTCTGGAGTGGGGTCAATTCGATCGAAGCATATCATGCCAGCCGGGGAAGACCGTCAGAAACGCGAAGACACAAACACGGTCGGAGCGACCTAGCGCTGGTGATGCAGGGGAGAGCACGTCAGCAAATTGAAGTCCAAGTTTCGACGTTGTACGACCCGCATTGTCGGCCGCAGATATGGGAGCAGACATGGTCGGGATTCAGGATGCGGTCCGACCAAAAGGGTAGCGAGTATGATTGCGAGCAGAACGTGGACAGAAGAGTGGGTTCATCAAGGGAGAGTGTGGTGGTAACGAGGGGCAAGCTGGCAGGCACTACTTGAGGCTGACAGGGAGGAGAATGAGGAGAAGCATGGGACAGCGCTTACCTTCACAACCCAAAGAGTGACTGGGAAAAGGAAATCCGAAAATCAATCACAATAACCCGTACACTGTGGCGACAGAGAAGAGAGGAGCAAGCAGTCGAGGGAAGTGCAGGTTCCGACCACCGAACGGGGAAGCGAGAGGAGGAAGAGGAGGCAGAGAAGGAAGAGGAGAAAGAAGGGATCAGCCGGACCCTCCGTCGTCAGCGTCGTTAGTGGTGGGCCAGTTAGGATGGAATGGAGGAACACCACGACAAGGCGTGAGAAGGGGGGGGGGGGGTTGATAGAGAAGAGAATGATCGGAAGAGATCAATCTCGATCAACAGAGGATATATTGAATGACCGATGAGGAGGCAGGGAGAGAAGTGTGGTCTGGAATCAGCGAAATACAGTAAACTGATAATTACCTAGGTAAAGGTGGTCTCTGACTAACCTCAGGCATGGACGGCGGGGAAGATAGGCGAGAAGGCTGGAAGTAGTGGGGGATTTAGGCTCTTGTTTCAGATATTTCTTTCTCTTGACTCATTAAATTGAATCAATTTGACTGTATTAGAGTATCTATATTTCTCTAATTATCTAGTACTATCCTCCCACCATCCCCTTAAATACTACTTGATCAATCGTTACCAGTTGAGGAGGGCAAGTCTACTCCGTAGGTACCGCACTGACCACATGGGTGATATGGGAATGCACGTACCGGTACTTCTGTCTGAACAGGTATTGTAAGATAGATCAAGAGGAATAACGTCCACACGTGTTGATGCTTAAGACTAGAACAGTTTATTGACTATAATGCTCTGTCTTAACGGTCTGTGTAACAGATACTCCCTATAACATTTGGTACCACTGTTACCTGAAACTGGCGCCCCTCTGGTAATAAATGTAACACATATACAGACAACCATGTCACGTGGGCCTCCGCACTAGACTGGTCATCATAGGCAGCGATAACCACTTAATAAGTATCTACCTGACAGCTGCACATGAGACAAGTCATATCATCCCACAGTCCAAACCCCAGTGTATCAGATGGTGTCACGATCTGATCGTGACTGATCATATCATTGGACGAATCTACCTACGGTGGAAAGTTATCGACCGACTACTAGGCAGACTAGCTAGTATTGTTCACCCCGCAGTGCCACTTTATCAATTCTCACCTCACACTACACTACACTACGCATTCAACTACCCACGCTGAACACCATGAACCGACTCTTCGGATCCAAGAGCGCGGCTCCAAAGCCGACGCTGGACGGCGCTATCACCAATGTAAGCCCCCTCCAACCCCACGTCATCCCTCAACCCCCATAAAAAAGGTAGTAACTAACCCCTCCAAGGTCGAAGACCGCATCTCCACCCTCGACGTAAAACTCACCTCCCTAAACAGCGAACTCACCACCTACCAAACCAAAATCAGCAAGATGCGCGACGGGCCGGGCAAAACGGCGCTCAAACAAAAAGCCCTCAAAGTCCTCCAACGACGCAAACAGTACGAATCCCAGCGCGACCAGCTCGAAGGCCAGTCCTGGAACATGCAGCAGGCCGGCATGATGACAGATAATCTCAAGAACACGATGACGACCGTGGACGTCATGAAGGATACGACGAAGACGCTGAAGAAGCAGTATCGCAATATCGACATCGACAAGATCGACCGCATGCAGGATGAGATGGCTGATCTGATGGACATGGGGAATGAGATTCAGGATAGTATTTCGAGGGCGTATGATGTGCCGGATGAGGTTGATGAGGCGGATTTGGATGCTGAGCTCGAGGCGCTGGGCGAGGAGAGTATGTTTGAGAGTGGGGTGGGCGAGGGGGCGGTCCCGAGCTTTATGCAGGATGAGGTTGCGCCGCCGCAGTTTATTGATGAGCCGCCCGAGCCGGCGAAGGTGAAGGAGCCGGCTGGGGGGTTGGGTTGATAGGTGCTATACGGGGATGATATACGCCGTTTGAGACGATGGACGAGCTTGGAGTTATTTCTATTATGGCAGGAAGCGAGGAGTTTGGGCAGCATATTTGCGTCTTCTGACTTTCTTTTCTTATATTTCCTGTAAATTGACTTGATGCGCACGTTTTGAACACCGGACGTTGCTAGCATATTATTGATCAATGTTCCGCTCCACAGTGTGTTTTCAAGGGACACTACAATTTGACACATTCTGATCTGTCCCTTATTCAGTAAGACCTTTTAAGCCTTCCCCATTCCAACCAACACCAGCAATGCCACATTCATAACTACAATGATCACCCAGACCACTACAGCAACGGCAGAAACCAGCCAGCCGTTCCGCATCTTTACCCCCTCGGCCGGCTCGTCCGCGCCGTGGCTGACTCTATCGACCGAGACCGTCATGTAGCGGTTGCGGCAGGTAAAGTAGACTAGTGGCGCCGTGACGAACGGCAGGATGACGCTCAGCACCACCTGACTGGCGTTGAGCGTCTTGTCGAGCCCGTCTTTGCCGACGGCCCCGGCGATGATGATGCTGGGGATGATACTGATCGATCTGGTGAGGAGTCGGCGAAGCCAGGGCCGCATACTCCAATTCAGCATGCCCTCGCTTACCATTTGCCCTGCCATGGTGCAGACGATTCCTGCAGAGATGCCGGAGAGGAGCAAGGCCAGGGCGAAGATTAGGCCGGCGGCTGGGGCGATTGAGGTGGATAGTAGATGGTGGATGCCCCAGAGGTCAGCATCGTCTGCTCCTGACGTGCCGTAGAGGGAGGCACCGGCGACGATGAGAATGGCGCTGTTCACGAAGAGGGCAAACGTGAAGAGAGACAAGGTTAGCTCGACGATGGAGTATTTCATGCACCCTTGGATTGCTTGGATTGACGGTCTGTACTTGACCTCTCCGTCGACACTTCCTAGACAGACGGACGGGTCCACGTAGCCTTCTGTGACGTCGAATTCCTTCAGTCGGGATTGGACGACACCGCTGCCGAGGAACATGGAGTGAGGCATGACGGTGGCACCGAGAATGCCACAGCTTTGGTATAGCCTAGATGCTCCATCAGTATCGCCTCTACTCTCTGTGGGTCAAAATAAAAAGACAGAGATAAACCAACCCCTTCGATTTCACAATCGCCGACGACGGCACGTATCCTCGAAAGACGTTTCCCACGGACTGATCCTTAATGAGGGAGAGCTGGATGCAAAAACAGATGACTACCCCCAACACCAGAGCCATGACAAAGAATTCAAACAAACGCAACCCCCACATGGCACCATTGGGCCGGTAGAAGATGAGGATGAAGAGGACATCCGCCAGCGTAATAGCACAACCGGCCACCAGAGGGATTTTCAGAAGTAGATTGAGCGCAATAGCCGAGCCAACCACCTATGAAAGAACATTAATGCCCTGCCTCAGATCGAAGGGACTGGGGCATACTTCTGCAATATCTGTCGCCACAATGGCAGCTTCGGAGAAGATGTAAAGAATGATCACCAACCACTTGGGCAGGTGTTCGCGGCAGTTTTCTGCCAGATTCAGCCCGGTGACCGTGCCCAGCTTGATGCACAACGACTGCAAGAAGATAGCGAAGAGATTCGACAGGAGCACGATGAAGAGAAGGGCATATCGAAATTCGGCACCCGCCGCCACGTCGGTGGAGTAGTTTCCGGGGTCAATGTAGGCGACGGCGATCAGGAAACCCGGACCCACAAATCGGCCAAATTTGGCGATGCTGCGGGCGAGATACCGGACAAAGGATGAGATTAGAGATTCGTTGCAAGAACGGCGAGATGATCGGCTGTTCCTCTGGGGTGGTTCACTCCCAGAGGTGGCCGAGATCATCTCGCCGGGGGTCTTTTCGGGCCCCGGTCTGTCCGCTTCGAAACAGTGTGTTGTCGACTGCAACGCCCTGATCTCATCCTCCTGGTCCCCCATCATCCCGGGGGCATGTCTCCTGTGAAGTCTCGCATTGGCGATGCTATTGAAGTCATTGCGAGTGGTGGTATCCGCACTCAGAGCTGAAGGATTTTGATTCCAGTCCGGGTGTTCCAAGGTATCGTCGGTGCGTGAGGGGCAATTCATTGCGGGACTGTGAGGGCCCAGGTCAGCCGCGAGAACGGGGAGAAAAGTGCAGTGACTCGAATGGAGTCTAAGCTTACCTCGTCTGTAGTTTCTCTTGCTACGTGATTGGATTTATTGGTCTTGTCATTCGATGTCAGTCGACTGTTGAGACCCTGAATGAACGTCGTACCTTGGAGGGGCAGTCCCGACACCGCCCGATTGCGCAACGGTTTAGTGGAGTCGAATCGCGCAACTTGCCGACGCGACACTATCGAGATTTGCGAGAATTGGGTCAAGAAACGAACGTGAAATCAAACCGGAGTCCAGTCAACCAGGTGAGTTTTGTGCGTCCGTCAAGAACCCGGATAACACCGACGGAAAGCCTGGGTCTGGCGTTTCGGGCGCTGCTCTCGGAAGTTAGACAAGGAAGGATCTCCATGGTTGGTGATATCGGAGGAAATCAGCCCAACCATCTCACAAGTACATGTTCAGGAGATAAAATCGAAGTCTAGTATCACTTCCTCGAGAGTAGCATACGGGTATAGATATGACCCCAGAGTACTGATGCCAATGCTTGGCCATTCTGCTGCCATGGTTCGTTCCCCAATCACACGGATAAAACTGGATTCTGACCCCACCGATCACCTTCTTGGCGTTGACTCCTCTGCGATCGAGGATCAAAGATACTGATCCATGGTACTACGAAGATCATGGACGATGGCGTCAACATCATTCTGCAAGATGTATTAAGATGCCTCACAATCACTAGTAGGATATCTGCACATGTAAGTCGTCGGGCACATGGGCTGTCGAACGGGGAGATAACGGGCATATTGTTCGATACATCAGATCGTGGAAGGCGATCAATCGATGGGTATTCTGGGGAAGAGGGGAAGACCGTGATCATAAACCACAACATCAGTGATCTATCTCTCTTCTTCTATAGTCAAGGCAGATAATCCGTGCAAATCCGACCGTGTAAGAGAGAGAGAGACATGCAGGAATGATCCAAAGATCTCGTATCTAGACACACACCAAAAAAACCCGTTACCCCCGCAACCACCACCATGTTTACCCTCCGGTTATAGCGCTTCGTCCGGTGGGGAAAACATAGTGAACTACGTAGTTATGCAGTAGTTACCAGAGGGATTCTTACATACCAGTAGGGATTATTATGGCGATGGATCTTCCGATCGATCCATACTTGATAGATTCAATCTGAAATACCTGCATTAATTACTTGACCACGGTTGTTGTGGTTTCCATCTGGCCGTTTCACCTTATCATTCCTCCATTCCCCATTCTCCCCCTCTCCACCATTCTCTCCGACTCCCCTTATCCTGACCTTTTTCTCTTGATCTCACTCCCTTCCCTTCCCTTCGTGCTCGTGGGCCCTCTACACTTGTCAATGTCGTCTCTTTTCTGTTAATCCACGATTTGCTTCTTGTTCGTTCTTGCTTCACTCGGGTCGGTTTCGCTTTCTTTTCTTTTTCGGTCTCTTTCTATTTCTGGGAGACGTCCGGGGTGATTGCTTTGCCCATCGATTGTTTGCTTCCTATCCTCACGGTATGTCTGCGGCGACCAGCCCACCCTACGTTGTGCAACCATAGAATATGCTAATACCGTCTCCTTTCAGGTCAAAGACGATCGAGATGACTCCCAGCGTTCAGGTACCGATGATCTTCGATGATGCCACTCGTGCTTCCCCCACCAAACCGTCCGTCCTTCGCTCGATCTGGTCCTCCAAGGGCCATCGGAGAAACCAATCCGCAGACGATGCCGCCGCAGCCAGACGACTCCAGGGACCGTCGTTTGGCCCTTCTTTCGTATCACCCCGCGACCAGGCCTACGCCACCTTGAACCAACCGCTGGCGGAGATCATTCCCAACCGCGATGCGGACGGACTGTCGTTCCAGCGGTCGCTAGAGAAACAGGAGAAGAATACCCTGCACAAGAAGACCAAGAGTGCCGTATCGCTGAAGTCTCTGAAGAATTACATGGAGCGAAAGGACCAGAAGAATGACGAGTTTCCCCCCGAAGAATCATCCAACTTGAGACCCAAGAAGGCCAAGTCGGCCAACAGCCTGACAGCCATCTTGAAACGCTCCCAGGGCGGGAGAAAGTCGGAAGAGTCCAAGAGCTCCCGTGATAAAGAAAACCGAAGCCCCACAGACCTGGGTGACTACTTGTCTTCTCCACCCTGGAATGGGTATCCGAACGACTCCTTCTCGCACCGGGGCGGTGCACCCCAATCACCGGGAAAGCGGAGAACCTTGCAGGAAGAGGTCTCTCTCTACACGCCCAAGGGTTACAGTCCTGCACAGCAGCGCAACTTCTATGACTTCCAACAGCCGTCTCTGTCGAACCGTGAGGGTTTAAAGCCTCGACCTCGACCAAAGTCGGACTTCTTTGCCGGGGGCCGCAAGGTCAAGGATTTCTTCGGATCGTCCCACCACTTGCCGGCCGGTAAACCGTCTCCAACTGATGAAGAGGATTCCACTTCTATTCGACACGGACGGCCCCGAGGTCTGTCGGGGCCCGCAGCTCGACCCGAGTTCGAGCAACGTCCGGAACAAAGCCCGCAGCGCGTCTCCCGGGTTCAGGCGGCAATCTCGGCCTTCAATGCGAAAGAGCACGAGGCTGAATTGAAAAAGCGCTTAAATGCCAAGGACCTTGAGAGCGAATTTGAGAAGCTGCTGGTAAGTGCCGACAGACCTCGTTTCTCGCCACTCCTGGAAGATGGTGTGATGCTGACCGCCATGTAGGATGCAAGGAACATTCCTCATAACGTGAGGGACAAGATGAGGTCTTTGGATACGAGTATCAAAGTGGACTTCATCCAGAAGGATCGAACGGAGAGCAACACTCCCCACAGCGCCGGGGCCAGTGTGTATGCGAATGACAGTACCGGCCGTCGGGGCCGTAAGAATGATCAGAAGGACGAACGGCAGAGCCATGATGGAAAGGGATCCCGGTCGCGCTCGCGAAGCCGCGGCTTTAACTTCTCCAAGACCCCTTCGTCCCCCAAGAAGCCTCGGCCGGAAAGTGGCAGCTCGTACCGTCGCCCCAAATCGGGAGACTTTACACAACCCGCGACATTGTCGAAAGTCCTGACGCCTGCCAGTTCGACCACCTCCCTTTCTGCCACGGCCTGTCAGGATACAGCCGCTGACCCATCGGATTTTGTACACTATCTACGCGAGATCCAGAAACCGGAGATGATCGAGGTCGGCAAGATGCACAAGCTACGGCTCCTTTTGCGGAACGAGACCGTGAGTTGGGTCGACACATTTATTTGTGAGGGGGGCATGGACGAGATTGTTCAGCTGCTCTATCGTATCATGAAGGTGGAATGGAGGTTTGTATTTTGGTCCCGTTCGGATGGACCGACGTGCTAACGCCGGACAGGGAGGAGCACGAGGATAACCTGCTCCACGAAACGCTGCTGTGTCTGAAGGGCATTTGCACCACCTCGATCGCACTGCATCATCTGACCCAGATTGAAGCAGAGCTCTTTCCGGCGCTGCTAAAGATGTTGTTCGACGAGGAAAAGAAGGGCCCGAGCGAGTATACTACCCGCGGGATTATCATCACCATTATCTTCACGCAGCTTTCTGCCGCGTCGTCGGATCAAGATGCGACCGCGCGCGCCGCCCGGATCCTATCCTACTTGCGCGATCCAACTCCCGCCGAAGACAACCAGCCTTTGGCGTTTATTGCCAATATCTACCAGTCACGGCCCTACCGGGTGTGGTGCAAGGAGGTCACCAATGTCACCAAGGAGGTGTTTTGGATTTTCCTCCACCATATGAATGTGATCCCGATCACGCAGACCGGGCAATTAGCCTCGGGCGGCTACCGCGAGCGACATTTCCCGACTCCCCGACCACCGGTGCCCGCCGCACCCTACGTGGGCGGTGTTGAGTGGGATGCCACCAACTATCTGGCCGCACACCTGGACCTGATGAATGGCCTGGTGGCCTCTCTCCCGTCCATTGAGCATCGGAACCAGCTGCGGGCGGAGCTGCGGGCCTCGGGGCTCGAGAAGGTCATGGGTGGCAGCTTGCGAACCTGTAAGGAGAAGTTCTATTCTTCGGTCCACGACTGTCTGCGGACCTGGGTTGTGGCTGCCATTGAAGACGACTGGCCGTACCTGGCTGTGCGTGAAGGGCCACCCCGACCCGACTTGGGCTCGCCCAGGAAGTCGCCCACCAAGGTTCCTGGCAGCCCTCAGAAGAGTGCTCTCCCGGAACAGCCACCCAAATTGGAGCTGGCACTGGATGCCCCTCCCAAAAACGACCGGCTGTCCCCACGGGTCAATGGCGTCAGCAACTGGCTGTAACTACGCCAGACATTCTTGGTTAATTTTTATTTTCTTTCTCTTTTCTTTATATTTGATACTGCACTGACTATAGCTGCCAACGGGCTCCTTCGACACCCTCAATTGATGGTCATGACACGGCGTTGCGGTTTTCTTTCCACCCTGCTCTTGGTTTCCTTCCAAATGCCTCTATCATTGCTTTCACGTTGATCTCTTTTCGGAGTGTGTGTGTGACGGCGTTGGCTTTCTCTTCCGGAGTTTTTTTTTTTTTTTTTTCTTTTTTCCTTTTCTCTCTCTTTTTGGATGCATTCAATCCGTCTACATGAACGGCCACGGCGAAACGAAATGATTTAATGACTGAAGGAACGGAGCTTCCCATTTGATGACTGACTGGCTTTTGGGAAGAGCATGGGCAAGCGGAATCTTCTTATGGCTTCATTTGCATTCCTTACAACTAAGAAAAAAAGAAAAGAAAAAAAGAAAAAAAGCGCTGTAGTTAGGATATTTGATACGGCAATGAATGAATTGATTTGTGTATTCTTTCTTTGGTTTGTGTATGTTGTGAGAATTGGTATAGGAAGTAGTGTATTGTACATTCTATCCTTGTTATACATATTTGCATTTTCCATGTTGATACAATGTATCTATCCAGTCCTTATCAGTCAGGACAGTATCGAAATCCAACCCTCTACTCCCTAGACTGATCACCCTTCTGCACCGGTCGTGGAGGCGCCGGAGTCGAGAACGCGCCCTTTACAGCGCCGAAGACAGCATTGCGTAGCTATAACATCACACCGTCAGTAACCAGCCAACAATCAACCCACTGAATCAAGAGAAAGAGAGAGAAAGAGGGGAATACACGAACATCATCAAACGGACTCCCCCGCTCATCCCACTCCATGAAGAGCACCGCATATAACAAGACAACTAGCAGCAGTCAGATTAGCACATCTACCATCTGATGACAGGAGCATAAAGACAGCCTGAGAGACAAAGCACAGAACCGACCCAAAAAAGGGAAAGAAAGGGAGATAAAGGGGGGGACATACAGCTAATAACCCCCCACTGCACCAGCTTCGTAATCTTCATCCACTGCGGCCGAGCGAACTTCAGCGCCGCGCGACGGCGGTATTTGCGCTCGAGGCGGAATTGGTGCTTGGGGGAGAGGCGGCGCATGTCCGGGGCCAGGTGCGTTTGGGTTTGTAGGGGGTGTATTTGTCTGATGCATATTCGGATTCGGGGGTGTCGTGTTCGGGGTTTGTTGGGGGGTATTGTTGCTGTTGTTGCTGTTGAGGCGGAAGGGGGAGGAGGAAACTGAAGAGGAGGAGGAAAAGAGGGTGGGTTGGGTGGTTGTTATAGAGCGAGTTTGGTTCTGTGGGTTTGGATTTGTTAGATTTTCATGTCCTGTCTTTTGTTTGGGTTGGGTCTGAATGTGAAGCATGGACAGTGACGTACAGCATATGAGGGGATTCGTTGGCCGGAGATGAGTTGAAGCCATGGTGATGAGGAGGATGCGACGGGGCGCACGGAGGGAATCCCGCGGAGTAAACGTATGGGAAGCATGGGCGCTTGAATTATATCTATTGATCGATAATATCAATGTAAAGATAGAAAGAGCACTGTCGGAGTAGTACAGGTGGTTGTTGCGATAAGAACAGTGGTGAAGAGACGGAGGTGTTGCGGAGAAAAGTCTAAGGCGGAAATAAGATCGTCGGCTTGCCATCTCCACTTGGCCCGACTCCCGTCGATCACAGTGACGGGCTTCCAGCTTTATCTCGTTTCTCTATAAACATATATCTAGTTTTGTGCAGGAAATAGTCGGGGAGTGATTAATGTAGTTAACACAAATTCTACGGAGCTAGAGGAGTACTCAAATAATATCATGGACTAGTCAGAATCTACTTTCTTCTAGGAATGTTTCGTCAACATATAAACTACAAAAGAATCAGCAGTCTTATCATACCTTTATTCCTTGGAAAGAATCCAGGCATATCCTCAAACCCACACAAATGGTTAATGTAAATTTGTATTGAATCGACCATAATCACGTCAGACTATAAGTGCTAAATCATCGAAAGGAAAGGGAAAAGCTCCCCACTATATCTCTACTATCTGTCCACCAAACGGCAGGAGTATCCATACGCCAAAGTTGCAAATGCTCACCCATGCCGTACCACTTTCGCTAAGCACTACCGATGCGTAGAGACTACCCGAGGGCTGCCATAGACAACCTGTGCATTGAAATTCGCAAGAAATGGTGTGATGGCATCAAAGCCAGTAAGTCGATGGAGCTCCGCCAGCATCGTAGCAAGAGGTCCGTCTTCCTGGGGCCATCTGACGACGAACCAGCCCTTTCTCTTATGTTGCCAGAACATAGACTGGAAGGATCGTCTTCGTTTCGCGCGTCGTGTCAGAATTATAGCCAAAGTTGTTGACATCGATGGACATAAAGGTGCGGTCTCCCCTTACTTCAAATGCGAGGAAGCGAATCCGACTGTCATCCTCCATATTTGGGAAGATTTTATTGACAAAGTTGCCTGCTGAGACACGATAATGACGGGAAGCTAGTCTTTGGGTATGCACCTTGATAACAAGCCGTTGTGCCTGTCCTTGAGACTATCTTCTCAGGGATTTCAGTGACGCAGGACATGGTGAGCAGGTCTGACGGTCTAATGAAGTAGGTTCAGTAAAAACAGACGGGCCAGCAAGCCACCGCCCATCTGATGGCTTGTATAGTTTGTATTTCAATCAAGGGTGTTTATTTCTTCGCAACATACCAACACCTTCGTTCTTGTTGTTATGATTATTCGAAGTTCTTGTTAAGCTGGTGACGTACCGTCCTATTTTCTGAAATACAGACGAAGAAATGTACGCATTATGCAAATACTATGACACAAATCTGACCATCAGCATCACTTTGTCATGTCAAGCTGAGACAGGTACCAATGTGGTCGTCCCTGGGACATTCCACGCCTCCTCACATCGAACTAGACCGGTTGGTCATCCTCTTGCCTATGCTTCAAAACAAGGGATGCACTTCCGTCACACAACGACAAAGGAGGTTGCCATCGTCCTGGTATACTGACAACAAAAGAGAGCGCCAGGCACGATAAACCCGAAACAACCGTCTCCTCATGCTCGAGCAATGGCGCCTTCGAGGTCTCTCCTTCAACAAATCATGGACAGTCATTCAACCTAATTCTTTCCAATGCCGGTAAATAGGTCCCGATGGCAATGGTCAACGAGGTCGAAAGCGACAACCATCTCCCGCTGTGGTTGGCAACCAAATTCCCGACGTCGCACAGAAGGCGTGCAGACAGGGGTATTCAATACCGATGACGACCTCCAGAGTCCACGAAACTGGCCCAGCTCAGACAATGGCTCACGGTGGCCCTCAGCACCGCCGTCATCTTCCTTACAGACCAAGATGAGGCCCCAGCGTCAGGTGTCATCTCCCACGAGTTACACATGGAATCCCATCATGTTCGTCTATCAGCGGTGCCGTCCGGAAATATCGCAATCTCTCGGTCTCTTTTCCCAACGCATATTTCCACCGATATTTTTGGTCTTATCGCTGTATTATCGACAGATTATCACCGGCGTGTTCAGCGACTATTTCGGGCCGACAACCGGGAGAGCCATCGATGTCATGAACATGACTTTGTTCTCGTCTCCCGGTCGGCGCCATCGTCGGCGGGTTCACCAGCAGGCTGCATGCTCAAGGGTGAGCTTCTTCGCAACCTCGGCTGCTGCTGCCGTCCTCATCTGCGGAATTCAGCCTTTACAGTAAGTAGTTATGCTGTGGAACTTTTGTCCGAGACAGTATCTAAGGGAGTTACTAGGTACATCCAGGTCTTGGCTGTATGGCAGACCGGCTGGACCATTGCGGCAGCCCCATGACCGAGAGCGCTTTCTAGGCTGACAGGAATGTGTAAAAAGACGTTTGCAGATGATCAAAGAAAAATTTGATAGACTCCTATTGATCGACAAGCTGGTGATGTCCGTCTGATGACAATTCCAATGCAATCTCCGAGCTCATCACTAATCACACTAATCAGACAGACTCGGTTACGTCAAGGTTCACATGAAAAAAAGCGCCGCCATAATGGCCCGTCTGGCCACGTGACCCGGCAGATCCCGGAACAACGTTGATACGGCGAACCTCGGTACTTTCACGGGATGGGGTCATCTCCTTCTCCTACAAAAGGCGATTGCTCCGAGCTTCATCCCCGGATCTCTCCTCCCCCCTCGAGTTTTATAAGAAGAACTGCCCCTTCCCTTGTCTCACTCCTTGGATTTCATTCTCTCATCTTCTCTCATCTTGGATCTTTTTTTTCCGTTCCTGATACCCCTTTGACGTCATAATCATGTCTGGTGGTGAGTTCCCAAAGAGACAAGAAGTTTTTTCCCCCACCATATGATAACAATCACTAACCATATTTTTTTTCTCTCAGCCCAACAGCGTCTGAACCAGGTGGCTTCCCACTTCGGCCCCGGTGGCAAGAAGGGAGCCGCTGCCATCACCGAGAAGCACCCCGATGATATCGTCATCACCTGCGCTCTGCGCACCGCCCTGACCAAGGGTGGTAAGGGTGCCTTCAAGGACACCGCCGCCGCCGACCTGCTGGCCGGTGTCTTCAAGGCCGTCATCAACAAGAGCGGCATCGACCCCAACCAGGTCAACGACATCTCCGTCGGCTCCGTCCTGCCCCCCGGCGGTGGTGCCACTGAGTTCCGTGCCGCCGCCCTGGTCGCCGGTTTCCCCGAGTCAGTCGCCGTCAAGGCTCTGAACCGTCAGTGCTCCAGTGGTCTGCAGGCCATCGTTGATACTGCCAATGCCATCCAGACCGGCATGATCGATGTTGGTATCGGTGCCGGTGTTGAGAGCATGTCCTCGCAGTACGGGTACGTACCTCCTTAACCAGGGTTTCCCCCATCGAGAATTGAGAATCAGAGTCTAACTGGACAATAGCCCCGGTGCCGTGACCGAGTTCTCCGACCTCCTGGAGAGCCACCCCGAGTCCGCCAACTGCAAGGTCCCCATGGGTGTCCTGTCCGAGAAGATGGCCAAGGAGCGTGGTGTGACCCGTGCCTCCCAGGACGCCTTCGCCGCCGCCTCGTACCAGAAGGCCCTCGCCGCTCAGAAGGCCGGCCTGTTCGACGCCGAGATCGCCCCCCTGGAGGTCAAGTGGACCGACCCCAAGACCGGCGAGGAGAAGACCATCACCGTCAAGGCCGATGACGGCATCCGCCCCGGCATCACCGCCGAGTCCCTGGGCAAGATTCGCCCCGCCTTCGCCAAGGACGGCTCCATCCACGCGGGCAACGCCTCGCAGATCTCCGACGGCGCCGCCGCCGTCCTGCTCATGAAGCGCTCCACCGCCGAGCGTCTGGGCCAGAAGATCATCGGCAAGTACGTCGCCGCCAGCGTGGTCGGCGTCAAGCCCTTGCTCATGGGTATCGGCCCCTGGAAGGCCATCCCCGTCGCCCTCGAGAAGGCCGGCATCACCAAGGACGACGTCGACATCTTCGAGATCAACGAGGCCTTCGCCTCCCAGTGCGTCTGGTGCATCAACGAGCTCGGCATCCCCCAGGAGAAGATCAACCCCAAGGGCGGTGCCATCGCCTTCGGCCACCCGCTCGGCTGCACCGGCTCCCGCCAGATCAGCACCCTGATGACTGAGCTGGAGCGCACCAACAAGAAGATCGGTGTCACCAGCATGTGTGTCGGTACCGGTATGGGTATGGCCGCCGTGTGGGTGCGCGAGTAAGCGGTGTTTTCTCAACAAAAAAAGCAATGATCTGGCATCATGATTCTTTTTTCTGTCTTATATATATATCTGTTTTAGTTTTTCATTTTTAGTTTCTTGTACAGCGACTTGGTTTGATGTTTGCATACTACCTACCATACCACCTATCAACGGTTTTAATAGAACCGAATGAAATGCTATGTACAATACCTATGGATAGTGCATCCTCCCCCTCACATGTAGACCATCAATGAACTCACCCCTGATTTCTTAACAATATATACACCACAACTCAAAGTATATACAAAAATCACAAGACGATTAAATCTTCGTCCGAAACTGCTTAAACGCATCAAACACAGACATCCCCTGCCCCACCGCATCCTTCACCTTATCGTCCATGGCAATCAGCTTCGGCATGACGTCGAGGACCTGGTCGAGGAGGTCGCGGGGGATGAAGACGACGCCCTCGAGGGGGTCGCAGAAGATGATGTCGCCCTTTTCAATCGAATTAATACATAGAACGTTTCCAAATGGGGAAAGGTGATAAGGAAGAGGTAAAAACGTACGGGAGATACAGTCACCCCCCCGCCGACTGTCACGGGGACGTTGCGCGCACCGGGTTTGGCCTCGGCTCCTGTGCCGACGGTTGATGTGCCTTGGGCCCAGACCTATTATCCCATTAGAATCTCAATTATTCCAAAAAAGAATGTAAAGTATGTAGTATTGCATGAAGGAAAGAAAAATGAAAGAAAAGAAAAAGGGAAATAAAGAACGAACCGGTAACCCACACTCTCTAATCTCATCCAAATCCCGCACGCGCCCATTAACCAGCGCGCCCTCCACGCCGAGCGTCTTCATGCGCACCGCCATGATACCGCCCAGCACGGCGCAGTACTGGCCCTGGGGCTGCTCGATGACGGCGACGGTACCCGGCTCGGCGAGATCAACCCAGTGCGTGCCGGCGGGGAAGCCGTGGGTGGGGTCTGAGGAGGCGGATTCGGCTTTGGGGATGAATTTGAAGGTTGATGCGGGGGCGATGAGCTTGGGGGTTGTTGTGTTGCGGCCGATTGTGGGGGTTAGGGGGCTTTTCATTGTATTAGTTTTGGAGTTGTATAGTTACGGTGTATAGAGGGTGGATTGTGATTATGATCTATTTGTGAGGAATTGAGGAGTGGGTGAGGACATACTGAAGTCGGCTAGGTGGCCTGCGCGGGGTGCCGTTCCCTCGGGTACTTTTTGGATCTTGAGTAATGCGTCGGAGACCTTATTGGTGGTTAGTATTGGGATTGGAGTATTCGGTAGATTGAATGGCAAGTAAATAAACATACATCGCAGGCGGAGTAATTACGCAGGGCGTCCAGCTTCTGCGCGATGGAGGTTGCGGCCGAGGACATGGTGCGGTGGAAGGTGGGGATGAAGGTTGGGGAGCGGAGTGGAGTGGAGATGATTCGGGGAAGGACTCGGGGGGTGAACATAGAGAAATCGATATAGATAATATGTAGAGAGGAGAGGAGAGAAAAGAGTAGAGAGAGTAGAGAGTAAACTATAAGAAGGATTCCGATGACGGAAGAAAGGAGATCAGATTAGGGCTTTTAACAGTGATAAGGAGTGTTCCTGATCAGCATCGGGTGTTCTAGGATCATGACGTATATTGATGCTTATTAATTGCTGTATATTCTATTTACTTGAATTTCATATTTACACTAATCAATTGTTTATAATATATAGTAATGTGCAAACTGGTCCCTCCTCCCTTGTATATATATTTAAACCTACAGGGGTTGTCTGTCTATATTTGCTGTTATTGAGTTGTACATGACTGAGCTTCCTGACACAAAAGGCTACATATCACCCACGCCCGCTTGAGAAGATGGCAGAGAACCTGAACCCAACTTGGCAAGTGTATATTGCCAGTGAATCAAGTGATAGCCATGGACTTATCATACAGTAGGTACAGGCGGTACTGTCACTGTTTCGGAGAAGTCGGCCTGCAGTCGGGTTGACACCATTGTTGCGTCGGATTTACGCTTTAGCTGTAGGCTGCCGAATATTCTTTGTTTATAGATTGATCAGGCTTCGTCTACCTCTCTTGAAATATATTCAGCTAGGTCAAACCAATCTCAGATCTGTATACATATCTCTATAAATATTAATGATCATCTATCTGAGTTACCAGGTCTACAGTATCAAGACAGACCCCTTCGTTTTCTTGACAAAAAACTGAAAGTACTTACAACTTTGGGACCGACATGGCTTTTCCACAAATCCAATGTGGGATGTCCCTGGAAGGAGTCCAGCCCTTGAGACCAGACCGCGATGCAGCGTTGGGGCTTTTTGATAGCATCATACAACATTTCGAACCCTCACAGGCAACGGACAACGGTCTCAAACCAGTCACTTTAATCCGCCTGATGAAAGAGGAGGTTCTCGACAAGGATAGATTTGCAACCTCTTTTTCCCACTGACTGAGCACTACTATCTAGACGGTCCCCACTCGACACAGAGCCCTCCCTCCCTCGCATTCTATCTCGCCTGGACAGCTTCGCTACATGGACCACCGAGAACAAACGTGCCCTTGGTGAAAGCCTAGTCACGTTCGCGAGGTTTTTGATCGATATGTTCTTCTTGCCCTGTAGGTTCCTATACACAAGCTTGGAGTGCATGCAACCAACGTTGGCCCCGTGATAGAGTCAGCTGACAAACCCTATGAACCTACGGAAACATCTCTTTATGAGGATCTGGAATATTCCTCCCCTTTACACCGAGACTGTTATGCGCGCGATCGCCATAGATGCGTTGTAACTGGAACATTCGATACTGGAGAAGCTTCTAAGCGACCCAACAAATACGGAGACTGTTGTCGAGATGACAATGGGGACATGTTGTGGCCGAGGGGTAATTTCTGGAAACAGTACCCTTCCAGATTCTATTCTTTGATCCTTCGTCTACAATCTATCTAGGCTGAATACATGCAGATGGCCCATAGGATCCTGAATATGTTCAATCCCACTGTTGTCCCTCTCAGCAGTGGGACTAACATTGACCGTCCCATGAATGCGCTCACTATGACGCGTCCTGCTTGCTGGCTGATTTCTCATTTCAAAATAGCTTTCGAACATATTGGGCCTCACACCTACAAGATCGACTTGGTGCGCCCAGACTACCCGCCCGATCTTCAAAGGGCTGAGCTTCCTGTTACCCGAACCCTCGATCTCGCCCCAGATCACAATATAGACCCGCCGTCAGCTGATCTTCTGAAGATCCACTCTGCCATCGCGAAGATCCTCTATCTGAGTGATGCGAGTCGGTTCATTGATCGATTTTTTGGGGCGATGGGGGAAATGGAAGCGCGGCTATTCAAGCCAGATGTAACGAGCCGTATCGACGAGTACGTAGCTTCCAATCTCGCTGGTTGTTTTGAGGAGATGTCTACGGAGGAGGAGTCTAGGATTTAAGCCGCTAAACCGCTGTACTTCATCATTGTACACTGATGAAGTCGGCTTACCGTGTTGTGGGAAACGAGATGGACTCTATTATGCAAGCGAAGGTACATTTATGTCATGTTATCAAGACAGATATGTAACTGTAGCAGTTGTGGAGTTTGAGACATGCAACCGACCAATATGTCAGCTAACTTGCGTGTTTTCCCACATAAATTGATATTTTCACTCCTTAGTTTTTTGCAGTCTTGCAAGTATTCGAGACCTTTTTATATCTTTATAATTCACCTATATCATCAATGCTTTGACCGTTTCATCGGTCCTCACACAGCGATACCGTATATATGAAGCACTAAACATCAAAATCGTTCAAGTAAACGGGAGACCCGAGATTTTACCTTACTATTAACTATATCCAATGTTTTATATATCTCTTCAAGTTGGGTACACAGAACAGAAGTCACTTTCCCCAAGATGAAAGATCTGGCCGAACTACAAATGAATTCTTTTGCTATACTTCAAGATCATCACCAATATATTACACGTGACTTTGACCGTGAAATCCCAGACAGACGAAGGCTGAAGTATCTCTCAGATTTTTGATTAGGCTGTGATTTTGTTTTCAAATAGTTTCCCGGTGCTATTAATGTGTGTTGAATATATCGGATATAGATACCGGTATCAACTGGATATGAACAATGACAAACGGGATATTGTTAATTTAAACTATACAGGGTGGTAAGTTCAGCATAGACAGACCACGCTTATACATTTAACCACCAGGCACACCGTAACCCACAATTAACCCGATGACTAGCACCTTAGTAGCCCCGGGAACCCCGCCGCGGGCTCGGTTGATTAATGCCGTATCAGAATACAAATTGACACCATGATCTTATCCTCTAAACAATTATATAGTACTCACGTAGCACAATGCCGCCAAACACCACCGCCTACAGTCCCGATCAACTGGAGCTCTACCTCCAGCGCATCAAATATGCAGACGCCACAGCCAGCCCCACAGGGGTTCAAATCCCCCGCCTCCAGTCCCTCCAGCAATCCATCCAGAAAGATCCCCTGACCACGCTGACAACCCTACAACGGAAACACCTGGCCGCCATCCCGTGGGGTAACTCCGCCTTGCACTACTCCCAGCATCGCTCCGTCTCCACCCACCCCGCCGCCGTCTTCGACAAGCTGGTCGTGCGCCGACACGATGGCTACTGCATGGAGAATACCAATCTCTTCTACGGTGTCTTGTGCTCGCTGGGGTACCAGGTTTATCCTACAGGGGGGAGGGTGTGTACGGTTGTGACTGGTGGTGGGGAGTTTGTGCCTGGTGAGGAGCAGTATCTGTCGCTGTATGTCTTTTCTTTTTCTTTCTTTCCTTGTCTTCCGTCTTGGAGTTTGATGCTACGTGCTGGGTGGATGGTCGTTGCTGATGCTGACCCTGCAGAAACCACATGGTCTTGATTGTGACCATTGATGGCCAGAAATACATGGTGGGTTCATTTCCCCCCCCCCACTCCCCCCCAACCAAAATACAGATGCTAATTGAGACCCCAGGTGGACGTGGGCTTCGGCAACAACTCACCAACCAGTCCCCTCCCGCTACGGCCTCACGCAGCAGAAGAAGCAGTCACCTGCATCGCGCCGAGCGAAATGCGCCTCGTCCACGAGACGCTCCCCGAGTTCGTCGACCGCACGCAAAAGGTCTGGATCTACCAAGTGCGGTATGGGCCGGGCAGCGCGTGGGTGCCGCACTACTCGTTCTCGGAGGTCGAGTTTCTGCCGCAGGATTTTGCGATGATGAACTTCTGGACGAGCAAGGGGCCGGTGAGCTGGTTTACGCAGGCGCTGTTCTGTACGCGGCTTGTCGTTGACGAGACCACTTTGGAACCGCGCGGGGTCTGTATCTTGTCTGGGAAGGAGGTGAAGAGGAGGGTGCTGGGGCAGACGGAGGTGCTGGTGACGTTTGCGCGGGATGGAGATCGGGTGGAGGCGCTGGCGAGGTGGTTTGGGATTGTGCTGTTGCCGCAGGAGGTGGATGGCATTCAGGGGATGGTCACGGAGATTAAGTAGAGCTTTGCATACTACCTAGGAGGATGGGGTGTTGTTGGTACGATATGATGGGATCCGATTGGTAGATGGTACATATAGAAGATTTTTTGTTTCTTTTTTGTCTTTTGTATGGAATTCAATTGCGGGATATTTATCACAGAAGCGCAGAAAGAGTGAGCGAAGAAGAGAAACTCATGAAGTTGATATATCGATTCGGGTGTTCTAGTAGATCCGTTTCTCCAACTGTTGCATACGTTAGTCTCATCGCAACTCCCACTGACTGGATTTCTGAACCATACCTTCCACGGGTTGCTAACTTCGAAGCCCTTGGGCGCTACCACATTGGTTGACTGGCCTCGCTTCGTTCCCGTGAGTCTGTAGTCCCGTTCCATCACTGCGTTCGAACAATTAGCTTCAACTTTCGAGAACGATCGAGAATCCCCTCCTCAGCGAGCGAATATCCCAATTTTCTCTCTCCAGGTAATTCGGCGAATCGGGTCATGTCACGTACTTTGCTGCAAGATTGTTAGCCCAACTGTTCCGATCGCAGCGTCGTCCGCTCCAGAAAAGAACAGAGATAAGAGGAAACTTACTCTATCCCACAGATCGCGGTTCCAGCGCGCCCGCTTGCCCTCGTTCGACAAGGTTTTGACCGCTCCCAGACCAATACCCGTCACACCGAACATCTGTCAATCCGCCATGCCGTCAGTCACTGATTCGGTTGTTTCCGGGAGAGGGAGAGGGGGGGGATGAAGCGGGATCAAGTTGGATTTCCACGTACGCCGATGATGATCCCATAGGGAATCAGAGCCTCAAAGGGGACACCCATGGTTGCTATGAAAGGAAGGTAATTGGCGTGGAGGAGAAGAAGCCAGAGGCAGACGAGGAGGAGGAGAAATGAATAATTGGAGGACGGTGGTTTGACGACCGCGGGAATGCCGCTGAGAGGTCTGGCGCATAGCTGACCAAAGCGGTTTAGCGGGGGGAAGGAAAAGGCAGCTGAGTCAGCCGGTCAGCCATCCAGCGACCTCCAACAGCCAAAAGCAGGAGAAGGGGCGATGGTGGATGATGGTTTTGATGATGATTATTCCGTTGCGTTGATTCAGAGGGCCGTTTAGCTACATCCTTTTCACTACCATCTTCGCCGGATTCTCTGGTACCTTCCAGCTCGATAATTAGACGCCTCGTCCGCTGTGGATCGACGCGCCGCCGTCCAACCTCCTCCCCCCGACTTCGAACGCAACTTGCTCGCTCCTGAGTCTTTGACGACGATAGTGCTGTCCGTGGGGTTACGCTTTTCTTTCACCTGTCTGTTTGCTTCTCTTCCTTTTCTATATGTTGGTTTCTCCTTCGCGCGTCGTTCCGTGTTCTATCCATTCTGCCTTACCTTTCGATTGCTCGTCACTCCCCGTCCATGGTTGTGTTGATTGCGCTGCTTCCCCAACCCGTCGCTAACTCAACACAGCAGAGCTGCGCAGTTTCCCTACGTTAGCGAGGCTCGTGGGACAACTATCTGGTGGTGAGGATCGATCGCGTTGATGTTCCCCATGCGGCACTAGATGATTGTCGACTCGCACGGGGAGCTTCAGTAGCCTCAACAACTGCCAGGTTACCGATCAATCACAAGAGACTAGAGTTTCCTCTTTCTACACAACCCTTCCTCCTCTCTCCCCTCTCGGGCAAATCGCTCAACCTGGCGACCGCCGTGACTGTTACCATGCCGGCTGGTGTTGCGCCGCCGCCGGTCCCCGACGACCACGACCCCCAGGTGAAGCCCTCAACGGCCGCGGTGGACAGTGACCTGGACGCTGAGGGCGAGGAGGAGACCGACCTATACCAGATGGATCAACAGCTTCAGGATGCCGTGCATCGTGCGTACTCCGGAGAAACCGACGAGGAGGATCGAGATGGTTCCGGGGACGAACAAGATGCGGAAGGGGAGCCGGATACGGAGATGAATGGGTCCGGTGAGAACGATGACACGGAACCCGTTGGGGCGGTCAAACTGCCGGATGATGCCCCCTCGGTAGGTGAGGATGACGATATTGATGCCGATGCCGATGTCAATGGGGATCCGGCCTTTGAGAACGACAGCAACAGTGATCGGGAGGCTTCTGCTTCCAGTAGCCCCGAATCGGATGACGAATGGGAGGCAGAAAGCAATGCCCGGGAGGATGCCGAGGTGGACAATAATACGGTTCGCGGTAATTGTCTGTGAGTGTAATTCTTTTTTTTATCCCTCTGGTATTGTTGTAGAGCTATGTGTTTTCGGATGGCTTGTTTTTAACGCATCATTTCGGAGGTACACTATCGTGAATGCTGACAATGGAATCAGATTTTGTAACCAGGATGAGTACCATGATCCAAGCGAGGAGTATGAGGAGTATTTAACTTGTGCAGTTTGCGGCGATCACTGTACGTTGATTTGCGGCCCGGCACTCCCCAAACTCTTGGCGATCGTTGCTAACTTGGTCCTTCCGACAGCTCACCGGCAGTGTGCCCGTGAACAAAGCGCCCTAAACGATGCACAAGGTATTTTCCGGTTCTGATGACTGGTGGAGGATCCTCGATGCTAATAAAGTTGCAGACGCCTCGTCTTGGAGATGCCCGACCTGCGTGCGAGAGAAGCTGGAACCGAGCGTTGGGCAGATGGGCGCACCTCAGCGAATGTCAGGTCCCAAGAATATGAGCAAAGAACTCATGCCCGCCCACAGTGGGGAGGAGGGCTCGGGTTTCCACTCAATCTTCAACACGGTGTCGATGAATGAAGATCTCTTGAATAGTTCCCGGTCATTGCGCAAGAGAAAAACCCAGTCGCTAGAGGCAGAGGAACATGTGCCGGTGCTTCGAAAACGTCTGCGGCAGTCGTCGACGGGAATGCGCGATCTGGTCGTTGAGAACTCCGACACCGGGTCTCCTGTGCGGACTCGCTCTCGGCGGACGCGGAAGAGTGAACCGGAGACTTGTCGTGTCCTTTCGAAGCAGTATGGCAAACTTATCCTAGCGTTTCGTCTTGACGAGACGAAGGTGTCCAAGATCCTCAATTCGGCCCGAAAGGTGCAGGCTCGGACCCGGCGAACCGCTTTGGCAACTCCTGCCGCGCATGAAGTCCCGGCACAGGCACACCAGGTACAAGCACATTTTGCCCCTGTCACCCCCGCCTCCTACATTTCCCCCTTCTATTCCTTCAACGACCGTGAGATGGACGAGTCGAAATCGAAACCTTACGGCGGCATCCTGTCCGAAACCGACGCAGACACGTCTAGGACTCTACCTACACAGTACGATCGCGAACGGTTCGAAGCTGCGCGGCAACGAGCCGAGGAAGCGTGGCAGCAACGACTTCTTGAAGCGGAACGGGGCGGTGAGCCTGTGCAGCACGTCTCCCAGAAAGTTTCAGGGCCGCCGTCCAAGATCAAGTACATCAACTTTGGTGGGTACGAGATCGAGACCTGGTATGCGGCTCCTTACCCCGAGGAGTACAGCCGCAACCGGGTTCTTTACATATGTGAATTCTGCTTGAAATACATGAACTCTGCCTTTGTCGCCTGGCGCCATAAGCTCAAGTGTCCGGCCAAGCACCCCCCGGGTGATGAAATTTACCGCGAGGGATCCATCTCTATTTTCGAGGTCGACGGGCGAAAGAACCCGGTCTACTGTCAGAACTTGTGTTTGCTCGCCAAACTCTTTCTAGGGTCGAAGACCCTCTACTACGATGTCGAGCCCTTCCTGTTCTACGTCATGACTGAGATTGACGATCTAGGTTGCCATTTTGTCGGGTACTTCAGCAAGGAGAAACGGCCTAGTTCTGCCAACAATGTCTCCTGCATCCTCACCCTTCCCATTCATCAGCGGAAAGGATACGGAAACCTCCTGATCGATTTCTCCTATTTACTGACCCGAATCGAAGGGAAAACGGGCTCTCCGGAGAAACCGCTTTCTGATCTGGGTTTGGTGTCGTATCGGAACTACTGGCGACTCATCCTATCCTACCAATTACGCGGCCAGAAAACCCCGCTCAGCATCGTCGACCTCTCGGAGCGGACCGGCATGACTGCGGATGACATCGTGTCCGGGTTGGAGGCCCTGCGCGCTCTGGTGCGGGATCCTGTGACCAAGACGTATGCGCTACGCCTCGACTACAACTACTTCGAGGAGTGCATTCGGAACTGGGAGATGAAGGGATATGTCCAACTGAATCCGGACGCCTTGGTATGGACGCCATACATCATGGGCCGGAACAACCAGTCCCATTTCGATCGTGCTCCCTTACACGCCGTTGCGCCGCGAGAGGGCCTGGAGGAGGAAGAAGAGGAAGAGGAGGAAGAGGAGGAATCCGAGGGTGTGAAAGAGTCCGGGAATGAAGACGATCAGATGTCAGCGAAATTTGGCGGGAAGGGCAGCACGGTAGCCCCCGCCACGAACGGCATCACGCACCCCGACGCTGGAGGCCCCAGTGAGCCTGCTGGACCTCCATCTACAGGCCTTCTCACCAATTACAACGGATTTCACCACCAGACTACGGGTTCCGCGGTGTCCGATGCTCCCACAGCGGAAGAGAACCCCGCCGCCAGTATCCCGGCGTGGCGCTTCGAAGTCTACCCGCCCGTTCAGGCACCAATTTTCAAGCGGAAGCCCGGCCGACCATTCGGCAGTAAGAGCACATACAACCGAGTGGGTTCTACCCCAACCAACTCCCGGATGAGCGGTCGGAGCACTCCGCGACGGCCCTCGGCTCTCACGGCCATGACGCCCGTGGCGAACACGCCAAGTGTACGGCGGGGGCGCAGTGCGAAGCTCGGCGATTCTCCCACCAAGGGCTCGCCAGGCCCGGGCGGCAAGACCAACGGCATTGAGAACGGCCAACTAGACGATGGCGCACCTACATCCGTAGGTGGCTCGGACGCGGGTGTCCTAATCGACGCGCCAGAAGCGAAGTCTATCCTTCCCGAGGACAGTCAAGGGATGAACGGGGTCACCGAGGCCGACACTGTGGACGGCGAGCCCACCGAGACCTCAACCGCCGATCAGCCCGTTAGCCCGACGTCCAAAGGCAAGGGTGCACAGAGCAAGGCACAACTCTCTCGTTCGGTCATCCGCAAGTCGATTGTAGAGAAGGTCGAAGTCGTCCTGCCCGCTGACGATAACGAGGATGCGAGCCAGACCAACGGTGGGAAGACCGTCATCACCGATGCAGACGGAAATGTGGTCACGGAGACATGATTATGGATGGATATTGGCACTGGGACTGGGTACTTGGGACTTGGGTACTCACTTCCTAAGAGGCATTCGAAGGCGGCGTTTCTAAATTATTAGTTTTTGGCGGATTTCTTCTTCTTTATCTGTTTATTCATTTCCACAAGGTCTTACCTGTATGGATTCACTTCATGGTTTTTTGTACGTGTTATCTATTATCCATCCTGTATTGGTTTTTTTCACAGCAAGGAGTGGGCGGCAATTGGAGTTTGAGCGGTTGTTTTGTTCATGTTTATTCTATCTTATTTTAATCGTTCTCTCAGAGGTTGCTGAGTTTTATTAAAAGGCATTCCGCTTTTTGAATCCTTTCATCCATCCTTTGTCTATTTGAACTTCGCTCCTGTATGGAGTATGTCTTGTTAATTGCAGCTACGGACTCATCTTGTTTCTTTTTGTGTGTATGTCTGGCTTGAGTTTGTTGACTCGATCATATAATATGTACACTCGAACCCTCGAACACTGGAAGACCGAGAAAGGAAAGTACACCGGAGCATAGTATTGCAGATAGTAGGTACCCTAGGTAGGATCAGCTCACTTGCAACAGCCTACTCATTCTGCTGTGCAGTAGAATGGACTTTCCTATCTGGTCAGAACTCTATTCAGGTTGACTCTGGGCAGGCTCTGCACTACCGCATCCGGAAAGTACAGGAGCATTCTCCATTCCTTCTGTTTCTGACTCGTCAGGAAAGGAAAGGAGGAAGGAAGGATTGATCTAGATAAAACACGACACATGAGGAAGGAAGGAAGTATGCAATAGTATTCATTCCTTTCCTTTTTCTGTTTTTTTCCCTTTTTTTTCTTTGTATCCTATTAGAAAAAGGAAAGAGAGAGAAAGGGAACAGCCCAGTGAGAAAACGGCAATAGAATAAAGTATTCACCGGAATTTGGATCCGCTGTCCGCGGGCGCTGTGATTTGATTAGCTTGGTTTGTTTCGATCAAGTAGACTAGACAGGAATGTTGGTAGACTAGATCCTACCTAGAAGTGGATAGTAGATACTACCTTAGATAGCAGGTAGGTGCTCTGTACTTTGTACTTACTATTTATATTCACAGGTTCAAATAGGTACCAATTAGGTTAGTGGTGATCACTAGCACGAACTGCACCAAATACACTAACTACGCCCTATTAATCTTATTATTGGATTGGTGCATGTTTTGTTGACCCGTGTTGTGATATCTGGAGGTATAGGTCAGCTGTCAGGAAGTACTACTTACTATATTTATCATAATGGATAGGATGTTGATCCTGCCTGTCTGTCTGTTTCTGACAGAAACAAATAAACCCCGTCTACATAATTTATCAGGAAAGAACAAAGAGAAAGGTAGAGGTTCATCTGCAGGATGGGCATATAGATAGTAGAAAAAGTAAGGTACCTAGGTACACCTAGGTAAACTGTTTATCTACAGGTACAGAGGCCCGAAAAGTAAGGTATGACGAGCTGAGCCTGGATTCGTTGGAATCTGTTTTTTTATTTCTCTTTTTATTATTATTATTATTATTATTATTATTATTATTCGAGGAACAAATAGGAAAGAATAGAAAAAGAATGCAAATAGTATACATATTATTGTTTGAACCTATCAATTTATCCGTCTGGCAGAGATGTACTCCGTACTCATAGTTCGATTCATCTATCAGATCAAGCTCACGGAGTATAGCAAAGTATCAAACTTCTATTACTTACTATTATTGGAAACAATCCCATTTTATCCCATCGTCACTCACAATTCTAATTTTTTAACCGAAGCAAACCACCATCTAGTCCTTCCCAAGGCAACCATTGAATACACAACCAACGAACACACAACGTACTAACCTAGTATATTGCAGGTATATTGCATCCCGGGTCTCGGAAGCAAAGCCCACGGAATGTACAGAGTACAATCAAATGAGACGGAGGGTATCTCAAGAGAGTAAGTAGTACTCGTACCTTTGCAGGCTGATTTATTGGTTGACGGGTAATGCTACGATCGTCTCCAAACTCAGGGCTGCAAAATCAAGTAGGGCGATGGCCGACGGTGTTTTCCCTCTAGGGAAGGGACTGCATATGGCCTGGTAATTGAAACATCCTTGCATGATGCTGTCCTTCCTGGGAAGACCATGAGATTGCGTATGTTGATATTGTCGGATGAAGAGATTCGTCAATTGGGGAAATGAGATGGTCGAGTAATAGGGCTTGGTGTTATCCGCAATTAATGAGTCAATAATCAGTCACTAGCAGCAGTAATACGTAGCAGCAGCAGTAGGTAAACACCCCGGCCGAGTTCGGACAGTCTCGGCTGCATACAAAAGTACATTATGTGAGCCCGCTGCAGCTAGGAAACCCGGGAATTGATGACAGTCTTTGTTGAGATCTGCGTGCATGCGCCCGGCCCCCGGTAGGGTGCGATAGTGGTCCACTCCCATTAGTGTGACCCGGCTGGGCTGGGCTGCCCTACATGTAGACTAGCTGGGTTTCTTTTGGTTGATGCACGGGGGGACAATGGGCTCAGCCGCCTTGGTGTGATAAGACGGCATGCATGGCGTATACAGACAGGACTGCGTACGAAGTGCTGTTGCACACAATTGGCGCCGTTTATGGAAATACGGAGTTTGACAGGGCCATGACAGGTACCACTCTGAGCCTGGTACCTTGAAGAGTTAGTGGACCGTGGGAGGTGACGACGTGGTTGAAAGTACGATGTTTTGGAGATAATTTTTTGAAATTCGATATAGCTGATGCCACTCATCCTGACTGTAAAGCCGACAGAGGTTGATTTGGTCACAGGTCTTGAAATTGGAGATAGGCCGCGCGGTCATCTTCAATGACATTTGCTGTGCATTGAAGGATTGGACGGTCATGTCTATAAATATCGCGATATAGATCGACGGAATGAAGCCCGTGTCTTATACAGATATTGTGGCTTGACTAGAGAGCTGAAGGAAGGATGTCTATTCTTCTTGCGATGTGGGTGAAGATCGTCGGTTCCGGGATATGATCTGTCATGACAAAAAATTTATTCTCTCATTTCCTCACCCAATCCCGACGATGATCATCAAGATTATCATATTCAGCCATGTCCCATTGCATTCGTTGTCTTTCATGTTTTTTTTTTTTTTTTTTTTTTTACTTCTTTTTTTCTATAAACTTTATTTTTCACCCTTCATTCCTTACCTCTTTCTGTTTGATTGTCCATTCAAACCTCGAGGTTTCTGACAGGCTCCTTGCTGACGCTCCGGCTAACTTAGTGGGGTTATATCCCCGCCCAGTCATGCATGGACATTGTATCCGAGACACTGAAATTCGTATTTGAAAGTTAGCGAGCATCTATCTCACCATGGGCGGATAGTCCATGGCGTTACTTCGGTCAGTCTCTAGGGTGGTCTTGCTGCGATCAAGTCCATGCTGTGGAAGAGCAGCAACGTTCCCACCGTGGTGGATGGTCTTGTTTTAACTTTCGTAGTCCGGGCTAGAGGATGGAAAATTCTGTACGGCCATGGCGATCGGCACTCGGACAGAATCTCTCCAGCTCCGCCTTCAAATGACCAAAGTGATAGAGATGCTGTAGGCCATGGATCTGACCCTAACGAAGCACGGAACCTCTCGTTAGGGTCCGGAATAATAAGCATAACGGTAGCGTAAAATAAGCATTGTCGAGAGTTCGGTTCACAATGGAGAAGGGCGGCTGTCATTGACGGAGGAAGTGTCACTCCCCCGATTAGTTTTAGACGAGCAGGCAACCGCTAAGCCCGACGGACACTTCACTGTGCAGCACCTGTTCGACCCCCACCGATATGTAAAAGGACGAAAAGAGCCAGGCCCGTTAAAAAACCAAAAATAAAAAAGGGAAAGAAAGCAAGGAATTTTCTTTTCGTCCACCCACCCGGTCCTGTCTGGTGCTTCTGAATCCTTCCACCTACTTTTCACCCTCCCCTGCCCTGTTCCCTTCTCGATTTCAAATCAAGAGTGGAGAAAGGATAAAAATGACAGAGGGAGAAGAGAAGCAAAGGCTTCGCGCTCGTTCTTTGGGCAACCGGTGGCCGTAGCAGTATCGGGTCGAATCGCTTTCTGACCAAACATACTGCTAGCGCTCTCAGCAAATGGCGGCATGTCCCTGGGTTCCAGCGGGTTTGTATGATTGAGTGTCCGGTGCGACAGGTACCTGACCACTTTACCAAGATCCCTCGGGAGCAACGATAATGGGCGTTCAATTGCCTCAACTCAAGAGCTTTCCCACCCATTACGCCGACGAAACGTGGCATTATCTTCGAGCCATTGGTTGTCTGGTCCGTCTGTAGTATCCGGGCTCATGCTGACAGGTCTTCGGGGTATGGCCGATCATGGTCAGTGATGAGTATGCAAAGACTGACTATCGACCAGTGTCAGTTGTCCTTTTTTTTCTTTTTTTCCTTCTTTGCCCCTCCCTCCTTTTCTTTTCCATGGATGATTGGATGATGGAATCGACTCAAGGATTTAGTCTCAATGGCCAAACCCATTCTCCAAACCAACCGTACCTGCCTGAAGGCGAAAGGCCTTTGGTCTCTTGTTTTTATTCCTGTTGTTCTTCGTTCTTCGTTTTTCTTTTCTTTTCTTGTCTTTTTTTTTTTTTACTTTGGTTGAGTTTTCTGTTCTTTTCATTTTCTCTTCTTTTCTTCTCCCCCTAGTTTTCTTGACTTTTTGTTCCCCTCTCTTCAGGGAGCGCCGGGGTGACCTGTTATGTTGCAGGTCCACTGGTCGGAACCACCATTAGCCATCACCAGGCCCTGACAAAATTCGACATGAATCTGGATCACCCTTGCGTGGTTACGCCAATCAATGGTGGCTCGTTACTTGCGGGTCCTGCTCACATACACCCCCGTGGGACTGCAAGACGAGTCGCATCGGGCTATTGTCGAGAGAGTCAAAAACAGAACCTCAATCCTTTCCGCAGTGCTTGGCATAAATCTGCCTTTCCAACCAGGCAACAGGCTGAATGTTTGCTTGAAGAATGCGAAGGACCATGTTCCGGGCTTATGGTGCTCGTAGCTCCGCAGATGATGCGGCGAGATGCGGCGAGATGCAGCTGCCACCAATTAAGTCCCAGGCTCCGTACGCGCCCGAGGTGCAGCATGGTGTATCTGACGGGGGGCGACCGCGACAAAAGTCGCGGTATGGTACGAGGGAATGGAAGCGTAACGCCCAATTGCGCGTGAGAGACTAAGGGCCTCGTATCATGCACGCGAGGAAGCGTAGTCCGACGAAATGACCAGCACTACTTAAGTAAGGTTAGCTCTTCATGATTGAATCGAATCCACCTAAGCCTGTGAGAGACCCCAAGCAAGGCTCGCGACGATCGTCTTT